GCACTCCGTAATAGAGAGTCGCGCAGTTGAGTGCGAATATAAGATCCTTACTAACCCGTGTTAACGCACAGAGTTAGTGGAGGAACTCTACCGGTTGCGATTACCGTGAATCCGTCCAGAATCCTCGTTAGGAATCACGAGAACACATTTTGGATCTGAGCTTCGGTGACTACCGGCGCGTCTCCGGACAATAATGTGAGTATACCTCCTACAAGCATCTCCTCTCGAGCGCTAAACGACCGCGCGTCCGCGCTGACTGTAACTTCGATGCAACCGTCGGCCAGAGGATGCAACAAACGTCCATAACACCCTACATAAGTATCCTTACTCTTAGCGTCTCTATATGTGCGCTGAGACATACAAACAACTTCCTACGTGAAGCGAGAAGAGAGCTAAAAAACGAATTTTCTTACTTAAATTTTAATGCATATCGCTCTAACCGGAACCGGACCTTTTCGGTTCGGTTCCGGTTCCAGTTTTTCCGGAACCGGAACCGCCGGTTCCGGAACCGTGGCCAAGCCTACATATATAGCTGTGTGTATGCGCTCCTTTTGAGTAAATAAAAAAGAGTCACAAACTTTTCAATACAAAGACTAAAAACGAATTTTCTTACTTAAATTTAATGGTAAATATAAGATTGTTTTGAAGAATATGGTAGAATTCAAATTTCATCACCATAAAAATTTCACTTTCCAGTGTTATGAGCAACATAGGCTCTTTTTAATCATTAAGCCAAAAAATGGATGATTAAGATTATATGAGCAACAAATGATTTTTCATTATAAAATTGAAAATTGATTTATAGTACTATCATGCAGAATTAATAAATTCTATATTGATATTGAACTGTTTTATTGTATATATATACATGTTACAACATGCTATTTTTTTTTTTTTTTTATTTTGAAAATCACGTGTATACATTATTTCGGTAAAACGTTAATTGAAAATGACTTAATATTTTCACCCATATATTGAGATTATTGTTACCCATATATTAAAATTTTGTCCTCAGATTTAATTCCGAATTATTATTATCACCATTATGGTGATTTTATCTAGTGTCTTTTATTATTTGGATAATTATACAAAAAGAAGTGTAGATCTCCTCTCCAATAAAAGGAAGAAATTTGAAGGTAATCAGATTGGACTTGTAGAAAAACCATAGCGCCAAACAGTGGCCATGAATAGCCACCAAGTGGAGCAAGCGATCGCCTATGACACAAATTTAGAACTTATGTAACTCGATCAGATACTTCAAATCAAGATTATATTTTTTTATTCTTTACTCGATCAGATACTTCAAATCAAGATTATATTTTTTTATTCTTTATATAAGTGGTTTATTATTAGGCTTCCTATACAAAAATATAGAAACATATTAATCTATACCCTATATTTGTATACAATTTCTAGTTAATGAAATTCTAATTTGACTTTTCTAAAAAAATTGACTTAATATTTCAAAAGTTATAAACACTAGATATAATTATTATGGGCACAAATAATATAAGATTTCAGCTAGTAAACTTGTAAAGATATATTAAGTTCAAACATCTAAAAAAAACGATAGCAATTCTAAATGTATTTTGTAGGATTGAATTGGACCAAGGTTCGACTGATGCAGTTGTTATGCTTTGACTGGATTTGGCAATAGCTTTTAAGTAGTTTCTTAGTGAAAAGGCTAAACACTATTTTTTATAGTGTTCGGTAACATAATGTTTGAACTAACTTTAGGGATTAACGTAGTATTTTGTGAAAAATTGTGCTAAAATTCGAAGCCTAATTATATAGAAATTGATCCAAATCAAATTGAATCAGTCTGGTTCAGTTTGGATTTCGTTATTGCTAACTAAATTAGTTATTTTAAATTTAAAATAAATTTGATTCGTTATATATAATAACTAAAATTAAACTGCAAATTAAATGATTTTTTTTATCTAACCTGATCATTAATCAAATTTCTAAAATAATTATTTGAAATCGATTGAAATGAATCAATTTAATTTGATTTATGGTTGGTAACAAAGTATTGCTGATCCCTATCTGGAACTAAATACCAATTCTAACTTAAAAAAGAAAGAAGAGAAGAAAAAAAGAAAAGGAGGAAAGGGCTAAATGTCACAAAGGATGGCCAGCATGAAGGCATGTGCAATTGCAGAAAGTAGACACCTAGATGTTGACTAAATATGAAAGTAACTACAACAAGATAAAGTTCAGTGAAAGATGCTACTTGAATGGTGTTAATTTAGTTCATTTTGCTTCAAAGATAAGCAGAACTATCTTGGAACCAACTTTTTTCTTTCATAATGACTCAAGATCACCCAATTTAGATCTTCAACTCCCACAAAAATTACTCGCTCCTCCTCCTTATTCTTGCATCCAAGATGATAGAGCTCTGGCCTAAAGAGATCCCGTTGGCTATGGTGAATCCTCAATATCTAGTGGTTTTTACGAATGACATGAAATTGATGGATCCTTGAGAATCCATTGTTATTTTGGCTTTCTTCTTTGGAATGGATGACATTGGGAATTCTATTCACTATCTTCAAAGAAGTGGATAAGAGCTGGGAGCTGTTCTGCAATGACAGAACTTTTTTGTTTTCTTTCGTTTATAACATTTTAATGTGAGTTTTATCAGATTCTTAATTTGTACAAACTAAAAGTAACATCTTGTATTCATTACAAACAAGTTTTATGCTTTCCTTCAAAAAATGTCTATGTAACTTTGTTCTTTGCTAAATCCATTGCACTCTATTTTTCTGACATTCATATTGGCTATTGTGTTTTTTTGCAGCTCATAGTGTACAGGGGTGGCCACATCACGGTTTTCGGAACAGGAACTACTGGTTTGGAACTGGTGAGAATCAAAATCGGTCCAAATCAAAACCTAAACTGATGCCCTGCGGTCCGATATTGGTTCCACCATTTTTGGAACTGTGAACTGGTGGTTCGTCCGGAACCAACGGTTTTTCCAGCCAGTTGAAACCAGCAACTTCTTTTTTAATTTTCAAATAGTTTTATGAAATCCCCAAATTACCCCTCTTAATAACTATAAACAACTACATACGGCTAGTTTTAAGGGTATGGAAAAATGATTTTTTGGAGTTTGGTGATAGTTTTGCAGATAATAATTCTCTAATTCTAGATTGATGAAGTCTTCACGCTAGTATATTTTCAACCCTTTCACTAATTGCAAAATAGCTCTAGTCTCGATTGTTGCGGTTGAACAAGCTTTTAGTCAAGGACGAAACATACTTGATAGAACATGATCTAGTATGACACCCGATTTACTAAAAGCACAATCATGTGTGGATAATTGGAGTAAGGCCGAACTGAAAGCACAAAAGAATATCAAAGAAAATGAAGATTTATATGATCTTTACGATGGGTCCTCAACAGTAACATCAACCGGTGGAAATAGCAACTAAATAAGGTAAAAGAAGTGAAATTGGTATAAGGTAAGTAGGAATTACGTGGGCTTTAATTCCTCAAAACCCCAAGAAGATACGTAGGAAGCTTAATTTTTGAAAGAAAAATTAAGTTCAAGCCTTTTTTTTTTTTTTTTTAAATAAGTTCAAAATTTTTAATTTTTTTAAGGATATTTATTTTTTTTAGAAATTATTTCAAAGATTTTTAAATTTTAAATTTTCAAGAAAAAATGTTTTCTAATTTTTTATTTTATAATTATGCGATTTATCGGAAAATCAATAAGAGAAACGGTTGGAACCGTCGGTTTTGGGATCATTAAGGAACCATAACCGAAATCATCAATTTCCGGTTCGGTTCTGGAATCGAAAGTGGTGGTTCCGGAACCGTGGCTACCCCTAAGAATATCTATTTAGATTTATATTTAGCCGACAATTTTTTGTGTAACGTATATTGTTAGCGTTTGTAGGTATTTAGTGTTTTTAGCTATTTGGTGATTCAATATAAATGTTTAGAGATATTTAGTGGTTTAGCATTTTATATTAATGATTATTTTTAGAGTTTGAAAGAGTCGGACATCACCATCTAGTATTAGGACCTATTTCGTTTCGCGGTTCATACCAACTGATAGCGATTGCTGATAACTAGTAGCTGATGACTGATAGCCGTAACTAATTATTATTTGTGTTTAGTAAAATTTTAGTAGTGGTTGCATTTAAAATATAAAATGACTATTAAATGCATAATTATTTTTATATATTATAATGTATCACGTTTATATATCTTTTTAATTTAAGGTTAATATATTATTTTTTATTTTAATGTAGTGCATAAATAAAAATATTAATTAAATTTTTATTTAATGTAGTGCATAAATAAAAATATAATTAAATTTTAAAATAATATATAAAGAAAAAATTCAAATAATTATAACAAAATTATCCTAAAAAAATATTAATTTGAAAAAGAATAATTTTTTGTGAGGTTAATGAAGCCCTTTAATTTAAGGTTAATATATTATTTTTTATTTTAATGTAGTGCATAAATAAAAATATTAATTAAATTTTTAAAATAATATATAAGAAAAAATTTCAAATAATTATAAACAAAATTATCTTAAAAAATATTAATTTGGAAAAAGAATAATTTTTTTTTGTGAGGTTAATGAAGCCCAAAATATTATAAATATGAATCAACTTTGAAAAAACTGATTCGAAAAAACTTCCAGAGATAACTATTGATTAAAAATGTTTACCAAATACCTATAACTTAGCTATTGGGTACAAAATAGATATAAATTATATGAATCAGCTAAATCAAACCTTTAATCAATAATATAATATAAATATAGTTGAATGTATTTTTTGGTTTAAATTAAGTTATATATATTCATTTTGGTATACTAAATGTTCGACATTCTATTAAAGTTTAACCTTATCTCGTAAATCACATCTAGCTAAATATGCACTTAATTAATTCAATTTAATATAGAACTATGACGTGTAAGTCTAAGCATGGTCATGTACTATCTTTCTTCTCATTCTTACCCTCATTTGATAAACATTGTGCACTTTTGAACAACAAGAGAAAAAGTTTAAACTGATCATTTATTCCATGAACAAGAATTAAACAACCGCATGCAGAGAAGAGCTAAATATTAAGTTGAAATCATTCCTTAATTTTCTAACTTATTGAATCAAATATGCCGCAAGCTACTCATAAGTGACTGGTATCCTCTGTAAACCCGGGCCTTCAACCATATCCTCCCATAGCAAATCGGAGAGCGCAATTGTCAATTCTCCCACCTGACCTGCAACCAAGAATTATAAGAAACAAAAAATATATTGTAAGAATTAATATCTTCTCCACTGGAACATCCAAATCAAATTTGAATAACACAGTCATTACCATCTCCAATAGATTGCTCATCCCATGTAACAATTGGCAACAAAGGAAGTGTGCTTCCAACATACATCATTTCAGCTGCTTTCTTAGCCTCATCAACAGTAATATTATCAGTTTTAACACCTTTTAATCGTCCTTGCTCGACTAATTTATTTGCCAATTGAAGAAGCCTTAATGCGGTGCAACCACTAAGGATTTTATCAAAGGCAGGCAAGATAAGCTCCTTATCTTGGGTTATAAAAGCTACATTCACATTTGGACCTTCAGCGATATAGCCTTTATCATCAACCCAGATAGAAGAAGATGCTCCCTTCTCTTCAGCTTCCATTACAGAGAGGACATTTGGGAGATAGTTCACATTTTTCATTGTTGCAAACTCGGGTGACTTCATGGGAACAGTAGATGTTATCACTTTAACACCTTCTTTGCGCTGGGAAAAGTCATCATCGATGACTACAGCATAGAAAGCAGAAGTCGGGAGTCCTGCAGGTGACAATGAGAAGTTTCCAGGGCCTGCACTTAGCCAGAATCTTAAAGTTCCTTTCTTGCATTTTGAGGCTGCTGTCATTTGAATAAGAATGCTTCGAAGAGCTGAGCGAGGGAAAGGAGAGGTTATCTTTGCTCTTGATGCTGATCGAAGAAAGCGATCCAAATGGACATCCAGTTCATATAGATATCTGCATTAATCATATTGTTCAAAAATTGTAAAAAAGCTTAGAAGGGTTACAATTTATAAGACTTCTAAAAACAGACATTTATGCATACCCATCAAAGATGATAGATGTATCGAAGACACCATGCCCTCTATGAACCATGTGATCATCTATTGGAATTACCATCATTGCTGGATCCAGAATGATTCCACCATACACACTTGAATACATTGCTGGGTACGGTTGCTTTTTCACTGAACTCCATTTCTCATGAAGCCTTTCAAGCAACTGATTAAATAATCAACAATAAAATGGAAAAGAGAGTGAGTGAAATTTTAAAGAAGACTTGGTTGACATTAAATGATCACTATAGAATTAGCATAACTATAGATTGTTAAAAGTGAATCCTATATTGATCATTAACAATTTAATGAAGAAGATTGATAACTGCAGATTTTGCAATTAGAGATCACTATAGAATAAGTAGTCTTTCAAAAGCAATGATGAAAAAAGGTTCTGTTACCCTTTTTGCGTAAGGAAAAAAGGTCTCTGGTAATTGAAACTCAAAAAACCCTTGAGAATTGAGGTAATGATGAACATTCTCATGAGCTCATAATATTGACATCCTTGAAGGACATCAGCACAGCCTTTTTCTTAACGAATGAATTCAATCACATTCTGTATTATTTTGAAGCCCAACCTCATATAAGGAGAAAATTGCAAACTGGTGATTTATTTTTTTCAGTATAAGGGAGAGAGAGATTGCCCTTTCAGAAATTCAATCCCTTCATCCACTCATAAAGTATCTTGCTTTTTACCAGTAGGCTAAAACAGCCATCAAAAGGGCAGTCTAGCAAACATACAGGGATAGAAAGTTCAGCATATATATATTTTGGATCTCATTTTCTCATCATTCCTTTTCGGTTTGCAAAAGATTGGATTTATCTGCAGTTAGGCATTACTATAACCCAGCAATCTTATTTGGTTATCAACAGTTTCACTGAAGTAACTTAATAAAAAAGTTTGCTGCTTGCATATGAAACTGCCGAACCCAAATTATTCCCTACTGCCTATTTGTATCATAGGCCGGCTTTTACATATCGTACTAAGTTAACCTTTCCCGATGAAAGGCAAGCCATTTACTTCGGAATTAGACAATTTGCAGAGGAGGAAAATACCTCCTTTGTAATCATTCAATAAGGTACGGAGCATACCCACTTACTAACTGAACCAACTTATCTACCAACTAAGCCAACGCGGGTGTTACTGCCTATTTTTTCTAGTCACATACAACTGCCAACAGAACAAGATAGACACAGAGGCAGAATTATTGTCCTAAAAACCCAGGACCACTTTCTGGAAGATTCTCAAATTCTCAAGTAAAAACCAGCTATTGCAAATATCTATAACCCATCAATCAGTTATCAAAATAGACCTTGAAGTTGAACACACGTTAATTTGCATAGAAAACCATGATCAAGCATTAAATTAGCATAAAAAATCATGATCAAGCACTAAAAGATTAAAAAATATAGGGTATAGAGTTTTCAACCTCTGAAGATGAAGAGAACACATGAACCTTAAAGTCACTGCCATCATTTTCAACCTCCAATGCAGCCTTCTCATCTTCAAAATATAAATCATCAAATTATGCAAAAATTCATCAAAAAGGACACAAATTAGGAAAGACCCGAATATTATTACTAAACAAAAAAAAGAAAGAGAAATAATCTTACCTGATTTTTGGTGCTCCATGGATGATAACCAAAAGGAGACAGTGAAAAGAACTATGGAATTCAAGATAATTAATGAATAGAATGAATTAAGCCCGGGTCACAGGTGATACCGATATATGGAAGTTGCTATAAATAATGTCTGTGTTTATAGTGGAATCAATTTCTGTTAACTCGTAGCAGCTTGTCTTGCTGTTTTTGGTTCAAGGTGGAAGACAATGCGTAAGTCAAGCAGGAATGTTATTTTATTTGGCTAAAGTTTCAAATTGGCTCTTAAACTTCTTCATTTATTTCAATAGACCTCAAAGTTTTTCTTTTTGTCAACTTGATCCTTAAACTTTTAAGTTTGGGCCAATTAAATCTAAATTTCTCTCACAAAATTGCATATCCACTTTTTTATTTAAAAAATAAATTATAAGGTAATACAAAAAATAAATAGAAATAGAGAAAATGAGAGGCAATTATTATGTTCAATTGGGATAATTTATGTATATTTGTCTTTCGATTTGAATTGTGGAATCATTTGGATTCAATTGGGTTAATATTAAGAATTTGATTGTTTTGGCACAAAAAAAAAAAAGATTACATCTAATTAAATTAATTAAAAAAATTTAATAATATTCTTAAATTATTATAGGGAATAATCTTGTATGGTTTTATGTGTTGGATTTTTGTTACCAGCCATGGCTTATGCCATGTCAGCATATGACCCTTTTGAATGTCTGCACCTTGGATAATTTTAACAAAATGGTATATAGACCAAATTCATTTATATAAAAGAATATTTTATGATTGGATTAAAAAATAAATTATTTATACTCATATCAGAAGAGATGTAAATAATATGCTATTTTTTTCCCTAAAAGATTGCGAAATATATATTTATTAAATAAATTATAATAAATAATTCTATTGATTTTCGTTAAAAAAACTTTTATAAAATAAACAATATATGTTTCCGTTAAATTTTAAATGGTATTTTTAACGAATTCTTAAAATTTTTTAAGTTTAAAAAATTTATTCATTATAAAGTGAAAAATAAAATATATGAATGAGAAAAAAATAAACCTATTCATTTCAAATTCACAAAATAATAGTCCATCAGGCGGTGGTCTAGTTGATATTCGCATTTATGTGAAGAGTAAGAATATCATTTATGTGAAGAGTGAAAGGTCTCGAGTTTGAGTTCTCTCGAGCACAGTTGTTTTCACTAATTTGGTGAGTCAACGAGAGTTCCAAAGAATTAAAAAAGTCACAAAATAATGATAAAAATTGCACTTTTTTTTTGTTTGTGTGTGAAACAAGATGTACATAATTAATATACATAAACATTTTATTCTCATAGGTTTCTACACATCTATCTTATACAGCCTTTGAAGTTTAATTTTATGTTTAAAAATTGCCAATATGAATCCATCAGTAAAATGATTAGTAGCTGTCCTTCCCTCTTCTCTGGCTGAATTTGATGATGAGTTATTTAGTATATGTATCTGGTGTGCCTTTGACAGAAAGATTTTAGTCTCCCTAGAGCTTCTTCAAGAGATTTCGGATCGACAGCGAAAGTTATTCGGAGCCAATTTTTTAGCCCCACTGCTGTTCCTGCAAAAGAAATACAATTCCTCCCGAGTAAGCAGTGACAGGTTTGAGCTTCTTGTTAGCCTCTAAAAGCTGGAAAATCAAATTTTAATCAATCTTATGCTTCTTTATGAGTTGGTTATTCTTGGAGAATGCTTGACATATGAAAATGTTGACTAAAGGTCATTAAGTTTTGTTCTTTACTATGAATTTTACAAGTTCATTATAAAAATTTCAAAATAGTTAAACAACGTTCTGGAACTGTTTTTTTAAGAAAACCAATACAGTCTCAATGTCAAACAGACTCTAAATGGTTCTTAGGCTTGGAATCTTGGATTACAAAGTAGAACCAAGAGTTTTGGATATTGATTTTTCGTACCTGGAAGAATGATAACAGATTCCTCTTTGGCCAATTTGAAGCAGAAATCTATATCATCGGAAATATCATCCAATAGTGAAAGATTCAATTTCATCTGCATTACATTCAAAGTTCAGTAAGCATGAAAAATTGGAATCCCTTCTCTTTAAATGTAAAGAGAACTTAAAAACTTCTGCATTTTCCTCACCATGACAGCCATAGATCCCTGTGGCTTGTGCGTGCAAGTGATGCAAGGGATCTCTTTTATCCGGTCACAACAAATCTCTGAGACCTGCTTCAGTATATTGATGGTCTTCTTGAAAAAAACTTCATCAGTTTGCTCAAGAATGGACGGTACCGCTGCCTGACCGATCCGAATGAATATCAACAGAAGATCAGAAAATTAAAGAATAAGAGAAGTTCACACGTTAACTGACATTGTCAAGGTCAAGCAAGAATTAGAATATTTAACTGGAGCTTGGCATGTCCATTCATTATTTCATTGCCATAGATGATCAAGAAAGTAGCGGAATGCCGGCCTACCTCTATTCTTTCAGTTGCATATATCTTAATACTCTAGCTAGAAACTACAACTGTTACCTGCTCTGATTGTATTTCATAAAATGTATCTAGAAACTCTTAGCATCTTTACATCAGAGCTTTGGAAAATACACAGCATAAACAGCAGGAGCCGAAATAAGTGTAAACTGACAGTAAACAGAAAATAAGCATACAAATATAAATATGCAAACCTGGATGAAAGTTGCAGGTCCTCCCAAAATGTCAAAGTACTTCTTAATACGCTCAACAACCTGAGTAGAAGAAAAGGTAGTGCAGATAATAAGTTGATTTCGTATCATAGTCCATGTTCAACACTTTTGGAAATACAGGAGCATTGTTTAATGCTACAAGAGGGAAATTAATCATATCCAGAAAGTTAACAGAAAAAAGAGGACTCCATAAGGATTGTACAATGAACCATTTTTGAATTAGCATTCCAAATGTCTAATTAAGAATTGGATCTGCCAAATTCAAGCTCGGAATGTGTATGTAGTTGTAGAACAAATTCAAGTCAAAATTTGATGTTAGGTTCTGTCTTTTACAGAGACATGTATGTTTATAGATAGCCCTACTGAAAAGATGCTTATCAGTAGACACAAATAGCAGGGATAAGAGAGTAAACCTTGGGTTTTCTAAACATGCCAGATGGGTCAGTCGTAACAAACCAACCAAGTCGCCATCCAGGCACTATCCACCTCTTTGATAGAGAACCAAGAGTAAGAACAGGAACAATGGACCCAAAAACTCCCATCGGCACAAATGGATTATCCCCAAAAGCAAGATGTCCATAAACTTCATCAGCAATCACAAGAATGTTAAGCTTTTCTGCAGTCTCTGCAATCTAAATCCAATAAGCAACTAAATAAGCCTCTTTACTGAATAAGTGTTTACTTGTCACTTGAATCCAAATCACCAACCTCTTTCAAATGTTGATAAGAATATACATTTCCGCAAGGATTCCCAGGGTTTATGATAACCAGTGCAACAGTATTCTGATCTGTAAGTGCTTCAACTGCACCAAGATCAACCTCCCAGCCTTTCTCTGGGAGAAGATCAAAGTGCCTAACTTCAAGTCCCCTAAATGCTGCACAAAGTTCATAAATAGGAAAGCATGGTCTTGGAAGCAGAATATTCGCACCCGGTCGAGCAAGCATTGCCAAAGCAACATCAATGGCTTGTGTGCAACCAGATGTGATAAAAACATCATCAGATGACAACTTGTAGGGGAGATCTCGAGAAAGGTAATCAGCAATTGCCCTATACAAAAGAAAACATAAGTTAAATGAAAAAAAGAGTCATATGAACCGTATTATTCAAAGATGTCCCTAGCATTACAACGGGGCTGCTCATAAGTTTGGCTCAAATTGGTTCTAGAAAAATATGGCTGGAGCCAATTCTTGTACAAGACAAATTGCATTTTCAGTAACCTGTCACTTTCTTTCTTTTGGCTCAAAAAGCAACAGAAAAAGTTTCCAGCGTACTTTTAGATGCTTCCTGTTGCAACTCTAGAAAGAAGATACCAAAGGCAAAAGGCCAATAGTAAAATAGATTATTTGTTTTAGAATTCTTTTTTCAGAATTCTTTTTACTTAGCATCTAAGCTAGAAAAATTTTACAGAGAAAATATAATGAACATTACATATATTTGGAAAGAAATACGTTGAAGATTTTGAGCTTGTTATTTCTCAAATAATTCAACTACAACTCCAGAGGAGGGATAACAATTATAGTTAAAAGAAAATGACAAAATGTAAAAATGCTCAAGAATTAATTTCAACACAGAAATTATAAGAAATTGGCTAAGATAATTAAGAAACCAAACCTAAATAGTAATTCTGGATAGTTTTAACTGCACTTACAATTTAAGAATCCAGCTAAAAATTAAACAAACCCAGATCATTACTCATCCATTCCTGTTACTTGCAACCATAAGAACTGAGAAATTCAGTAACTGTGAATATAAGTAAGGCAGGAAAGAACAGGAAAGAGGACCAGCTGCAATAAATTATTTGTGAAAAAAACAAAAATTATAAGCTGCAATTGAACACTTTAACTATCCAATTTAAGTTCCATTTCATTTGAAGACAACTATCAAATCTAGACCCAGTAACCCGAATGCTACAAGAATTAAAATCAAATTGAACAAAAACTTAAAAAATAAAGAAATTCACAAATTGTTAAAACAAACTGATATATTTTAATTCCTAATATAGTAACAATTACCTTCTAGTTTGAGGAAGACCAACGGTAGGGGCATAACCATTGAACTTGTCAGACTGAAGAGCATCAACAACAGCTTCTTGAGCAATAGGTGTAGTGTGAAAGCAAGAATAAGCAGAAGGGTCACCCATACCTAAAGAAATCACACTTCTTTTATCTTTTTCATCAATATTTTCCATCAATAAACTTAAAATGCCTTTAATTGTTATATTTTTGGGTGTTTCCATGTCATGATTGTTGCTGGTTACATTCTCCTTAACTTTCTCCATGTGGGTTTCTTCTTCTTCTTCTTCTTTAGTTTCTTGTTAAACTGGGTTTTGGGTTTGGATTCTTGTCTTTTTGAATCTTAAAAGTTGGGACTTTTGGAAGAGGCTGTACAAGTATGACACAGAGAAAAAATGGGAAAAAATTGGTGGATTGAAGTCAGTGCATGTGCAAGGCCACACGTTGAAGTCTCCTCTGCAATCTCTGCATGAAAACAAATTTGGGTTGCTTGGACAGGGTTTTATTATCATTTCAAAAGTACAACAATACGAGTAATATTGATTCTTTTTTTTTTTTTTCCTTTTTTTAACATTTTCCTATTCATACTTTCGAATTAACTTGTTTTTTCTCCAATGATTTTAAGAATACACTCACTCATATCCGAATGATGCACTAAAAAAACAATAATTTGTTATAAAAGTGTGCTTCTTTCCTTCTCTTTTTTTGTCTTTTTATTCCCCCACAGAAAAAGTAGTTATGTGATATGTAAAATTCATATCTATACTCCAGGCAGGATCACGGTTTTATTACGATTGATTTCAATTTTAAAATTACCAATTCTGATTATAAAATGATGAAATGAACCATTTTTTAGTGGTTTTTAAAATGATTTTGAGATCGATGATTTTGGTTTTGTTTCAATGTGAACCAAAATTAGATAATAGATTTTAAAGTTTTTACTATTACTATTAAATAGTAATAGTTTGAATAAATAATAATAATTACTATTACTATTAAAAAAATAAACCAATTTAATAAAAATTATTAAAAATTACTTAAAAAATTATATTAAAATAAAAAAATAATTTGAGAGTTTTTTTGAAAACATATTTTTCACTGTTTCAAATCGGAACCACCAATTTCGATTTCAAAAAATAAAGAATTGAAATTGAACTTTAAATACACAATTTTGATTATAGTTTAAAATCAAAATCATTAATCACGGTTTAGTACCGATTTTAACCGATTTGATTTCAATTTAGTTCCAATTTAAAACTGAACCGTAATCATTCCTGTCTAAATCTAGCTTCTTCTTCTTTTTTTCCCTTTGGCTGAGTTATAAGTACAACAATAAAAAGTTATTTGCCTAACAGGAAAGAGAAATTAAAATTAAAAAAATAATTTTTATTTGCATTAAAAGCGAAAAATAATTTTATTTTGATAAAAGTGATATAATTACAAACAAATTTTTATATTTTTTTGAAGGTAACAAATTTTTTAAATTAGAATTTTTAAATGATATATAACTGCAAAACATTTAAAATTTATAATAAACAACTCCATTAAGCAAAAAATTAATGCATAATACAAAAATAGCATAAATATGCAATAAAGTATCTAATACTTTTTTTTTGAGCTTACATTCTTTGTCAAAAAAAAAAAAAAAAATCTTACATTCTGTAAAATGATAAAATGATATTGAAACACAAATCTAATAATAATAAAGAATTTTTAAATGATATATAAACTGCCCAAAACATTAAAAATTTATAATAAACAACTCCATTAAGCAAAAAATTAATGCCATAATACAAAATAGCATAAATATGCAATAAAGTATCTAATACTTTTTTTTTTGAGCTTACATTCGTTGTCAAAAAAAAAAAAAAAAATCTTACATTCTGTAAAATGATAAAATGATATTGAAACACAAATCTAATAATAATAAAAATAATAATAATAATAATAAATAATAATAATAATAATAATAATGAATAATCTAAAAATTCCTAAAATATGAAATCATTCAGTTGTGCTTTTGCACACGACTACTTGATCGATACTAACAATAATAGTAACAGAAACAGCAGCTTTCATTGAACTTTGTAACGATACGACACAAATCTTAGACACGTCAGACATGCATGTTCGGGACAAAGACTTCTGTATTCAAACTTGGCCATCGTTGTTATTATTATTATTATTATTATTATAACCACAAGCTTTAATCCATGGACCCCAAAAATGTAAAGATCTTTTACGATTTCATCAAAATACTCAGTTTAATTATGTATTAATCATAATCATTCTTATTTATAAGACAATTGAGTTTATTTAGGTCAAAATATTTTAATAGGGTCAATTAAATATTTTGGTGGGTCAATTTAAAAAAAAATAGAATTTTAAAAATTATTTTTAAATTTTCTTTAATTCAATAGGTCAACTGACCCCATTCATTAAGAGGCAGTTGGACCTCCGTACACTTGCATACGCTCTTAAACTGCAAATCAAGTATATTCCAAAAGAGCAAAAAGAAATCAAGTGGTCTTATAAATAATTGCATGTATTATACTAAAATAAAGTAAATAATTTATAGCAAATAAAGTTTAATTGATCTTTCATATTCTATCTTGAATTCACTCATTTTCATCAAAAAAATTATTATCAATTATTGAATAATACTGAAAATGAAAAATCTTTTATTGTGTAATTCATAATGTTAGTTCGAGTATTAAAATATATATGCCGAAAAATTATTTTATTCATTGGTACAACAAGAATTATTACAACAACTGAACATGATATAAAATTAAAACTTAAACCCACTAATCAATTATTTTAATTTATAGAATATCTAAATGATGTTCTTTTAGGTGAAATGATAAAAGTAAAAATATAAATTTTGACACTTTTATAATTTCGATTAATTTTTTTATTTTACCAATAAATGTTTTGAAGTTTGTTTTTAATAGTAATTGTGCTTTTGTAAAATTATTACTCCCTATATTTTCAATACTTGTCACAGTATATTTAAGAAATATAAATTATTCATTTTATTTGTATGCTTTGTATATGACCAACAGTGATTAATACAAATTTAAAATTGGCGTTTAGATATTATAAATTAAAGGTAATATAGTTAATTCACTCAATAATTTATTATAAATAATTTTTTAAAAAGATATAAATACCTTAATATAATAAGTATTTAAAAACAAGTCGGAGTATCTAAATTCAACGGATAGGAGCCATATAGCAACTAAAATTAATGTATGTTTTTGGAACAAATGAATTTCGTAAAATTTTGTGAAATTCAATTGAAAATTCAAAATGTTGTGTTTGGAATAAAAAAAATGCAGATTTGAATTCTACAAATTGAATTTTATGGAACTAGCCATATCTAATTCAAATTCTACTAAAATTGATGGAATATGAAAATGGATTTCATAAAACTGACCATTAAAATGTTTATTGGTAAAATTACCCTCCACTATAAATTCAACTATTTTTACTTTTTTTTTCCCTTTTATTTATTTTCTTTGAAAATTTTCAAACTATAACAATATTTTTTTAATTCTATAACAACGCTAGTTTATATTTTTATTTTTTTTTTTAGAAAATTTCAAAACGTTTTTTTTTTTAAATGTAGTAATAACAATAGTTATTATTACCATGAAACTATAAAAACTGAGCATCAACCATTGTTTTCAAATACAATTAAAAATAATAGTAACATTTTTAATATTTTTTTTAGTTCCAAAATTAATTACTTAAATCAATAAAATTTTTTACATCAATTAAAAATAATTATTATGATGAATGTTACTATTTATATAATTAATTAATTAGCATTCTATAACAACGCTACGTATTATATTTCTCTTATTTTTATTTTCAGACAAACCTTTCAAAACAAGACCGTCTTTTCACATTACCATTTTCTAAAAGGGCTAGTTCAATAAAAATCAAGATTACTAATATACTACCATGAAAACTATAAAAAACTAAGACATACCACTCATCTTGTTTCCATCAATACAAATTATAAAAATACATAGTCAATCATCTCTCTACATATCTCATCTTTTTAGTCTCCAAATTATCTACCTTAAAATCAATAAAACTTTTTTCATATCATCATATAAAATAAATTATAATAATGATGAAAATGTTTTTACTATTTATAATAATTACATTAATTAGCCGTGCATATAGTTTCTTCACCTTATTTATTAAAACCCAATATCTAATTTACTCTTTTATTATTTATCTTTTAATTTAAAAAAATGCACAAAGTCTATCTATATTGTACCAACACTCAATCATAATTCAACGTGTCTGTCCTATTTAATTTTTATTACAATTATTCACTGCAACATAGTTACAGACAAAGACAAATGCATTTCCTCATTTTAAGAAATTTAATTCCAATATCAATTTTATAGAATTCAATTGACATTACCCTATTCTTAACATCTGTACACCACAAACAATAAAATAAATTTTTTTGAAACCATTGACTTAACTTTATTCTATAAAACTAAAAACACCTGGTCACACTCCACGCATACTAATGAATTCTTTTTATTTTTTTTTTTTCCTTTCTCTCTGAACTTGCCTCGAATAAGTGAGCCCGGTCGTGCATCAAATGTCGGGGCTTCCACACTATACATCTATCAACTCAACTGCGAATCTTGGGACAAACATAGTTCATTCTAAAAGATTGACTATGTCAATATTTTTTTTTTTTTTTTTTTTTTTGAATTGTCGATAAAGTGCCGTGTGTCAAATGTGGCTTACACTATAATACTTACATCAACTGAATTTGGACAATAGTCATATAAAGATTGACATGTCAATTAATAAAATTCTGGGAAATTAGAAATAAATATGCACCACACGTTTCTTCCTTCACATTTATTGTACACGTAACTTTATATTACTCTCAAAAATAATTTTGAATATGTTGGCTTCTTGTTTGTTAACATTCTGTCATAAAAAGAGATTGAATGGAGTTTTTGGAAGCATATTTTCAACCATTTATTTTCACAGAAATCTATGAAAATAATAATAATAAAAGATTGAACTCTCATATGATATTAATAATCCTAATAAATATTAAAATTTAAATGTCAAAATTAAAAGAATAATGAATATGACAGTATTACAAAATTTTTTGCACAAAATAAAATAAATAAATTTTTGCATGGTTTAACAAACCACGCACCTAAAGAATTTAGTCAATAAAAGTTATTTTATCCTTTTTTTACTCTTAACTCATTGAATATATTGATAAAAGTCTCTCATTTAAAGAAAAATCATGAAGATTATCATGCAAAAAATAATTATTTACATATCTAAATTTAGAAATTTTGTAAATATTTTTTAGAGCATTAAAAGAAGAAATAAAAAGAAAATAAAATGAAAAATGGAACGGAAGGAGTATTTAAGGAATAGTATTTGATGGGAGTTGGGCGGCCATCAGGCCCGTTTCACGATCCTCCAACTGGTTTGGACTTAACTTGGGAGGCAGCATCCAAACATTTTAGAGAAATTGTAGTAAATGCCAGATTTTTAAATTTTAATTTAAAAAATATGTTTTTAACTTGTTTTAGGTAATTATTTAAAAATTTAGAAAAAGAAAAAAAAAAAAGGTAGAGAAGCATCATGGTATCACAATTTGCAGATATTATTATTACATTGAAGTTTATGAAAAATTTATATAAAATAAAAAGAGGACATACCTTATAACCTGAATGAGGTAGCCTAACGAGAAAGAATATTTAAAATAAATATGGAGTTGAGTACCTTGTCAATTTGTAAAACTTAGATGATATGTGGAGCTCTCCTTTTCTTTCACCAAATCCAAAAGTTGCTTCTTAATACAATGCACTCAAGCAATCTTCTTTCTCTCCAATTTTTTTGGGTGTGCTTCTCGCTACATATGTGTATATATAGATATGAAATGGATTGAGTTGGATTTTTTAGGCCTATCAATTGGTTTCTCCTGTTCAATCTTTTTTGAGGATAAGTTTGATGATTCATCTTTTTATTATTATTATTAAATAATTATTTTTCTTTGATTTGCACAAATTAAAAGTGTATAAGAAAAAACTAATTAGGTGATGGTCTGATTGATTTTCTCACTTATGTGAGGAGTTGGCGGTCTTGAATTTTAATCTTCTCGACCATAATTATTTTTATCGAGTTGGTGAGTCAAAAACAGGGCTAAACCTATTGTGTAACCCATTATATTGCCTATAAATACCTCAAATGCAATTAAAAAAAAAAAAAAAAAAACTATAATGTGAGGAAGTTGGCGGTCCTTGATTTTAATCTTAGTCTACCGACGAATCCTAAAATTATTTTGATCGAGTTGGTGAGCTCAAAAAAACAGGGTAACTCTATTGCTGTAAACCCATTAATAAACCAAATTTGCCTATAAAATACCCCAACAAACACCCCTCCAAAAATGCAATTAAATGAAAACAAAAAAAAGAACAGTAAAAAAAAAAAAAAAAAAGTGCACACGAGAGAGAAAAAAGAAAAGAGAAGTGTGCAACTTTTGTACGTCTCCACTCTCCACGGCTCTCCAATTAGATTGAGATTAGGTTTCTTCCATTTCTAAGAAAAAAAAACGGGTAAATAAAAGATAAATTTTGCAGACCATTCAACGTCAAATATTTTGCTTTCACATAAAAAATCATTTCGACTTTCCATTTAAAGAAATGCAACTCCATCTCAGCATTTTTTATAAATGTTGTTGAAAGATAACAAGCTTAGATACCAAAAAAAAAAAAAAAAAAAAAAAAAAAAAAAAATGAAACTGTTGTTGCAATAAAAGAACGAAGAGTTTTTAGAATAGAAAAGCCACGTCTAAGTGAGAGAGAGAGACGCGTAAGAAAGAGGAGGGAGAAACAGATGTAGTTGATGTGGCAAAAAAATTATATTTTTAATGATAGTGAGTGACATGTCAGCTTTTCGATAGTGTCTATATTAAGTATTTTGAATTCAAGGGGTAAAAGTCGAAGGACGATGGCAAAAATTAAGCCCAAAAATTGACAGCAAGACAAAGAAACTTGATTTGCAATCACACCAATTACCGAAGACAGAGACAAGACACGAGAAGATGAATGGACCATATAAGAGTGATCACATTGTGGGGTCCAATGACAACGTGGCACATCCCTGTGCTTTTGTTCCTAAAATAGCAAACTATGTCTGATCATCACCGGCCGATTTTAATTGGATTGTATTTTTGGTGAGGTTGGGAACCACTCTCTCCCTAGTCCCAAAATCAGAGGGGGTTTGCTATGGCAGGCAATCGTATCAATCTAATTAGTTGGGATCTTTGTCAACGTCATTCATGTGATAATAATTCATTGGCCTAACCTTCATTTCCTACCTGTGGATCTTGAAATGGATCCCACCTTGTTATATATATGTGTATTAACTAGCAAAAGAATTTTTTTTTTCTAAAATTTATGGGAACTTTTTTCCCCTAACGGGTTATAAGCTAGTACAAGCAAAATTGGTATTGCTATTGCAAGATTTAGAATATTATTTTTTTTTATTATTATAATGGTTAATTTGTCAAGCACGTCGAGAAAAATAGAAATGTAGCAATTAGTGTGCATTTTCCTTTTTTCCAAATTAGTGTGAGATAAATTTTATAAATATAAAAATTGAGACAAAAGGGAAAAACATATACAATAATCACTTTGCTGGGCAGTATTTTATTGTAGATTGAAGCTTGAGTAAATGCAAATATAGAAAAATAGAAATGAAAAAATGAAAATTTTAAGTCAAAAAAAGTAAGCTCATTTTGGCCAAATTGTCCAAGACTTGCTCCTTGAAGCAGGAGAAAGAAGAAATCTTTTCAAAAGAGCCTATTACGCCAATGCTTTGACAGGGAGTCCATTATGTTACACCACCTTTCCTAAATTCTTTAACTGAAAAAAAAAAAAGGACCATTCATCTAACAAATGGGGTTGTCCAAACACTATCTACCCCATAGCTACAACGTCAAATGCCTTCTAAATAAAGTGGAAGAGGAATTGAGATTTGTGCCATGAATAGCATTAATGAGTAAATCATTCTTCCTGCTTTAATTAAAAACCTCTCCATCAGCACTAGATTGAAGTAATCTCTGCTGAAGGTAAACAATAGGATCAAGCACAGCTAGTCCTGGAGGAATATCTTCAATCATTCTCCAACCCACGAACTCACGTGGTTCAGTAATCAGGACACCCCTGAATGTCGACCATTGACTGTGGGTTGGCGGGCAAAAATAGAGACCATGGCCTTGACCTAGCCCAATGTCATAGAAAAATTCTATGGTCAGTCTGCCAGGCCAGGGGTAATCCCCATAACCCTGCCAAGCTGTAGAAGCAGCATACTGGGGGTTCGTTGGGAATATCCCATGACGCGTGCACCAGTGATTTGATATCTCCCAATAGCAATCATCCAAAGATGTCGGTTCTTGTAATTCACTAATATAAATGATCTCAGAACCTGGATAACCAATTGAAATGATCCATACACCATTCGGGTGGGCTGGATCCATCAACATTGCATTGAATATTTCCTGCATCGGGACTAGTAGAGGTCTGTTTCCCATAAGATAATCTCTAGAGCCGGCTAGCGGATCATGGCTTACCTTAATTTTAACTGGGGTCTTTGGCAGCACTGGTGAGATGTTAAGAGCACCTAAGCATGGAACCAATACAGATGGATTTTTGAGCAAATATTGAAGATTTTGAGCAACATGTGTTCTTGGATGGCCCTGAAGATGAGGAAGTCCTGTAACACTGTGCTCAACAATCTCTTGTATGCCTCCAGCATCAGTTCTAAGCTGCAACATAATCAGAAAAAAAAACTGTTAAGACTTATTCTCTTGCCACTTTTGGAATCCATGCACATGAAACTGTTCTGTGTACACATCACAATTTGATTCAGGGTCACCCTCACAAAATTCTACTTTAATGACATTATTCATTACAATAAAGATGGACTTCAACTATAAGACATAACATTCCAATGCACCATCAAAAATAAAAAAGGAACAAAAAAAGTTTTACACAAGAGAGCAGCCTAGCCATAGGTATCGACAAGTGTTAAACATTAAAGATCAAATTTCTTATATTACTGGCAAAATGTTTCGAAATTTTCTTTGCGCTAAATAATATTTGCTACACATCCTCACTCTTTATTTATTCCCTGTGCAAAGTGCGTCCCTCTCTTAGCACATTAAAAAAAAAAAAAAAATATTAAAAGGAAAAGAATAATCCCTTCATACCCATGTCTTCTTGGCAAATAATTCACAAAAATCCACTCTTATTTACTCCAATAATAAGAAGACCCCACTACAAATAACATCATTTAGAATAACTACAAATAACATTTAGAAATAATGAACTTCAGAAAAGCATAAGATCATATAGCTGCTTGATTCTAGAGTTTTCGGCAGTTCTTCAGCAAATAACATATACATTGTATTCAAGGTCCTTGAAGAAAATAACATTTTCACATGATGGCCAAAAATAGTGAAAACCCAATTAATCAACTAAGAAAACCTTTGCTAGATGCATCATGCATGGCAAATACCATACCCTCAAGTTTTTCAAAGATAACTCAACCATATGTGGGATGTTATGGAAATTAATTCTAGAATCTACAAATCTGTTACAGAAACACCATTATGACAAAACCAATATCAAAAGAATAACTAATAAAATAAAACCCATAAGACAAAAACCCTAATAGTTAACAACAAAAACCACAATTCACAAAACCCAGATGGAAACGAGTAATGTAAATCTCAGGGCAAATTCAACCAGAAGAAGAAATAAAAATTCATCACCTGAATGAGAACGGAATCTTCTCGCTTGCATAAGTAATCGGCTAGAACGAGTACCGACACATCCACACCCGGAAAATAATACTTGTCTCTTAACCACGTCGGACCCGGGTCTTTTAATGATCCATTGAAAACATATTTCTCCGGATTAAACTGGTTAACAAGAACAGCATGCCCTTCGTGAACTTGGATTTTATCCGAGTTAATTTCGGATACTCGAAATCCGCTGGCAAGATCAATCGGCAATCTTGATTTGCCAGTCCCAGTTGCTCCCATAACAATTTGGGAAGAGATTTTAAAGAAGAGTACGATTTTTTAAAAGTTACTTGAAGGATTAAAAACTCGTTTAAACACTTCCATTTTCAACATTCCGAACTGAGTATGTAAGTATGATTACAAAAATTTAATTTTAAAATTATCTATAATTGTATTTATAAATCTTCCATAACAAGGTATTTTGATAATATTTATATTTAATATTATTTTTTTTATCATCAAATCAAATAAAATATATTATTAAATTTTCATTTACCATATTTTCTCGATAAACACAAAAAAAAAAAAATTTATTATATTTTTTCGTACCATATTTTACTTTAATGATCATTTTCTCTCTTCGTCCAACCAAAGCATTAGTGTAATCGCATCTTATCGGAAGGGCTCCATGCGTGCGAAGTTTTAAGTTTCAATAGAAAAATGTTTAAAAAGGGGCTCGATAGGAAAATTTATGAAAGTTCAGGGGTCCAAAAATGCTTTTATTCCTATTTTTACGATTTTCTTGGCAATGCATATATACATGGAATATGATGGGCCAGCTGGGAAATTGTGGCCCAATCAAGTTTCTGAAGAGAATATTTAGTGGACTTTTCGGATGGGTTTGGGTTTGGTTTGAAGTGAGCCCATTCTGCAAAGCCCACATTCTAAGAAAAATCTAAAAATTAAACCCACTAGCCTGGTCCGTTGGAGGATATCATTGTTACATAGAGCCAAGTCTGTCTGATTAATTAGTAATTATAGGATTAATAATTATTTAAATATGTTTTATTATTTTAGATGGAAGATTCCAAGTTGAGCAAAATTATTTAAAAAATTAAATTATAAATACGCAATATGTGATGAGAATGCCATCTTAAAATTCTCGAAAGAAGATAAATAATATTAATTCTTAAATTATTTTTGAAAAAAATTGTAAATACACGAGAATATACTCTTAAAATTCTAGAAAAAGACACCTAATGTTAACCTTTAGCATATCAATAATTTATTTGAAAATAATTAATATATCTATAATTGGAAATTAGTTAAACTTATGCTTTAATCTTAATTTATAGATTTTAAGATAAAACATACAAGGAAATGAGGCCAAATAGATGTAGACATCTAAATAAGAAGGGCCCACTTGAGAAATAGACGTGTCAAAATCAAGGACGTACAAAATCATAAACATACGATCATGCATTATTGGATTGGCAGTGAAAAATAGCAATCCTACAAAGTACTGTACACACTACACAGCGTTTTATTATAAAGGAAGGGGTGCGCACTGCGCACTGTGGATGGCGGTGGTGTAAACCAGGTGGCCACGTTAAGTTAAGCAATGGTCCAAAGCCAAAGGAGAAGAGAGGCTGGCTGACTCGCACTACGATGCGCCGTAGGTGGAGGGCGGCGGAGGATGGATAGAAAGAGATGAATGAGGAAGTAAGGTGATATAATATTGTCGTCATTCGCTATCAGCTATCCTTAAGACAATCTCTTGATAATTGGGCCTTTTTGTTTCTTTCTTCCTTTTTTATTTCACTTTTATAAAAACAACTCAAAAGAAACAGAATCTCAAAACAATAGGGAAAAAAAAAAAAAAAAAGAAACAGAATCTCAAAAACAATAGGGAAAAAAAAAAAAAAAAATCAACACTTGTGGTTTCTTTTTTTTTTTTTTTATTTTAAAATAAAAAAGTCAACTTCTTTCAGTCTTTTTCTTTTTCTTTTTTTTTTTTTTGTTAATTGGGAGGGTTTAAAAGAAAATCTTTTATTTGATGGGACATTATTGAAGTTCTAATTAGCATAAAATTATGTTTATTTTTTTAATTAGGTGGTTATAAGTCGTTACCTCATTTTTAACCCATAATTCAACTCTAATAACTAATTTTTTTTTTATGACTATGATTGTTAATGCTCATTTTTAATATTAATTTGATTTTTTATTTATATAATTATTAATATAAAATTTTATTTTAGATTGAGTGTTAATAATACCATTACATTTTATAGAAAACAGTTAAAATTTTTTTTTAACTACTAAAAAAATTTATTGTTTTTGCTAACTACTTAATAATTACAGATTTTATATATATTTAGTTGCTTTTAATTTTAAAATAAAATTAAAATTAATTATATAAAATTATTATTAGCTTCTATTATAAGTTTCATAATTATTTACACATTTCGTTAATAATTTTCACTATATCTCTATATAGTAACATAAACTACTGAAATTAATTTATAAATACAAAATTAAATATTATAAATAATAATAATTTATTTTTTCTATTAAAATCATAAATTATTTAAAAAATTATTAATAAATTATTATTTTTTATAGAAATAGGAATTTGAATTGTATAAAATATCAAATATAACTAATAAAAGATGTTTAAAATAATAAATTTTTTGAATTGTATAAAATATCAATATAACTAATAAAGATGTTTAAAAATAATAATTTTTTAATTAATTTTGGTCAACCAAATTAGAGTGCAATTTGAAAGAAAAAAATTTAATCATATCCTTTTAAAATTAAAATTTGAATAATCTAGATATATTAATTTAAAATAAATTTTAAAATTTTAAAAATTTTCAAATGTCTCATAGTTACATATATTATAATAATAAAATTATTAAATTATTATAAATAATAAAATTATTAAATTATTATAAATAATTTACATAATAATATAATGAGAGGTAAAGTTGATATGTGAATGTTGTCTACTTCTAAAAATTAATTTTAGTAAAGAGAATTAAAGAGCAACTTGAATTAACACGTGGGGGTGGAGTTTTCTTTTGTTTTTGTTTTTTTTGTCTATTATTAAATAAAATAAAAGGTTAGCATTACAAGAGAAGTGCAACCCTGAAAAGAAGAAGAGCATAAAATTGCAAAGCAAAAGCCCTAAGTGTACTCAGGTGACCAGAACAGGAGAGAAGATTAAGGGGGAGATTTCTTTTTGGCCTTTTTTGGGTTACCTACTGCTATCAATGCCTTGACAACTACAAAAAGATCCACTTTAGTGGAGAGAAGAAAAGGAGAGATGGAGCTTTTTTCTTTTTTCTTTTTTCTTTTTTCTTTTTTTTAAATACATATATTATTACTAATAGAATTAAAAAATTAGAAAATTTTGTATGAGCAGTACTCAGGCTTTGGCCATAGAGAGATAGAGAGAGATGATTTGATGTAAAGCCTGTTCGGAAGAGTAGGCGCATTGTGTCTCAAAATGCGAGCATGATGAGTCAAAATCTAATAGCATCAATCTCTCACCTTCCTTGATTGGTGATGGACGGATGGATGGGATTGCTTGAATTGATTCATGCATGGTAAATTAATCATTTCATGAGTTGAAATTTTTTTTCGACATCAATTTTGTACTAACATGAATCAGCATATTACCTTCAAATTAAAAATATAATCTCATCCATTATTAATTCAACAACTAACCTATCCATTCTTCTTTTGTCTTTTCCTACCCTTACCTTCAAACTTCCTGTATTAACTATCGAGCTTGTATTTTCGTATTTATAAAAATTGAAGTCGTGTATAATTTCAATACATCCACCGTGAATGATGTTATATATATTTTTTTAATTGAAGGAAATGAATATTATTTTCTTAGTATGTTATATTCATTTTTGGTAAGCAATTCTTTTTAAAGGAGGCAACCAAGTTAGCCAAATGAAGAAATAGATAAATATAGACAATGGGAAAATGTATTGGTGACAAATTTCTAATGTGATGTGCCCTTTTGGATAGGATTAGAATCAGAAATGTATTTGTTTCTACTACTTCCAACTATTCTCTCAGCCTTTTTGGGCTTTGCTCTTTATTCCCCACTTTCGATTGGATATTCCCACTTCAAGTAAGATTTTTTCTCTTTCACCATTAAAGTTTGCAGTGTAGATTTAGTAATTTCTTTTAAAGCTGAAGCTTGAAATTTTTTTTTTTTTTTTAATGCTTCTAATGAAATTATTTTATATAATGATATTTCCAAATATAAAGTTCAGTAAAGTTATATGATTAGCTATAAATCATAAGGGTTGATGCCTTGGATTCATTAAATCTGGAGTTGGATTTCTGTTTTCGAGCACTTACACTGTGTTTGGATTGATAGAAAATAAGAGAAGAAAGATGTTAATCGTTATTAAACCCATCAATTAATTTGAAAAGAGCAGACTGATGTAGATTTGTGATTATGATGGATTTCATTTATGTATTTGGTTTCTGTAAAGGAGCAGAAAATCTTTTGCTATTTTTGATATGATTTCATGAAAAAGATTGAAAGTATATATCATGTGTTGTTTGTAATATGAGGAATTTATAAAGATTTTCAACAGATTTGAACAGTTAAATGGATCAATCAAAATTACTAAAATTGATATAATACTATTTATTTTATCTTGTTGGCTGCATTTGGAATATTAAATTGCACTTCAACAGTTGATGTCAAGCACTTCTTCGTCAGTGGTGGATTTTACTTCATCGTCTCATATACGGATGAATTATCCTTATTTATTTATTTATTTTATTTGTTCTCTTATTTTTTTTTTCAATTTAACCTATTATCCAAAAAATAATAATTAAAAATTGTCAAAAACATTGGAATCAAAGCATATTAAGAAATTGTAAAATGGAAATTAAATTAGGAGATATTACATCAACATCTGAAGCCACACTTGAAAAGCTGAAAAGGCTATGAGACCTACAAATATGGGGCAAGAGAAGGGGTGGGGTAAAGCTTATTTGCCACCTTGCTTTTAGCTACTCCCTCAGGAAATCTTTTTTGTCTCATGTGTCAAACTGTGGTGCTACCTTATTTCCAAAAACTATATTATGTGTAACTAGTGAAATCCACAGTATTTGCTTAATTATTAGCATGTGTTTTTTGCATATTGGGACCCATTTCTCAATGGGCTTTATATTTATATTGCATTACCATATATTAAAAGCCAGATATTTGAAAAACGCTCTAATTTAATCTATGCTAAATATTTTAAATTTGGAATCTGATTTAGTCGATCCTGAAAATAAGATTCTTTGTATGCTATTTATACTATTTGATAGAGTAATATTTATATTAATATTTAGAATTGAAGAAAAGTAAATTATTAAATATTATTAATAATTATTAAAATAATTAATATTGCTCAATAGAGATAAATAATGTCTTTAAACGGGGAGAAAATCAAGTTATTAGAAATTCTTATTATTTATCTTTTAGGTAGATGGAGTAATTAAAAGAATGAGCAAATGGATTTTTTGATTCAAAATTTATGTTAAAATCAGATTTAAATTTGAATTTTAAATAAATTAAATTGTAAAGAAATTTAAAGAATAAAATTGATCATTATTGATAACACATATTATCATCACAATCACAAATATATAACACCATATTATCATCACAATCCACAAAATACTATATATATTATATATATAATATATAATAATATATATATATATAAAGTAAAACCACACCCAAGAAAAATTAATAGAAGAAGGGGATATATATAAAGTAAAACACACCCAAGAAAATAATTAGAAGAAGGGGAAAAAAATAAAGAAGGAAAGAAAGAAAGAGATGGCGTGTAATAACAATGTCTGTATGAAGGTGATAATTTAATATTTGTACTGTGCTGACAGAGGAGATATGAAACAGCTTTATCGATTCATGGTGAAAATCTCATAACCCTCTTCGCTATTTCTCTTTCTCTTTTCTCTTCTTCTTATTAATTTTTTTTCCTTCTCTCTATCTCTCTCATGGAAACTACTTTCTGTTCCCTCCCTTTCATTTTCTTCACTGACAGAGAATACCTGCACACTCTCTCACGCACGCACGCATACTCTAATCAGAGCCCCAGACCCACACCCTATTGATAGAGAGAGAGAGAGAGAGAGACAGTGCAGAGAAAACACAGAGATTTTCCCCAAGCCAACACAGATCATACCTTCTCATTATCATTTCTTGCCTTTTTACCCCTGCCGCTCGATTCATCAAATCCCCATGAAACAAACCCCTTATAACTCTCTCCTCCTCCTTTTCTATCTACCCTAGCCAACCAAACTAGATAACGAAGTGATAATAACATTAGCAGGCTTCTCTTCATCTTCTGTAATAAACTCTTCTTTTCTTTCTTTAAACTCCTAGCTTTTACACATTTTCTCAAGTTGGTTTTGATGGGTTTTTGATTTTTTATAGGATTTCTAGTTTTTCTTAAGTTTTTAGAGCTTCAATATACAGGCTTCTCTTCTGGGTTTTCTTCTTTTTTTATGGAGAACTACCGCCATTTTGACAATGGTGATACCCATTTACCTCCTGGCTTTAGGTTCCACCCTACTGATGAGGAACTTATCACCTACTATCTTCTCAAAAAGGTTCTTGATAGTAATTTCACTGGCAGGGCCATTGCTGAGGTGGATCTTAACAAGTGCGAGCCATGGGAGCTGCCTGGTAACTAATTTAACTAACTCAAAGATAGCTAGTCCATTGCCACTCGCTTAGAATCATTCATTAATATTAAAGTTTGAAAATTTTCCTTTATTAGTTTACCTGATTTGTTGTCTTCTTTTGATGCTCATTAGAATAAGAATCAGTATCTATTAGAAGTCAAAGTTTGAAACTTTTTTTTTTGTTAATTTTATTATATTCTAATCTTCTATATTTATTTTGTAGATAAAGCGAAAATGGGAGAGAAAGAGTGGTACTTCTTTAGCTTACGAGATAGGAAATACCCAACTGGGTTAAGAACTAATAGAGCAACTGAAGCTGGTTATTGGAAAGCTACAGGGAAAGATAGAGAGATTTATAGCTCAAAGACTTGTGCTCTTGTGGGTATGAAGAAGACTTTGGTATTTTACAGAGGTAGAGCTCCTAAGGGAGAAAAAAGCAACTGGGTTATGCATGAATATCGTCTTGAAGGCAAATTTGCCTACCATTTTCTCTCCCGCAGCTCAAAGGTAGTGATTAATTACTTTCTGTTCTTTATTAAGCTGGAAAAGTCATTGCTAACTATATGGATTACTTAAACATTTAACCATATAAACGTATATGTTATGATTAGGGTTGTTTCAGTGAAGCAGAGAAAAAGTTTGATTTTAGTATGAAATGATGATTATGATGATGTGTTTAATACGGTGTTTTTCTTGTACCCTTTCTTCTTGCATTTTATAGCTAAAAAAAAAATTCTAACTAGGTTAGATTTTCTTGGCAGTTATGGTTACAGTTTTAGCCCCAATTAATAACGATCCGTACTCTTCTGTTCTCATTTATAAGCCTGAAAAAGCATCCCCATTATTTTCTGTTATTGCTCTTTTATTAATCACTTTGGATAAATTTACTGAAAGCAATTTCTTTATCATCAGGATTTGTTTTTACCCCAGCATTTCAGCATCTTTCTTCTTCCTTTCTTGAGAGAAAATATAGATTGTGAATTAGATTTTTGAGATAGACCCTAGATTGCTCTAGTGTAATCTTTATTTTAGGCACACATCCGAAATTTTAGGGTAAATGATTAGGTTATCCTTGTATCGATAATTTCATTTAATAATTATATTATTTGATAAACATGTACTCGACTATTAAATTATAATAATTGAAATTTAATGTAATGCAATGTAATTATTTACGTTATATTGAAATACATTATTTGCATTAAAATGGATAGATGGTGACAATGTTGTCTGTAATTGATGCAAGTAGTAGATTATATTAACATTTGCTGACTTTCTTCCTTGGGTTGATTACTTGCGCCAGGATGAGTGGGTTATCTCCCGAGTCTTCCAGAAAAGCGGCGGGGCCACCAGTAATAGCAGCAGTAGCAGCGCCACAAAGAAAACCCGTTTCAGCAATACTATCAACCTCTACCCAGAAGCCAACTCTCCCTCGTCGGTGTCTCTCCCGCCGCTTCTTGATCCTGCTGCGACGGCAACTACCATTACTACCGCCGCGTCAACCACTACTCTCAATGACCGTGACAGCTGCTCCTATGACAGCCATGCTCAACCTGAGCACGTGTCCTGTTTCTCCACCATTGCAGCCGCTGCTTCCGCCGCTGCTAACCAGAACACCACTTTTGATTTCACTCCGCCACCTCTCCTCCCTATGACAGCGGATCCATTTGGTCGGTTCCCAAGAAACATGGGTGTCTCCTATGACAGCGGATCCATTTGGTCGGTTCCCAAGAAACATGGGTGTCTCAGCTTTCCCTAGCTTGAGGTCTCTGCAAGAGAATCTTCAGTTACCTTTCTTTTTCTCTTCTCCATCCCCTGTTGTGGCTGCTGCGCCATTTAATGGAGGTGGTACCACTACTGGCATGAATTGGATGGCAGCAGGTTCGGAGGAGGGTGGCGCTGCCAACGTTGGTGCTGCTAATGGTGGTTCTAGTGGTGGTGGAAGGGTGGCGATGGGTCCCACCGAGCTTGACTGCATGTGGACCTACTAATCAGTCTTTTAATTAAAATTATTAATGTATTTACTTTGTTAATTAGTTGTGTTTTGTTATTATCTTGTGTAATGTCTCTTTTAAGACTATTTAATCAGTTTTTATGTGATGTTTTAAATATTAGATTTCGGGTTATGATTAGGGCTACTGGTGTATTTGTAGGTTTTAAAAGATTTTCAGGTTAATTATGATATGGTGATTCTGCTTATTTGCTTATCTGTAGAAAGTAACTTGTAAAATCTTATGTTGTCATCTATGGAATTAATTAGTGATTAGGTACAAATTGCAGCTTTTTAATTTTTTTTCAGTTGAATAACAACTAATTGAACCTTATTTTTGAGAGCAATAATGTATTTCATTTTACATAAATTGTCATTGATTAATGAATTTAGGTTATATTTAAGACCTCATTTTATTTTTAAATACTTGTTATATTTATGAATTTTATAAATAATAAAAGTTTTTTCATTTTTACTTTAAGTATATTATCAACAGGATTAATAAATTAAAATAGATAAATTGATATATAATTTATAATTTCCAACACAGTATGATGATTTTTTTTCTCATTTCAAAAATCAGCAAACTCTATCGGTAGCTAACAGGAAAGTTCTATATCTTTGAGTATTTATAATTTCTTGATGTTATTATTAATGAATTAAATTTTTTTAAAAAAAGTATAGTATTTATGTTGCTATTACGATATGGAAGATTGTGGTATTAAAACGCATATTATTTCAAATTAGGTGAAAGTCTGCAGATATATCTAACATAGTATTTATGTTTCTATTATTTCTTAGTTTATATAGTTTATAATTTAGAAATTATATATGCTACAAATTTTACTGATTGGTACAGTCAAATGTCTCATTGTGATGCAAATAATGTCATTGAATCAATAATAATATTATCAAGGATTATATATATCCCAAAATTATCATAAATTTTTGAGAAATATAATTCATTAACAATAAAATCAAGTATTACAAATATTCAATTAGACCAGACATAGAACTTATTATCACAATTAATAGAAAGTTTGTTGATCCTTCAACAACAAAAGAATTATCTATATTATTTTGAATAATAAAACTAAAACTAAAAGAAACAATATTGAATTTTTTTCGCTTGAAAATAACCTTAACCGACATAAATCTTCATAGCAGCAACTGGTCATTTAATTAATTTGGACGACAGAATAACTTGTCTGTATCTTCTATGCTTGGATTCTTTTTCGAAAATTTGTAGCGTATAATTATACACGAATGAATTCAGGCCATTATGCGTTAATAGCATAAATGGAGGAACATACTGCACTGTTAAGCTTCATTAATCGAAGATACACATCAGTAAAACAAGATTTAAATTCTCTAACCAAATAAAATCAAATATCATACCTTTTAAGAATAAATCTTCACAAAAGAAGAAACTAAACTCTCACGAAAGAAGGGACAAAAGAACTCCAAATATGGAGACAAAGCAACAATAACAAAAAAACAAAGAAAAACAGATTAAAAGAAAATAGATCTGAGTTTATAAAAAACGAATAAAAGATTATCATAAATTTTATACTACTATTTCTTCTTTTTTGGTATAAAAGGGAATCAAGAAAACACTAAGAAGATTTTTTTTTTTTTTTTTTTTTAAAAAAAGGGGTCTACTAGGTGTGTTAGTCACTGCTTTCATCGGCTCAAGCTAGCGATCAGGTGTTGACGTTCTAATTTAAGACAACCTCATAGGACACACCAGCAGGGAGACGCTGTCTCCTTCCTGCAAGATAGTAGCATTACGATTCTCAACTCATGACAAGAGAGCCCAGCCCTAAGGCAGTCTACAAAGCGAGCCGTGGCTCTTTGACATGAGAGTCAATATTTAAACATCATGTGTAACGGGATGCTAGCCCACGAAGTGGGCAGTGGCTCTTAGGCAAGAGAATCAATATTTAGACACTATGCGTAACGGATACTATCATGGAGGATCGAATCTAGATCAAGCAAGCGGATGATCTAACGTCTTTACACGACTTGAGCGGTCACTAAAAAGATTAATGCATAAGTAAAACAAGAAGAATCATGAACAAACAATGAAAGAATACCATGACATGGATCTTCGAGAATATGGATACCCGAAGAAAAAAACAGAAATATTGACATTCAATCTGCACAAAAATTATCATAAATTTTCTACTAATTTATAAGTATTCTATAGCCTAATTGATCCAGATATGTCATATGGATTCTATATATAGCTAATGAATGAGAGTTGTGATTAAGATGTGGATGGAACCGGAGTGACAGTAGACTTGTTGTGGACTTGATTAATGGTCTTGATATGCCTTTGAACTCAAGTCTCCTCTTCGAATATGTTAAGTCTCTCAGATTAGTTAAGGAGCTCTTTTGTATTTTTTTTTTTTTTTTTTTTTTAAAAGCTCTTTGTTAAATAATTTTTTTTATTTTTTTTTTTTTAAACCCAGGAGATAATAAGAATCTCTCACACCATTCCAGGCATAATAAATATATCTTTTAATCCTTAAATAAAGTATTTTTCCGGAAAAATTGAATTTGTATATCATTTTATGAAAATTAAAAACTCTATCAAACTTAAATATACTTCTTGTATGTATGAAAAGCTAAGTTTTTAGTGCTACTTGGTTTTTGAATCTTGTTAACTTTCTTCTTTTTTTTTTTTTTTTTTTTTTTTTTTTTTAAACCAGGAGATATAATCTCTCTCTCGTTGCCGGCTATAAATATTTTTTATCCTTTTAATAAAATGTATTTTTCGGAAATTGAATTTGTATATCACTTTTATGAAAATTAAAACCTCCTATCACTTAAATCAATACCTTCTTGGTATGTATGAAAAGCTAATTTTAGTGCTACTTGTTTATTGAATCTTGTTAACTTTCTTCTTTCAACTCGTATTCTAGATGCTCATGTGTGAATCATGAATGAGTAAAATGTTATTTCTCTTTTCATCTCAAAAATCAAATAATAATAAAATGGAGAGTAAATCCACTTATTAATAGAATTAATTTTAAAGTTTTTATTTTTTTTTATTTTTAACTCATGATTAGTTCCATAAAAGGGTAGTTTTTCTTTTTACATCAATTTCCACTTTACATCAACTAAAGTTTTGTTCGGTAACAACTTCTTAAAAAAAACTTTTAGCAGTTTGACAGACTATTTTTTATAATATTTAAATTAGATTTTAGAGATTAAAGTATGATTTTATAAAAAGTTAATCATGTAACATATAACTTTTAATGTTTTATGAAAAATTATTAAAACAGCAAAACGCTATTAAAATAACTAACAGCTAGAAAAATAATTAATTTTACCGAGAAAATCCTAAATCTATAATATTTTTGCTTTAATACATAGTTTGGAAAATAATTGTGCCTTTAATTAATTATACGAAGACGAAACTTAATGAAGTTGTAATAATTGTACTATTGCATTCATCAGACAATTCACTTATATAGTTCTCTGATATTTTCTTACAATGAACAGAAGAAAAAGTGCATTAAATAGGTTGTTGTTGAAATAAGTGGGTGAACCTGCAAATTGTACACTTTCCCAAACCCAATTTTTAATTTTTTAGACTCGCAAAAATTTATAATTATACACTTTTATATTCAATAATTCATCAATTACTACTAAGAAAATATTAATTCTAATGCTACCACCAAGCGCATTATCAAAATTTATTATTTATGTAATTTTCTGGTATTTAATAATAAACTCTTAAACTGTAAAATTTTTATAAATCAAAATAGTTTTATAATCTTATAACTAAAATTTTTAATATTACAATTAACCATTAGAAAATGAGTTTCTGGAAAATTATTTTTCAAAGAAATATTCTTTGCAAAAAGCTTTTTTTTTTTTTTAAATAAAGGAAAATTTTTTGAAAAGAAAAATGATATTGAGAAGGGGGAGGGTCTGGGTCTAGAGTGATGGGACATGGAGAGTACTGATGTCTGATGATATAGCATCTGCCTGCTTGTGGAAGGAACAAATTTAATGCTCTGTCTGTTTGTTAGCACTCCACCTGTAGGTTCACAATTTTATTGAAATCGGGCTACAATTTTTGTCCAAACCTCGTTTTAATGTCTTAGATCGGGGAAATTAACACTTGATCTATGGTTCGAGCCAACGGGACAATGACTAACAAGTATAATAATCTTTTTTTATTAAAAAAATAAAAAATAAATATCATTTTAATAACTCAATTAACATTTTAATTTTGGCCTATTAATAATTCTTATTAAGGTGCAAAAAGCAATTTTTTCCGACCAATTGAAGTCTGTTGCTAAAGTTAGTATGATTTTTAAGGTGATATTCTGATAAAATTCTTTTACTAATAAAAAAATATATTCAATAGTAAAGGTTAGAGATTTCACGTATTTAATTTTACAAGTGAATTTTGCATGAAAATGCAATTTATTTTCGTAAATTCAACCACATGTCAATAATTATATTTATAATTTAGGTCTTTGTATGAATTTATAATATATAATTTTCTTTAGAAAATGTTTGTATAGACCGAGTCTATAGTCCTACCTATGGACTAAACTGAGTAAAACATTTTTAAAAATTGTTCGAAATTTATCTTTTTTTCCATTGTATGATAAAAAATACATTCGTCTCAATAAAAATTTATATTTTCATTGATTGAATTCATAAGTAAAGCTACAGACCCAATCGAAACAAGTTAATCGGGACAGTAGAAAAATTGTGAGAAGGAAAGTAATTTGCATTTCAACATCTTTGAAGAAAAGTAGTTGTTTCCTTTTTTTTTTTTGGAAAATTTTCCTTTTCTTTTTTCTTCTTTGCATACATAGAAAGCATATGGATATTTTACCATCTAGAGAAAAATCCATTTTGCTAATGTACAAAAAACTAATCGATTAAACCTTGTTTCATAGGTTTCAGAATTTTTACCTAAAGAGTATAGAAATAATTAAGTTAGAAACAAGACTTACACATCCATTGCTTTATATATTCACCAAATGCCAAACACATAAACGTACATATATGCAGAGTCAAAATTGTTGGCCCACCCCAAGCAGAAACCTCCCACATCCTCTGCAAAATAAATAATTTTCAGTGACTTCACTCATTATATTTAAATTTTTTGTTCTTTTGTTTTAATTATCTATATTTTTTTTTATTTTTGTAATTTTAATTTTAACTAGCTTCGGCCTTTTTTTTTTTTCATGTGTTTCTAGACTTCGTTCGGAAATGATATTCAGGTAAAACTTTTTCAACCGTGACGACTCCAGATTTTAAACTCCTTAATTAGCTTCAGTTTAAGTCCTTTCTTTTACATGTTAAAATAATTTTAATTTTAAAATTCTTTTTTTTTTAATTTTATTGGTTCTAATTACAATATCATGTCCTATAAAATAAGCTTGCCGTCTATTGAATTTAATATAAACAATTTGAGTTAATCTCAATCTTGAATCTTGTCAGCTTCGAGCTTGGCTTATTAAGGTAATGCTCAAGCTCAATTTCAACCAGGCTTCAAAAATCAAGTTGAAGCTTGTATATTTTCAATTTATAATTAATTTTTTAACTTATTTATATATTTTTAAATTCAAATTTGAACTTGATTCATCCATTAAACAAATTCAATAAACTAGCTTAAATTTTAACTGCTAAGTTTATTATTTTTTTCGTTTTAAAATATAAGTCGTTTTTAAATGATTATTTTATTTTAAAATATAAGTGAATATTTTCAAAAATAATAAATAATGTTTTTTCAATATTACCCTTACTTATATTAGATATAATAACTACTTTCATAATAGTTTGAAATAAAGGGTAATTTGATCTAAATACGTTTAGTTTTAATATAATTTAAGAAAATTTATTGTTTACTTAATTTATTTACAGCAATCTTAAATAATTTATATTTTGAAATAAAAGGATTATTATTATGATTATTATTATTATTATTATTATTTAAAAGTTGAGGAAAAAAGATGGATGGTGATGATTGAGTGTGGTCAGCATCTTTAGTATATTAAGGTTGGAATTGGACACGTGACGTGTAGTACAATTGGCAATGCAATTAGTGCGTTAACATTTTGGGGTCTGTGAGGGAGAAGCAGAGAGGAGGCATTGTCCCATCTTTTGTGCATGGAAATGGCATGGCACGCGCTGTACCTCATTGGTGCTAAGTTTTGGATTTATAATCCATTGGGTGCCTTTTCCTACTTTTTTCTCTTTATGATGTGAAGGAAAAATAAATAAATAAATAAATAAATATTTTTGGCTTTGAAATGAATTATAAGGTTAAAAGACAAACCATCCTGACCACTAAAATCCCAAAATATGACCAAAAGCTGGGCTTTGGAGGATATGTGATATGAGGAGAAAGGGGATTTTTAATTTGTTTCTGTGTTTGCAGTTGCAGGAATTCTGATGTGTGACTTTTTGCTAGCCATTGATTGAACACATGGCTTTGCTTTGGGCCAAGAATTATGGGCCTCCAATGGTTTACAAGATTGAGTTTTATCGTTGCAATTATATTTAAATTTTATTTTTATTTTTTCGTTTCAATTGGATTTATTTGATAAAACAAAAAAAAAAACAAGTAACAGACAGTGAACTTTAATTTGTTCAAACTTAGTCGGCAAATGATCATAAAAGTTTGAATTCAATTTAAGATTGCATTTTGAAGCTTGAACTCAATTGGTTTGAAAAATATTAAACTCGAACTTCGCTTATAATATTGATTTATGTTAGCTTGAGTTTGAACTCAATTTTAAGTTCGAAAACCTAATACCTAAACCATCTTTAAATGGATTTAGATGGATAAAATACTCACAAAAACCCACGCTATTTATATGTACGGTTAGGGGTGAGCAAAAATACCGATCGAATTGAACCGAAAGTCGAACCGACTCATTTCAGTTTGATTTGATCTGATACTCAAGAAAGGTTCGGCTGATTGGTTCGTTCGGTTTGAACTGAATTTGTTGCTCAGTATAATTCGATTACATAAATATTTGGCGGTTGGACTTAAAATCGAATCGAAATAGTAAAAATCGACAAAAATAGACTGAACCAATCGGTTTGATTCTTTGGTTCGGTTCATATACAAATTTCTAATCAATTCAGTTTATTGTAAAGAAAGTTCAATTTATATTTTGTGGCTTCAGTTGAGTTCAAGTTTGCTCAGCCCTACGTACAATCTCACCAAATTTACTATCTATAAAATATAATTAGTGAAAATAATAAAAAATTTAAATAAACTTTAAGCTTATAAATATCAAAATTATAAGCAAATGAGTTGAGTTAGGTAGAGTTACTTTTAGTGTGTAGCGAATATCTGCAGTGTTAAACTCACATTCGATCTAAAACCGCTGTTTTATCTCAAATTCATTTAATTAATACCTGCGACAACCCGCCATGCTTCAACACCCATATCCGGTTATTTTGCTTTAATGGATATGGATTCATGATTTTATCCTTTTCCAGAACTGCACCGAACATTAACCCGTTTGACACCTCGGGTCGTTGCCCGACACGATGCCAGGGAAACCTTGCCACGCGCCAGTTAAACTTCATGCTCTTTCTATTTCTCACTTCACTACATGTACAATACCAACTTTTAGTGCAAGTAAGCAAAGCCAAGCTATGGACGAAGAATTCTCACTGGAGGATCCTACTCCTTTACTTGAATCCGCCTCTGATTTCGCTTATTTTCCCGGTACCCATTTCAATATTTTCCTTTTTATTACTATTTTTTTAAAAAAAATATTTTCCTTCTCTGGGCAATTTACAGTACTTCAATTGATACTGTGTGTTCAATTCATCGATTTTCAGGTGTTCAAAATGATGCCGTTGTTAAGGACTTTCTTGATCGTTTTCCCCTTCCTCTCATTATCAGGTAATCTTCCTTTTGATGCTTGATATATATATTCAATATGTAATTTTTTATACATAATTGTAATGGGTGGATTTACCTGATTATGTGGTTTGTTATGCATCTTAAGCTTTACTTGGCTTGTTAATTACCCAATTTGGTATGTGGTTTTGCTATTAATTCTTCAATTTGCATTTGCAGTTCTTTACAAACAAAAACAGATGTGCCTGGTTTGGAGAAGACTCTGGTTGCTTGTCTAGAAAGAATATTTAAGACAAAGTATGGTGCATCTCTGATTCCGCAGTATATGGTTTGTCTACTGCTGCTACTTGTTTTGAGTAAAGTTGTATGTTTGTGTTTATGTGCGTGTGTTGAAGATTGAGGAAGAGTTTATTGAGGTTTGGTTTGTTTCATTTATCAAGTATTCTTATGCTTTGCTCTCATTTTCGGGTTTTCTTCAGTCCTTCGTGCAGCTTGGTTTGAAGGCAGATTCACAATTAGTAAGATGTTTAGCTTGCAAAACGGTATGTGTATATAATGCCTTATGCATCTTTTTTAATTGATTTTGTTTTATTTTAAATGTCGCTGCATGCATTGAGTTTTCTGTGTTGAACAGTTGTGGGACTCGTTATCTATATTATAACCTATGTAGTGTGCCAGAAAGAATGGATGGCATCTGATGAATATTATGCTGAGATAAAAAATGACTTTCTTATGTTAAAATACTTTGCATGTGTTGGCAGATATTGGCCAAGTATTATTGATCATAATGACCAATAATCAAGAGTCTGTATGGATGTCCTTATTGTTAATAATCTGCATGAATGACCCATTAGTTAAAAGATTCAGGAAGGTGGAAATTTTCAATCTTGGTGAAGATATTCCTAATATGTAACTGATTCTGATAGGTACTTGTATTGGTCTATTGAGCTACCTGGAAAGTAATTGATGATGGGACCAGCTCCAGTTAGATGCTGTTTTGGTTGGAAGAGAAGACGTTTTTTATGATCTAGAATCAATTTTAGTTTGAAAGGATTTTCAGAAATGAAAGTTGATATACATCATGGATTTTTGGAATAACATAACTGGGCCAGACTCCAGATGTCTGAGTGTGCTGTTGAAAAAAAGGGACCAGTTGCTCCTGTCTTATAGTAGCTCATACATTGTGGGAGAGAAGAAAAACACTAGAGAGATTATCTTTTAGCTTTCTCAAATTCTAAAGATATAGAGATAATGCCAATTTCAACAAGTGAATGAAAATTGGAAATTGGAAATTTCAGGATCCTTTTCAATGAATCAAATGCCTGTTTGCTGTCTAGTTAAGCTGTGAAGAAATTCACTAGTCTTTGGGGGTCTGAGGGTTGTTGGATGAAAATGCTGTTCACATTTGGAGGTAGCACTTGCAAGGACACGATTAAATGATGGTGGCTAAAGACCTGATGACCAATCTTGTATATCTAATGTTGTAAAAAACTTACTTAATGTGTTTAGTGGTTTGCATATTTTAGTACATTAGAATTTGGTGCCATGGATCTTAGTTGAATTGCTAAATATATATGTATGATTGAATGCCTTTTCAAATAATAATAATGCATTTAGACAAATATTATTTTACTCCATTCTCAACTTGGCACAGGTTGCCTGTCTTCTGGAGAATGTTAATGATAAAACCATCTCGCCTGCACGGCTAATCATTGACAGTGACATATATCCTCTTCTACTTGATTGTCTCATCAACGGGTAAGCATTTTGCAGCTCCCCTGTGGGATTTTCAGTTGTTTATGTTAAATATTTAAGAAAAAGGAAATGGAGTGCAATAAGGAATCTGCACTGTAGTTCGGAGTAAAATTTAGTCATACCATTATGGCCACAATACTCTTAATGAGTCTAGATATAATTATGTTTTGGAATAGGATTGATATGCAACGAAATTGCAAAGTTGATATAACCACAACATGCATTGGATTTTTTTGGATATAACATTTAAACTGGGCAGACTCCAGATGTCTGAGTGGTGCTGTTGAAAAAAAAGGGACCAGTTGCTCCTGTCTTATAGTAAGTCTATCATACAATTTTGTGGGAGAGAAAGATAAAAAGCCACTAGAGAGATTATCTTTTAGCTTGTTCTCAAAATTCTAAAGATATATGAGTATATATGTCCAATTTTCATACACAAGCTGAATGAAAATTCGGAAAATTGTGAAATTTCCAGCGCATATCCTTTTTCAAGTGCATCAAATGCCTGTTTTTGCTAGTCTAGTTAAGACTGTGGAAGAAATTCACTAGTCTTTGGGGGTCTGAGGGTTGTTGATGAAAATGCTGTTCACTATTTGGAGAGTAGAGCAACTTAGAGCGAGGTACATTCCTAACGATTAAATGATTGTGTTGGTCTAAAGACCTCCTGATGACAATCTTGTATATTCTAATGTTGTAACAATCTTATCTTTATTGAGCTACCTGGAAAGTAATTGATGATGGGACCAGCTCCAGTTAGATGCTGTTTTGGTTGGAAGAGAAGACGTTTTTTATGATCTAGAATCAATTTTAGTTTGAAAGGATTTTCAGAAATGAAAGTTGATATACATCATGGATTTTTGGAATAACATAACTGGGCCAGACTCCAGATGTCTGAGTGTGCTGTTGAAAAAAAGGGACCAGTTGCTCCTGTCTTATAGTAGCTCATACATTGTGGGAGAGAAGAAAAACACTAGAGAGATTATCTTTTAGCTTTCTCAAATTCTAAAGATATAGAGATAATGCCAATTTCAACAAGTGAATGAAAATTGGAAATTGGAAATTTCAGGATCCTTTTCAATGAATCAAATGCCTGTTTGCTGTCTAGTTAAGCTGTGAAGAAATTCACTAGTCTTTGGGGGTCTGAGGGTTGTTGGATGAAAATGCTGTTCACATTTGGAGGTAGCACTTGCAAGGACACGATTAAATGATGGTGGCTAAAGACCTGATGACCAATCTTGTATATCTAATGTTGTAAAAAACTTACTTAATGTGTTTAGTGGTTTGCATATTTTAGTACATTAGAATTTGGTGCCATGGATCTTAGTTGAATTGCTAAATATATATGTATGATTGAATGCCTTTTCAAATAATAATAATGCATTTAGACAAATATTATTTTACTCCATTCTCAACTTGGCACAGGTTGCCTGTCTTCTGGAGAATGTTAATGATAAAACCATCTCGCCTGCACGGCTAATCATTGACAGTGACATATATCCTCTTCTACTTGATTGTCTCATCAACGGGTAAGCATTTTGCAGCTCCCCTGTGGGATTTTCAGTTGTTTATGTTAAATATTTAAGAAAAAGGAAATGGAGTGCAATAAGGAATCTGCACTGTAGTTCGGAGTAAAATTTAGTCATACCATTATGGCCACAATACTCTTATTTATCTTGAGATATTCTTCCTGAGGGGGGGAATTTGCTGTCTATCCAGTGTCTTGATTGATAAATTGCCTTGTAACTTGTCATTTGGGGTCTAGTCTCTACTGTTAGATTCTCCCTTTATAGATTCTTGGGGTTATCAGCAAACCGCTGCCTCGGAATTCTTATGTGGTATCCCTGTGATTTATTACAATGTATTGTTAAATTTAATAAATTTGGCTCTATGGCGATTCTTGAATTCTGATTCCCTTGCCTTTCTGCCATAGTGCATACTTGCATGTCGAATTGGTTGATCTTACCATCACATGGTTCTTTCATGGAGTGTGAATCAGTGTGATGAAGGCAATGCAAATTTCATGAGCTTTAGGAGAAGCATTTGGGTTTTCTAGACTCTCATAGTATTTTCACTCCCTATCAATCTGGATTAATAGTACCTCCGTGGGCCAGTTTTCTATAACTAAGCAGTAAGGAGATAGTTAGGAATATGATTTTGAAAATGTCATCTGAATTTGAACGTAACAGGTTCATACTGCCATTGCACCTGCTTTCAACAGGTTAATAAGAGTTTTAGACCATTTGTCAATATCTTAGAAAACCTATGGGGGTTAATTTGTGGTGGTGCTTTGGCAGTTGTTTTGGGACATTTTTTCCTTTAACCTTCAATATTATATATGCTGTTAGCTGTAGGAGAGACATGCAGACATTAATGTTTACTATTTAATATTTGTTTGCTTCATGTGGATGCATGTCTTCCTCCTGTAGTAATGAACAAGTGGCAACTGCATCAACAGAAGCAATAACAAAGTTAGCCGGCTTTCCAAAAGGCATGGTAAGACTGATCATTGCTGGTCCATTTTGTGAGATTTATTGTTGTTTCTGGCTCCACTGATTGAGCTATTACTTCTATTTACTGGATAAAGTTTTGCAAAATTTGTATAGGAGGTAATCTTCCCAGCAAATAATGATGACATTACACACCTACGAAATTTATCAGCTCGATGTTCATCACTGGTATGGTAGTTGATTCTTCAGTAATTTCTGAAAATTGCAGTTCTCTCTTCATGGACATAGCTAATATATGATTTCTTTTGTTGATTCGATTTTCTCCCTCCGTTTTACAAACGTAGAACCTATACTGATTTTATCATGCACAGGCTTCAAAGTAAAAAACATTATGTTTTGCCTCCCTAAAAATGTAAAAGATTTTATCTGGCCACCCTAAATTGATTTTCTAGTTCTGCCCCTGATCATGCATCATATGTGTAAATTGAATTGTTTTAGTTGATCATTTATATGACCCATTCTAATCATCCTCAGGGACGTGTTCGAGTGTTATCTTTGGTAGTGAAGTTATTCTCTGTTTCTCCTGATGTGGCATCAGTAGTTTACAAGTCAAATCTTCTCGGTTTGTTGGAGGCAGAAGTCAGCAATACAGATGATACCCTAGTTACTTTAAGTATTTTGGAGCTCTTTTATGAGGTTTGCCGTTGCTTCTTCCTTCTTTCTCATACACTCTCCTTCCTTCTTTTCCTTTCAGTTGTGTTTGAACTAGGTGGGGATTGATATTTGAATAGCATTCAAGGGTTCATAAATAGTAGGTAGGTGGTATAAGATTAAGCAAGCATGGACGCTGCTTGATAATTTGGTTTTCCATTAATATTTATCAGCTTTCTTGCCTCCTTTTTCATTGCTTTTATTTTTATGAACAGTTTATCATTAATTTATATGCATGTTGTTCTTTTGTTATATGTGATGAACAAAAGTTAGCAGTAGTCCAGCATGGTGTAGAATTCTTGTCAAGGACTACTATTATCCAACTTCTTTCTTCTATGATCAGGTAGTTATTTAGTGATAATTTCATTCAGATATATTTTGATCACTGCATGCTTTAAAAGTTTTCCTTCCTCCTGTTTTCTTTCTGTGTTCCTTCCTCTTTTGAAGCAACACAATGACAGATGTAATATTAAGATCAAGGGCGATGATGATCAGTGGAAGGCTCCTAGCCAAGGAAAACACATATGTATTCATTGATGAATCTTGTAAGCCTTGCTCTTAGGTTTTGGAGTCTTTGCTTTCTAGATGCTGAACTTGTTTGAAGAAATTGCATTTCTAGTCATTCAGAGTGCTTTACTTCATTTTGTTTCAGAACAAAATATTTTAGTCCAGAATGGATGGTGGTTTCATTCTTGTTTCATCTTTATTTTGATTGAAGACATTATTCTTCATTGCATCTATGCCTGCACATGTGAGATGAAGAGATCCTTAAGTTACTGATAGGACTCTCCAAATATGCAGAATTGTGCAATTTACATTTTACTTGTAAACTGTATATCTGTTTGATTGAAGATTGATCATAAGTGATTTTGTAACAATACTGATAATACTTAATAATTCAGGTGCTAAAACTGTTATGTCAGCCATTGATGGAAGGCTTAGTTTTGAGAGCCAAGATTTGAATGAATGTGAATGTGCACTTGAAGCATTGGGCCAAATTGGATTGTGTAAGTATATCAGTGAATGCTGTGGGCTAATGAAATTGTTGGCATAAGATGAAACTACTACTCTTCAGTGGTTTGCTTTTTCTTTTTTACCTTTTTCCCTTCTCAATGCTTTTTGGTTTTAAGTTTTTGTATTGGATCAATATGATCTTGGCGAAGTTTTAGCCATGAACCATTAATAGAGTAGGTATCTTTCTTGGTACGAGTCTATGGTAGGTGGATTGCAGAACAAACACTTAGTTGTCTGAACCTCCTATTGGTAGTTTGTTGGATACTTTTGACACATATGGCAATGTGACAATAATATGGAAATTTTATTATCTTTTTATTACTTGTTTGAACTGCCATAACTACGGAATTTCCTTTTTTTTTTTTTTAATACATAGGTTGCAACTATAGAAACATCCTGCATGGACACCTTATGAAGACTTTCTCTTCTATGCTAGCAATATAAGGAAACAAATATGATTTTTCCTAGTATTTTGTTTAACTTTTAATTCACTTCTGTTGTTGCTTAATTATTTTAGTGTCATCTCTGATAATGCTAAATTTTCATTACATCATTTTCATATGTTTCAGCGGTCCCAGGAGCAACATTGCTGCTCTCGATGTCGCCTTCTCCAGCAAGACATGTTATCGATGCTGCTTTTGATAGACAAGCACGTGGCAAACAGTTGGTTGGTGTCTTCGATCCATCAACTTTGTCCATCACTTAGTTTCTTAGTTTTTTGTTGCTTATAAATTTATGGATGTAAATGAGGGAAGCTTTTAGTTAAATGGTTTTTAACACAAAAGAGGCCAATACAGATTGATTCTGTCCTAATAATTAGGAATATAAGTGTGGCGTTCTAGTCAAACACTTTGTGCATATTCAATTTGCTTTTCCTCCTCATTTCCTTCCTTTTTTTTTTTTTTGGTTTCCCAGCAGCAAGGGTGAGGGTGGGTCTTGAAAGAGAGAGTATTACACATGATTTATGGTTTCATTTACATATTCTCAGACCTTAATGTGATTTGTTTGGAGAACTCCGTTTTATGATTTTGCTACTGCTTTGCCAGAGTAATTTCTTTCTGCCAGAAGTTGGTATTAAGTTTTGTTGTTTCTCCTGTGGAAAAATTTTAGAATATTAACTAAAGAATCTCTAGATATGCCAAATGGTACTTCTTCAATAAGCTTCAGCTTCCATAAAATAGATGAATGTGTATGCGTATATGTGCATTTTAATGCATACTAAAACTTTATTTGTGAGGGGATCCATCATTTTATGATTGAAGCTATCACTTCACATGACCAACTTCTGTTGCTGCTATTACCCACTCATGTAATTTCACATGAGGGTGGGTTTTCTGTTGTTTTTATTAACTACCACTGAAAAAGCACATTAAAATTTTAACTAACTACTGTTAATTGTTGATCTCTGCTGTTTCTATCTGTCATAAGTATGCATTGAACTTCATTCTGCTACCTTATATTCTGAACTAGGTTGGTAGGTTGACGAGGAATTCCACATTTTCTGAGAATACCGACTTGAGTAATCTCTAATTTTAATGTATATTGCTAGCAGGGATTTAAGCATTCTTAAGTTATAGCTCAAGGAAGAAAGCTTAAATCACCCCTTAAGAATCAAAATGTATATCATTCACTCCTTGTATTATTTTTTCTGATAGCACATTCCTCTACTGTGTTGAAAAAGGTTGATTCTGGTTCAGTGCACATTTGATATGTGCCCAAGAGCATTGAAGCATGTTGCATCTTTGAAATGACAAAAATATGATATTGAATCTGCATTTTACGTTCTCTTTTATGCATCTGAGATGGTTTCTAATGGCAACCGCAGGCTGCATTGCATTCTCTTGGAAACATCTCAGGTGAATCTCAGTCCGAGAGCAACAAAGTACTTAATGCTGATGCGGAAGAAAATCTTCGGCGCTTGATATATGAAACGGCATCCAAGACTTCAAAGCTTACACCATCAGTGAGCTTCTGCTTTCCTTTATACATTTTTATATTTTTCTCATAATTTTAAATTTATGCTCCTGTAACTCAAATGAAGTAAAGGAATAAACAGGTTGTCATAATCTTAGTTTTGTTGGTCTTTAGGATTTCCATTACTTTGGGTATGGCAACACTTGTGTTTTTCTTTCATTATGCTATACTCTTCAAATTGTTTGCAAGTATAACTAAATTGGAGCAATTGCAGGGTCTTTTCCTATCAGTCCTTCAACAGGATTCAGAAATTCGTTTGGCGGTGAGAATTTTTTCTGTGATTTTTAAGTTAAAGTTTTACTTTTTCCACGAACATGAAATATAGATCTGCCTTAAATTATTTTGAACTTCCTGTTTCAAGGTATCTTTGGATGTATTGTAACTAAAGCTCACTATTATGTAAAGTTGTGTGGGATAAATAAACTACACCAATGGTAAATAAACTTTGCACTTAGTTTTATTAAGGTCATATAACTCCAATTTGTTATTTTCAGTTACAAAACTTTTATTTTTGTCTTAATGTGATGTCATCCTCAGCACTTAGGCAACTGGAGTGGTAACATCGCTCTAAACATATATTTTGTAAAAGAGATTATGATCATGAACAATATAAGAGAGAGAGGAAGAAGAATTTACAAAATACAAATGGTAGAGTGGAAATTTTTGTGGAAAACGCTTTTTTCCAACTTTTTTCATTTAGGTGGCATCATTTGGTAACTAGATCAATAAACAAGTCTCAAATTAGTCTATTAGGATGAAGATATTATGTTTTTTTAACTGAAATATTTTATTTTTAATACCATGTTAGTATTTCCAGTCATTAGATTCTAGCGGGTGGCCTCCCGTTGATATTAAAATTCAAATTTAGGTACTAAAAAAAATGACAAAGTGAAGTTATGTGAGCTTAATGAAACTAAGTGCAAAGTTCGGTGACTAATAGTGTAATTCATCAAACCATATGTTTATATTCTTTCTATCTTTTTCCGTTTTGCTTTGCTTAGTATAGGCATAGTTCAATGTCAAACAATAACGATTTGGACAAAAGGTTTTTTCATTCAGCAGTGCGATTGACCCTCAGCCAAAAGCTTCATAGATTTTCATTTTTGTTCAATTTCTGCCAAGAAGGTTTTGGCATTAAGAGAGGTTTAGAAGAATTTATAGCAGCCCTTGATATTATGCTCACAAATTGACTAGACTTCCTATCATTTCTGGCCAGAAGTTATATTATATTCCCTGATCTTTCTCGTTCTTCTCCTCTCTCTCTCTCTCTCTCTCTCTCTCTCTAGAACCAAATGAACCCAAAGGCACCTGCTACTCTCATGCTGCTCCTATAATTGGGACTTCCATAAAATTTAATTTGTAAGAAGAAAACTACTGAGCAATTTCCTGATAATCTGGAAGCAACATGAATTATTTCAGTTACTTTATGTTGAAGATCAATGGGAGTATATCATGGTGGTTGCTATTTCCTTTTACAAATCAACATTTGTTGAATAATATCTTGATTATTTCGTTCTTTTCTGCTATTATGTCTTGCACAAAATAAACAAAATAATAAGGAATAAATGTTTGACATGATGACTCTTATTTGAGTCGGAAGAGATTGTACCTCATTTGAATCTAACTTGCAGTTTTTTACCTAGATTCAATTATTGATGGACTTTAATGTGGCATTCTTGTGCAAATATTTCAGGCTTACAGGATGATTACTGGGTTGGTGGCTAGGCCATGGTGCCTGATGGAGATTTGCTCAAAACAGGAGATTGTAAATATTATAACTGATCCAATCACTGAAACCACCAAAATAGGTCCATTTTCTCCTCTCTCTCTCTCTCTCTCTCTCTCATGTTTTTCTCTTTTGTTATTATGATGTGCATGATTACTCGGGACAATTCTGGTTGCAATTGTTTTGCCCTTTCATGTGGACGCTAAGACGCTATTGCTTCATTGATAACCACATATTTTAGTAGCTTACCTGAAACAATAATTTAAGTTGCATGCTTTTAAGAGTAGGTAAATAACTGAAACCAAAATTTTTATTCTGCAACATGCATGATATGATTTTGCTGGTTCCTCAATGTTTGAAAAGGATAGGTCTACTTCATGGGAAACAGGTGGTGGCTGTTTTTATTTTTTTTATATATATATGGCTTAAAGGCCAATTTTGCTTTCTATGTTTTTGAAAAGTTCCAATTGGATCCAGAAGATTCCGTTTGGACCATTTTCACGCCTGAGTTTTTTAGTTTGAGCCCAAGTAATTCCAGTTTTTATTCAAGAGCAATGCATTTTAATAATAAAAAGTTTATTTAATAATACTGAAATAAAATAAAAAAGAGCTCAAAAAAAGAAAAATTTATGAATCCACAAAATCGATGTCAACTTGGACGCCCCATCATCAACCTCAACAACAGGAGGCAGCACTGTCTGATCAGCAAATAGAACCCATCCATTAACTCAATTCGTTGACCTTTCCACAATAACACCCTCAAGCTCTGCCTTTGATTAATTTACAACACCCTATTCTCAAATCTCTATTTCACCTCAAGGACAAAAACCTCGAACGTGCATCCTTCTGTGTCTGGAGTATTTACTTGCATTGTCGACGAACTGCTGCTAGTTTATTTCAACAACCTCTAAGTTGGACTGGTGGTATATCTCAACCATCACCACAAAGCACATCTGTTTCTTTATAGTTCAATTTCATTTCAATTGTCACCGTTGTGTTCCTCTCCTCATTTGGTCTCTTTATTCTCGCTCTCAGAAGAGTTGACAAATGTTGGAAAATTTCAGGCATGGAAGCTAGATATAATTGTTGCAAGGCGATCCAGAAGGCATTCATGTCCGCTAGTAAACTCAGCAGCAATCCGTCTCTCGTTGGAATTGCTACCAAGGTGAGAATTATAATCAAACACATAGCTGTTTAGTGTGTGCACCCCATGTTGAAGCAGGATGCGACTTGGCATGCAGGAAGTTGAGCTATATCATTCTATTCAATCTCAGATTATTTTACATAGCATACCGAGATTTGCATTTACATTGTGTTTTTTTTTTTTTTTTTTTTCCATCCATTAACTCAATTCGCTTGACTTAGTCCCACACAATAACACCCTAAGCCCTGCCTTTGATTAATTTACAACACCCTATTCTCGAAATCCTATTTCACCTCAAGCAAATAACCTCGAACTGTGAAAAGATCCAATTCTGTGGACAGGTGAGTAATTTTAATTGCATTTGGGTCGACTGAATTGTTCAAATTAACGCATGCTAGTATTTAAGAATAAAGTCCCACACCCTTAAGAGTTAGGACTGAGGATGGCTTAAATCTCAAACGCAATCAATCCACAAAGCAAGAATACTGCTTTTTTATAAGTTACACATTTCACTTTCCAATTGTCACCTCCCCGTTGCTCCGTTCTCTCTCCTCATGTTGGTCTCACTGTTATTTCTCGACTCTCAAATCGCTCAGAGAGTTGACAAAATGTTGGAAAATTTCATGGGGCCATGGAAGCTAGATATAAATTGTGTGGATGAAGTGCGATTCAGAAGGACATCGATAGTCCGCTATTATGTTAAACATCAGTAGCAATCCGTCACTCGTTTGGAAATTGCCTACACTTCTATGAAAAAAGGTGAAAATTATTAAAGATCTAAGACAAGTGAGTTGTTAATTATGTGTGCACCCACACGCATGTTGAGCACGGATGCGAACTATGGCATAGCAGGAAGTTGAGCTAATATCATCTAGTGACAAATCTGCAAAATTATATTTTAACATAGCAATACCGAGATTTTGCACTTCCATACATTGTGTTATTTATATTTTGTTTTTTTTCGTCATGGTTCTCTCACAACTATTTTTTTGGTTTCGCCCTAAACCATGTTGACAGGAACGCTGTTAGTAGTAAGGCCCATATCTCCACACGGCAAGCATCGAGCAGTATGCACCACACTCGCTGACAGATACATCGACAGCTGAGAGATTCCTAATTTTCCTTAAAAGAGGATACTTTACAGCAGTACAAAATATCTACTGCACTAGAACAAAATTATCCAAGGCCAAGTATTGTGTAATAAACTTGTTTTTCATGCTGGTCTAAACTACCTATAACACTTGGGTTCACTGGAAATTGGAATTATAGGGACCTTAGAACTATCTGACGTAACAATTTGTGCCAAGCAATTTTTTGGGCAATACACACATTGTGGCAATACTCAACATTGGAAAGTATTGTCTCTGCTGCAACTGGAACGATCATAAATTGTGACTTATGTAGGATATATGCGTGGTCTCGGACTAATAGTATGGGTCTTTATCTTTTATTTGAAAATCTATGCAAAATTGAAACCAAGCTAATATAAATAGTATGGCAGTAATCTAACTCTGATTATCTCTAAGGAATGAATTATACAATAGTAATAAGTATTTGGTTTTTGAAAAAATTTGGCTTATCGAGGAATTATCATCACTTCAGTCTATTGTTATGATTTTAGTTTTTAAATTTACACAAAATAAACTAGGAGAATAATAGATAATAGAAAAACCAAATATATGATATGGCTTCATAATATTTTTAAAATTAATACTTGATGTTATAAAAGTGGACTTGGGATGTAAGTTTGCAATTATAGTGAATTATGCAAATATTGTGATAATATTTTGTTTGGGTGGTTGTAATAAAACTCATTATAAAAAGACATCAAACTTTTAATAATATCATTGGATTTGATTCTGATATTCTCTTTTTGAGTAAGTGGAGTAATCAAAATAAAAATAAATTAAAATGTTTTTTTTTTTTTTTTTTTCTCATGGTTCTCCATTTTTTTTTTCTAATACAGTTGCAGGAAGCTGTTAGTAGAGGCCCATATCTCACCGGCAAGCATCGAGAAGCACAACCTGCAGTAATGACAGCTGAGAGATTCTAATTTCCTTAAAAGAGGATATTTAAGCAGACAACATATATACTGCTTAGACAAAATTTCCCAGCCAATATTGTGATATAACTTGTTTCATGTGGTTACTCTTAACACTTGGTTCACTGGAAAATGGAAATTATAGGGCCTTAGCATACAATTTGGAAAGCATTTTTGGATCTCCTTGTGCATTAACTTGGAAATATTGTCTCATGCGTCAACTGGAACACAAAATTACATGTATATGGATAATATTGCGGTGGTCGGAAATAGTAGGGGTCTTCTTTATTTAGTGTAAACTGCAAAATTGAACCAGATCAAATAAAAGTAGGCAGTTTACTTAAGTTTTGATTACTAAGAAAAAACAGTTTGGTTTGAAAAAATTTGGCTTACAGTTTCACTTCAGTTTTTGATTTAGTTTTTAAATTAAAAAAATAGAAAAAGAAAAGAAAAACCAAAAATATATGTTTAATTTTTAAATTAATATATGTTACTTGGAGTTTGGATTATATTTCCATTATTTGATTTGAAATTTGAAATTAATATGTTGTGTGTAATAAACCACTTTAAAAATCACATCAAACTATAAAACATTGATTGAATTTGTTTTTTTGAGAATGATAATAAAAAAAATAAATTAAATGAAAAAATAAAATAAAAAGAAAATGACAAAAGGGGCCATCCTATTCTATCCACTTCGACAGTCCGTTGAAACTGAAGCTACCTCCGCAGATAAGCAAAAAGCTTCCAACACAAAATACCTTCACTTGCTACACCTACAATTTCTACCGGAGAGGGAGAAGATACAGAAATGGCAGCTGCGGTTCTATCTTCTTGCTTCGCTCTTCCTGCAAAGCTCCAGAACCTTTCGCTCAATACTACTTGCTCTACTGCTTCTTCCTCTTCCCCAACTTTCAGGTCTCTCAGTTTCTCCTCCGCCCTCTCCCACAATTTCTTCAACAAAGGTATAGAATCGTTCATACCTTTTTTTTTTTTTACAGTTTTTCTGTTTTGTTTTCGAGAAAATCAGAAAGAATATTTTAATCCATTCGTTTCGTATTCTTGATTTTTGAAAATGTGGAAGAAATCGCTTCAATCAAGCTATTTGGTTAACTGGGTTTGAGTATTTTTTTCTAGAATTTCTTTGTAATCAAATTAATCTGGTCGGATTTTATACGATTCTATATGTAATTGAGTGCTTGTCCTGGATTTTACTTTTTGTTGGTTTAGGGTGTTTGTCAATGAGCATTGTTAGAAGACCAACTGGGTACTCAATTGTATGCGAGGCGGCTCCAAAGAAAAAGGCTGATTCTGCAGATAAGAGAGCTCGCCAAGCTGAGAAAAGGCGGGTTTACAATAAAGCACGAAAATCTGAAATTAGAACCCGTATGAAAAAGGTTTGGACCTTCTCGATTTTATTTCAGTATATGTGTAATTTGAATTCCTGGGTTTGTTGTTTGTTTTAGAAAATACTTGTTCTGATTTTGAGAAATTTGCTAGAATTGCCATTTTCAGTTCCTTTAAATTGTTTGATAAGCAAAATTAATATAATGGCTGGAATTGAAGGACTAGAAACTTGGTTATGATTGGATTCTGTAGCTTTATTTATAGGTAGGAGACTGATTTGCTCATAGATTATGGGAATTAAGGTGGGCAGGAACTTGGACTTAATAACATACATGGAACATTCTGAGAAAAAACATTCAATTAAAATAAATAAATAAATTGTCATAAATTTAGTTGTTGGCTGTTTCAGAATTGGAGAATTGATGCAATCTGAGTCACGGTGAGAATGTTATGTTACGTTATAATTGTCCATGATACAAAAGAGGAATCTCACACCTTTAAACTCGTATCTCTTGAGGAACATCTAACATTAGGGTATATGGTATATTAAATTGCTCTGTGGTAACAGTTACTGTCACAACAACTTGAAATTAGTGCCCTGAGAAACAGTCAAAGTCTTACAAATGTTATCTTGAAATAAAGGACTAGATCTTGGATTGTGAATTTTGGGCCACAAATTCTCTCTTATTACCAAGTATTGTGACCATATGTAATACTGTAGTTAGTTAGCTAGTGAGTTTGACATTATGCATGTGTCCCTTTTCTGCAGCATATACAAAATATCAATCTCACTTGGAATTATAGGTTTTCAAAAGATAAATTATCAATGAAACATATTGAATTTTCATGCAATTGAAATATGATTGTGTTTATGGAGAGTTTGACTTTGGTTTTTTATACCTTAAAACTGCAAACCGATTGCTTTCAGTCTCTCAGTTTTGTCATTCACCAGGATAGTATATGTTGGCATGCCCTTTTTTTGCTAAATGATCGATGTGTTGTCAAAAAATGAAGCAAAAAATTCAACTGGACAATAATAAGTTGCTATGTTTATGCTAAAAAATTATCTGTGAGTTTTGTGGATCCTGTACTTCATGTACTAAGGTTATAATGTGATATACTATAAATTTAGAAGCAGAGTTTGATCTCAGATGAGCTAGTAATTCCTTTGTTGTTTGCTAAGATAGGCCATTAGATATGGGCCTGCTTAGTTTTCTTCCAGTCACCGTCCCCACTTTTAGTTGCAGAGGCCTTGTCTTGATTGGCCTTCAAGGAATAGGGTTATGCATGACGTGTAGAACTTAGAGTCTTTTATTTGTTTATTAATTTTGGTTCATTAGATGAGATATAGAATGAGAGGTAACTTCTCCATTCCCAGGCTGCAAACAACCTCTCTCATGTCCCCAACCCAATGAGTTTGAGCTGTTTTATAGTATTTGAGTTGGTAAGAAAGCCAGCAATTGAAAAATGAGCCTCTATCAAACCTCTTGTTTCTTCATTCCCTCCTTTTGGCTGGGTGAATTGATAATTTGTGTATTGCCTTATTATTATTATCATTATTATTATTTTGTCAATAAATTTGTTTATACATTATCTGCTATCTAGTGCAGGTTATGGAAGCATTAGATGACCTGAAAAAGAAACCGGATGCACAAGCAGAGGAAGTCCTCCCCATTGAGAAACTAATTGCAGAAGCCTACTCGGTCATTGATAAGGCAGTAAAAGTAGGAACATTGCACAGAAATACTGGAGCACGTAGAAAGTCAAGACTTGCTAGGCGAAAGAAGGATGTGGAGATTCACCATGGTTGGTACACCCCTGCTCCTGTAACAGCCAGTTAGGACCTTTGTTTGCTTGAACTATAAGAGGATGGGAAATGGATTTTTGTGTTATACATGCAGAATATTGCGACTATTTCTCTGTTACATATGTATAATTCCCGTTGTTGCATTTCATAGACCAGTTATTAGTACTGTATATGCTATTTGTAACCTGTTTTATTTGTTGAACGTTTTTCTCATTTGAGATGTAGAACAGCAAGTTTGAATGACCTATGGATTCTATCATTTGGCAAGAAATACTGCGAAGAGTACTAAACTCCTTTGTGAGTTATACAATAAAAATGAAATTTTCATGATATCCAGATGAAGTTATCAAGACTGAGGTATGCCTTGCACTCTGGCATGGGGAAATTTAGGGCTAATATTTACTTAAAATAATACTCCTTCCATTCTTTTTAGGTAGGAAAATTTCCATTTTGAGTGTTCTTTTTATATATAGAATTTTATCTAATTTGATAATTTTGAAAATCATGCCAACGTAAAAAGTCTTATCTTACCTTGTCTTAGTCTTTTGTCAATCTTTAGCTTGGGAGATTTTCAAAATAGTGATAGACAAAGGTATAAATAAGTATTTGATATGAAGAAATTTTAGAGAATGAGTTGTTTTTTTTACATTAATTTCCGTTGAAAAATAAAATGCGTTTATATAGACGATTTGAGTGCTCATTAAATAGAGTTTGAAAAGAAACCAAATTAAAGAAATATGTACGGATTTCATCCGAATATTTGAAGAAAGTTTGAATGTTAAATGATTATAATTTTTCATATTTTCTCCCAAACAAGAAAGGGAAAAAAAATTTGCCTTTACTTTTTGCAACGTCTATATTCCCAAATGATTACAATTCAGAGCATAAATTTCTCTTTTTACAATCGTGTATATTCCCTTCATTTCAATAAAATATCTAAAATCTTAATCAATAAAGCATCTTCATTTCAATAAAATATTTAAAATCTTAATCAATAAAGCATTTAAAATCTTATTTAAGATTAAAATCGTAAATTTCAGCATAAATTGATTTTAGAGGAGGAACAAATGAAAAAAAGATAAATTAGGAAAAAGAGATAAAAAAAAAAATAGTTACTTTCATAATTTCAGTGAAAGTTTAGTACAATGCTTTTTTTTTTTTCTCTTTACACCAAATTCTCCAATATTGAGCGAAAAGATTGTCCCTTTAATTGATTATATTTACAAAATTACATGTAGAAGTCGTCATGAAAATTTTTTGCATGTTGTGCAAATTTTTCACAATCTTGTTCAAATGAAGAAAAAAAAGAAAAGTCACATTTTTGCCTACCTAAATACAATACTGCATCTAAAGTACATATTGACGACAGATTGGGCAGGTTCGATTATTTTTCAACCAGGCATCAGCACAATCCGAATGAAACATATGTTTGCATAACGGGAAAATTCTGCATCTCTCTCCGTCGATATAATCATCCAAGCGTATTGCACATTCTTCATATTTTGATTTCATTTCTTCTTTTTCATACTTTAATGGCGGTAATAGCTTATCGATGGACTCCATTCTTGCTATTTTCTCAACAACACATGAAAGGTCAATACGTATTTCTCCAAGTGACTATAAATCATCGTCTTCTGTAAATCTGGATTGATTGAAGATCACTCTACGCTCAAGATTATTAGAATTATAGCTCAAAAGTAAGGCTCCAGCGATATGTTTCAGTATTATATACAGAGCGATGTAGATTATAATTATGGAACCAATGTTGATGTAGATTGCTTGAAGGAATTAAGATTCACGGCAACATTGGGTCTCTCAGGGCCTTACAAGAGCTCAGATACATTGAAATAGATAATGACGTTGACTTGATTCATCAACTGGTAAGTTTGACACAGTTGAAGAAATCAGGAATAGGAAAATTGAGAAGAGATGATGGGCCCACCCTGTGCATTGTAATGGAGAATAAAAATAAAGTTGAAAAATGATGGTGAAGATTAAGAGATTCCATGCAATTAAACGACAACAAAATTATCGATTCTTAGATCTTCTATTTCATTAAATTTTTTGTTTCTTTCTCGGTGACTGAGAAAAGCAGTTCAACATCTAACAATTGCAAATTTCATCATCAAGGGAGAATTTTACGTCTGCGCCGGGGAGTCTCTCGCCTCACATACATTTTCTCCATCTCATTCAGAGGTCGGGTGGATCCATCGGGCAAGCTTACAAACTTCCAACCACCACCACCTCCGCGCTTCCCTCGTGCTCCCATTTTTTCCACTGTGAAGTTCCAACCCTCAGACGGACGTCGTCTACTATACTTGTGGCATTTCACCTGCCCTGCCATCTGTGTAAATGGAAAACAACATAAAAATGAAACAAATTGAAAATATAAATTGGCTTCTACCCAAAAAGAAATTGATTTTCAGGAACTAATAACTAGCATGTCAATTCTACCACCACTAAACTCCTGGCATTTTGTTGGGAGTTGGAACTTACTTTCATTTTGTTGAAGTTCATCTTTTGGACAAATTCTTCATGCAGCATTTCATCCTCTTTCATGGATATCTCATAGTGGACTTCATCTAGGTCTTTGATTGTACCATCCCAACCCTCTGGCATCACCTTGAAATCAGGCTTATAAGGAAGGGATGCTACATGAAATTCTCGGTCATGAGAATTAAAAAATCTGAGCAACGAAAATACTGAATATTACGAGAGATGGAAGCCAGTTATTCTAAAACATCAGTTTGAGAAGCAATAGAATTTGATAACTGATAACTATGCTCTTTCATAAATCTACGTCCATCTCGTAGTTCTACCTTCATATATATGTATATATTATATTTCTGAGCTTATTTTATAAACAAGCAGATATCCATGCATATGCATAATATAGAGAACAAGACTACAACTAAATGTTCATCAACTAAACCACCATCCTGAACAAATTCTACACCGACATCATAACGAATTACTATTAATAATGGCAGTAAGCATCAGCACCTCACAGAGCTTTGAGGTTCATAAAATTATCAATTCTCCTCGAAGCACACACTCTAAGTCATTTAGAAAATCCTAGGGCATAAACCCTGTATCAAAAATTTATTTGAAATAGGAAGAGAATCATATTCCTCTATGTGAGTTCTTTGCATATTAAGATGTCTCATTCTCTTCACACTTAGCATTCTTTGGATTTCTTGGGTAGCCTAGGAACAGCCAGTCTTTACATCTATCTAGCATTTAAAGAGGTATGTTCATAGAAAATGGTAGCATAATTAGTCTTAATAAGACACAGCTAGATAAGGGGCAAAAGTAATAGATAGCAAGGAAACAGCTCTTATCTTATCAATAACAAGACATTCATGAATGTAGTAGATAAGTAAAGATACCCCAAAAGGCTGAAGACTGCAGACATATCTCAGGATGCTAACAGACAATCATAATAACAAAATCAAATAAGAAACAAATTTTTTATACTCACATATTTTTGTGATTATTTGACTGCATATGTCTCAGCATTTCAATTCCACATCTCAAATAAATTCCAACCAAGTTCAGGATAAATAAGTAAGAACAGTTAAAAGTTTTTCATGTAGTCCAGTTTGCAATATCTGATTTAATCGGCACAAATAATGACACATCACAATCATTTTACATGAGCTATAAATATTGAAGACTAACCAAAAAAATTTATATCTTACTCTGGGCAAGTATCAAGTAAGAGCTCTACAGAGTCATCTAAAGGATGACCCCGTTTTTTCTCCTCTTCCTCCTCGAGTTCCTTCAACCAAAGAATGGCATGTACCCGCTGCCTCATAATCCGATAATCTTTGGCCAGCCTCTCAACTGTGTACACTTCAGGGTTCTCCTTATGCAAACGGTACATCTCTGCCTTCTCTGAATCCTTCAAGTAAGATCCCCTTGCACCAGGCTCCTTGACTTGCTTCAACAATACACTCATCTCACGCATCCTCTTACCCCATCCGTCCACAAAAGCCTTGCTCTTTTTGTTCTCTGCCTCCAATTCTCTTATCTTATCATCGATCTCTTGTAAACTATACACCAATGCAGTCTCAGAAGCGTTTAACCCACCAACATTGGATCTAGAATCTGCTTTCTGCCCCACAAACTCTCCATCAAAATGGTCCTTAGTCAATCCAGTTGACCAAGATGAAACAGAATCCCAACCTAAATCGTCATTACCAGTCTCGCCAAAAGCATTCTCCCAATCATCTTTCCCTTCTTTTCCATCACCACTGCCGCCGGATTTAGCTGAAAACAGACGGTTAGCAATAACTTGACATGCTCTTATCCCATTGATTGATACCCTTGTATCATTTCCCAAACCAGATGTTGTTTTCTCTTTCACAAATCTCGCAGTACCTGTACTGTTGCTTACTGACGCTGAAGAGAAACGTGATATAAGCCTGTGAATGTTCTGCATATTTCTATTTTGTCTAACCTGAAATTAACATAAATTATGCAGTTGATCTGAAAGAAACCAGAAAAAAAATGATATACAAATGGATACACAAGCATACAAAAATAAGATGCACAAATAGATATACATGCATACAACTAACCTGCAGGCTCAAGATTAATTTAAATCGACAACAATAAACTGCTTGGTTTTCCTTTTCTTTTGAAATACAATAACAGACTACAAAACCAGAGTTAGCAATCTGGAAAAAAATAAAAAAGAAAAATTCCAAATACCGAAAATAATTTTTTCAAAACAAAAAAAAAAAAAGCAAAAACCTGCTAAAAAGTCATTCCAAAACCAAAAGAATTAAACCCACCTCTAATTCTTATATACATATATAAAAATTGATCCTTATGATCATAATTGCTTATGATTGTTTGCGACCTTAATGATTTAAGATTTGATCTTCAATTGAAAAGGATTTAATTGATTTGCAGTCGAATCTCACACTGAAAGAATTCAATGGGCTTACATTCGATTGTTTATTGTAGTGTGTTTATCTTGGACTTTTCCATTTCACAGAACACCTTTTGCCTTCCTCACGATTAAAGTTGTTCTCTGACTCTCTGTGTGTAATGTATCTGTACACAGATCACCATGACCATATTTTGTGTGTGTTTGTGTGAGCATAAATAAAGAATCACATAATAGAACAAATAACAAGGTTCAATCCAACATCTTTGTTGAGATGTAAATTCAAACCCCCAAAGGGTTGAAAAATAATAGCAATCAGAGCTTAAAATCAAGTGAAAGTAAATCTTTGTCACTTATAATTCAATGCTCCAAAAGAATGAACAGACTCAATTGTGGATAGATTAGCTAAGAACCACCTCGTATACAGACAAAATGAAAGAAGATATAAATATTTTTATGGCAATTTTAAATAAATTGCAAGCCATATTTCTGAAACTTTGACAGGAACCCTTTCATATGAAGTAATTTGTCTTTTAAGATAAATTGTCATGAACTTCTTTCAGTGTAAATAAGGGAAATGGAGAGCTCTCTTCATTAAATGTTTCACAATGGAAGTCTTGTTTCCTTATAGAACCACATAGAAACCAGCTTCAATGAAGCAGTTCTAATGAAGCTGCTTTTCCAAACGGTACCAAGATTCTTACACACTGCATCACCCAAGATAACAAAATTGAATCATAATGTCTATGTCATTGGATTTCAGCACATTAATACCTTTTTTAAGTGATATTTGTTAGTTTGGTTGTTTCCCCGAAAGATAAATATAAAGCTCACTATCTTCAGACATTCAACATAAATATAAAGGTTGTCGTGGGCCAAGCCAAACGTTGCCGCTTTGCCAGCTGCCATATCCAGTTCGGCAATCGGGTCAGCGAAGATGGCAGTAACAAGTTCTTACCTCTTTTTATGCTCAGCATTGCTTAGAAATTTGTCTTTATTTAACCATCTTTATTTTTTTCCAACTTTTTATAGAGATTGGTGGTTAATATTTTTCGGATTAGTACAATATTTGATCTTGTGATGATTGCTGAAATGATTTATGGACTATTGAGAACTTTAGTTGTGCTTATTAATTTTGCAAATGTGGTGTCCATATCATCAAAGGGTAAAACTTTCTTTTATGTTCATGTATTATCTTTCATTTGCTAGAAGTGGAACTGTTGAAGGCTAAAGATTTCTTTGTAAGATGAGAGCTGAACTTTCATTCAATATAGCTGGGAATTGAGAATATGCATGTAAGAATCTTTTAACTGTCAAAAACTTCTGTTTCTTTAAGTGACACGTTAAAGAGAAAATTGGTTGTTGATGCAAATATTCCTTATTGAATTGAAATTCCTAACATCAAGTGCTTAACTAGAGTTAGAAGCTTAGCTGTTGCATCCTCCAGCCCAAAAAAAAAAACCAACATGATGAACCATGTCTATAGCTGGTTTATTTATCAAAAGAAGTCATCTGATTGAAAGTATAAATATTCTCATAGTGTAGTGAACCTACTGAAACTTAGTTGTCCTTGTCCTATCTAAGAACTTTTGAAATCAAACTCTTGGTCAAGTAGTTGAATCATTTCATCCATTAGGTGAGTTATCATTTTTCTATAAGCTACCAGTTCCCTAAATCTTCTTAAAGTGGCTGCTATCACAATTTCTCTCTCATGGTTGAAGTTGTTTAAATTAAATATAATTTTATTTCATTTAATTTAAATTAAATCCAATAAAGAATTAAGCCCAACCCAGAAGAACAACATTTAAATAGTCTGTTCCAAATCTCAAACAATAACGTGAATTCACAACCACCAAAAAGTTGAAAAAAAAAAAAAGAAAGAAAAAGGCGAAGCACAGCTGAAAATGAAGCCAGAATAAAGCTCTAAGACACTTCAATTCAATACCGAGAGACACAAAACACATTGTATACAGAACCCAATATCAAAGAAGTGCGAAAGAAAATATTTTTACACTAATCTCTTCATATTTCAGGAAAATTAATTCAGTTATCTGTCACTTCAATCCAATAAAGAATTCAAAAACAAACAAGAACAATCTCAAGCACCCATTAAGGAAAAAGCAATCAAGATTAAAAGCAGACCATGAAAGAGAGAGATTTTACCTAGAGTGAGAAAGATTGGGATGGTAGCTTGCAGCGAAGAAGCTACAGCTATGGCTTCTTATAGTTGACAATTTGAAGTAAAGAAATGACACAATAGCAAGTCCAAGAGAAAGAGAGCGCAAGAGAAGGGAGAGCTAATGTACGCGAAACAGACATGTTTTTCCAGTTGAAGAGGAGAGAAAGATGGAGGTGTAGACTGTGGCGGGCTTGTTTGGGCTTTGTCACTAGGCCAATTCTATCTGCATTTTTAGATCGAACCAGAGCCCGCTAAAGAGATTTTTAGGCCCATGACCGTAGGTGTTTGGTACAAAATTTTTTAACAACTATTAATTTTAAGTTCATAATTTTTTTTCTTTGGTACAACTAAGAGCTATAATCCCATCGGGCGTAGAGTGTAATGGTTAGCCTCTTATAAAAAGTGTATTTTTCGAGAATCAAACTTGCTTCTACTCTTAAGAAGGTTGAGATCGTTTACCATCATAATTAATACCTTGTTGGATTAAGTTTATAATTTTTATCCTCAGTTAGAATCCTCGTTAACATCCAATTCATTTAAAAGTTATAAAATTTTTTAAATTAAAGTTGTTTAATAACTTAACAACTTATTATATTTAGTGCACATCTCGACTAATCATTTTAAGTAAATTTTCGTTAATTGAGACTTTGAAATAATGTGTAGTAGATAAATGTTTTTTTATATACAAATGGGTGAAATAAATAAACAAACACTAGGTCAATCTAATTGTTTAGTGTGAAGACTGATTATTCTTTTCGTTTTTGACAATAACTCAAAGAACAAAAAATTTCACTGATTTGGTGAGTATAGAGAACAATTATTTTAATTGTGTGGTCTAACAATATTATTTTTGATTACTGAAAATTACACGATATAGTATGAACTATATCATGCAAGCAAATCATTATTCTAATAAATATGAGAAAATAAACCATTCCAACTTGTTTAGAAGTTGAATTTTAGACATTCAATAATATTAAAAATTAAGATTTTAAAATTGTTTTTAATATGTAGAATTATGATGGATTTTGAATGTTTGCATATTAGCCTTGCAACTCTTTGTTTATTTTTAATTTTTAATTTTGATTTTTATCTTTTAAAAATATAAAAATATTACCCTAATTTAGTCATAAACTTAAAATTGGACTAATTAATTAAATACAATTGAAATAATATGTAAAGTACAATTAAACTCAAGCTCGCAAACTAAAATATAATACAATAGTCAAATCCTTATTAGACAATAATCCAATAATTCAAAAGTTTACTATGATATTCTATCAATGGTAATTGTTTGATTAAAGTAGGGAGAAATCTGTTTTATAGTGTGAATTAATTAAAGTTAGTTTTGTTTTCTTTGTGAGCAATAATGGAATATTAGAGTCGATATTTCCATTATTATGAAATTGCAAATTCAAGAACAATCAAATTTCAAATCAATGAAAAGAAAATGATGTTTCAAAAGTTCAATAACAAATTAGATTGTGAAATAATCTAATTGTTATCTGACATCCAATCTATCTATACTATATATAAATGTCTAAATACGTGGAATAATGAGATTTTCGATAACGTTCTTAATAAAATTTGGAATATTCTAAAATAATCTTAGTTATAGCCAATTAGAAAGTTATATACATATATTCATTTCTCTAATATCTGGCTCAGTAATACTGTCACTATAGTCAAAGTAATTACTATTATCAATTTAGATCATCTTCTTATTTTTTTTTTTATCTGACAGTAAAAAATAATTTTTTATTATAGTTGTATATAAATATTGGGGTTGATGGTAGATTAAGCGATGACTTGATTTTCTTTTTGGGTACTTATTAAGGTTTTAAGAATTTGCATTTATAAATTCGAGATTGAAGGATTAGGTTTAGAGATTGGATTTAATATTATTCTGAAACCACTTCATTATAAAAAATTAGAATTAAGTATATAAGAGGTAACATTATAAGTAACTTATACAACAAAGTGTAACAAACTAAGCAATTTTACTTATTTTAATCTAAACAAAAACTTATGTGTTAATATTATATAGATCAAAAAAATTAAAAAAATATAAATGTATAACGAGCATAGTCAACGTGCCTTGTATAACGAGCATAGTCAACATGCAAGGCACGTTAAAAAAATACCAGTATGTTAAAAAAAGTTTTTAACATTTAATCTAAACTCAACAAGTTTTAATTTAAATAAGTTTATAACTTTAGTTATCATTATTATTAAATTAAATTTAGGTGAGATTATTTAATCTCTCGATTATAGTCATAATTTTTATCAATTTTCAAAAATTAAATAGTCTTCATATTTTATCTGTCTTATATTTAGTCCTACAAATTTCATACTTTAATATCAACCTAAATTTAATATAAAAAAAAAAATTAAAAAGGTCAAACATGTAATTTTCTTTCAGAAATACCCTTGAATCACGTAAAACACAGTGCAATTGCTCCTAATTTTATGATGTGGAAGCAAGGGAAAAGAACCATTTTGTATTTGTAATTGCATAGGGAGTCATTGGTAGGTGCTGAACCACCTTAAGCAAGATGTTGTGAATCACTTCCCTTGCACAAGTTGAATTGGAGTTTTTTTGTTTTAACCTTATAAATATCAAGTTTTATCTTTACAAAGTTTTTTTTTTTTTTTTTTTTTTTTTAAAAAGGTCAAACATGTAATTTTCTTTCAGAAATTACCCTTGAACACGTTTAAAACACAGTGCAATTGCTCCTAAATTTTATGATGTGGAAGCAAGGGAAAAGGAACCATTTTGTATTTGTTAATTGCATAGGGAGTCATTGGGTAGGTGCTGAAACCACCTTATGCAAAGGATGTTTGTGGGAATCACTTCCCTGCACAGTTGAATTTGGAGTTTTTTTGTTTTAACCTTAATAAATATTCAAGTTTTTATCTTTACAAAGTTTTTTTTTTTTTTTTTTTTTTCTGAAATCAAGGATTTTATAATTATAAACTAATATATCGCCTAATGGTAAAGTATTTTTTTTTTTTTTTTTTTTTTTTTGAAATCAAGGATTTAATAATTATAAACTAATATATCGCCTAATGGTAAGTATATATACTTCTGGCAACTGATCGAAGTTTAGATTCCCTCTTTTTATTGGTTGATTTTATTTATGTCAAAAAATAAAATTCTTACTTGTACTTTACACCTGTAACCTATTTTAAATTAATTGAAATATTTATTTTTTTTACTAAAAAAATTACTATATTAAAAAACTGTGATTAAACTCTAATTAAAAGTTTAAACTACCATACTTTATACTTAGTATATAATTATAACGATTTACTTAATTAATAAAAGGGTTAATTGCATCACTGGCATTTGAATTTTTCAATTTTTGCTATTTTGTTAACTGAACGAAAAAATTTTCCAATAAAATGTCTAATGTTCAAAAAATTTTTCAATCAGTTATTTTTTTGCAAATGCAGCATACCAGACTTAATATCTGTATCAAAATGGGATCCATATCTCACCATATCAACATATAATGTGTCATTTAGCCATCCAAATCGGCCAATTTTACATATCATTTACCCTTAAAAGGAAACTCTTACCCTCATATTTGTACATTTACCTTCTATTTCCAAACAAAGTATATTCCAAGATTAATTCTCTTTCCAACAAATAGTAAAAGTTTTATAAACATTCAAATTTTTGACCAGGTGATTTGAAATTTATATTATAAGTCATCCGATGTGAGGAGAGGTGGTCCAATTTTGAACTAGATATGAAATTCGGTGTACCACGTATATAAAAAATACCTGATTATAAGTTTTTTTTAATTATTAAACATTTGATTGGAAAATTTTTCCATTTAAATATCAAAGCAACAAAAATCGAAAAGTTTATACACTAATAATGTAATCAACCCTAAATAAAATAAAGTTGTTCATCGTATCATTAATCAAAAAAAGTAATTTCGTTTGTAAAAAATTGACTGTGATGTTTTACAATTTACACTCATCCAAAGAGACATTAACCACCAAGGACGCCTTAGACAAAGGAATAAACAAAGGATGGTATTAAAATTATCCTAAATATTTAAGTTAGGACCACAGGAAACGTGGCACGCGTATTCTGAGGACACGCAGCTCACCGAGAACTTTCCAAAAGAAAATGAGAGGCGGCGTTGGATAAAGGCCGTTAAGACGGTGAGTTATGCTTTCATGTTGCGTGAAGCGTGAAGCCTGGCGCCGTCTGTTTCATTGTCTCTTTTTATTGGTTTACCGGCGCAAGCGGTACTTTTGGATGACGGCATCTCATGTCAAATACCCAACATCAATTTGTCTTTACTCCCCGTCTTATCGCCGCCCGTTTCGGAATATTCAGGAAGCTGCTGACCGGATCTAGCTTTTCTAAAGAGATCCACCGGTGAGAAGAGAAGGACTTAGTATAGTTATAATGAGAGTGGTCGTCCAGTATAAGTGCTGGAATTGGTAATTATAGAAATGCGTTTTTAGTTGCGGCAGGGCGGCGGGGCTATTTATGGTCAAAGGTCTCGTTGACTGAGCCCATTATCTAAATTAGCTCAATAAAATGAGTGATAGGCGCCCTAGCACGTGAGAGGCGCGTATTCCTGACACGCTATAATCCGCTGTGTAGGCCCTTTATGCGTTTAATATTTATTTATATCTAATAAACCTTTTTTTCATTTTTTTTACTTATATATAAAAAAAAAAAACTACCGTTCAAACAATGGCTTCCCTCATTATGGAAGGAAAATTTTTTAAAATAATTAAAAGATATTCATCAATTTCATTATTGGGAAGTGATTATAAATTATAGGAAAAAGATGAAAATAAAAATTATATAAATTCAGGCTTCCCTGGTTATTTTTTCTTGAAATTTAAGGAGAAAAATTTTATATATATATATAATCAAGAAAAAGAAAAGGCAGAGTGTGCACTTTCAGTTTTGAAAAGCTAACTTTATTTTCTTCTTTCAAACTGAAAATGAACTTTTCCCTCTCAAATTTTCTCTTCCCATCAAAACAAAAGGAGAGAAATTTACTTTTGCCCTTTTCATTTTTCTTTCCATTTACCTTTACAAATGTCATGTTTTATTTCTTTTTTTTAATAATAAGTGTATTGCCCCTAAAAGTGTAAGTATATTCATTAATACAACTAAAAAAAAGTTTATTTATATGTTCATAATTTCTTTTAACAAGTATTAGATATAAAATTAAACATGTTTAGCCCATAATAATGGATTCATATAAAAAATGGAAATTTCCTTATCTATTTATGATATATATGAAGGCGACATAATATGTTTTATACCTAAGTCCTATTAATTTTTATGTTCTAACGGAAATTTGTTCAGAAATTTAGATATCGTTCAATCAGAATTATTCTCTTAGTCTCATAAAAATAGACTTGTTTATATCTTTACATAAATTAATAAAAAATTATTTAATAACAATAAAATTTTCCTAATGTGTCCCTATTAATATTAAATATCACTTTGAATAAAGGAATTAAGGAAATCTATTTTTGTGTAACTACGGAAATAGTAATTTAACTCCAAAATACCGATGTGAGATTAAAAATTTAAAATACACAAATAGCTTGTATTTTTTATTTAATTTAAAGTTTGAATTAGTGAAATTAAAAATTAAGGTTATTATATAAATATTAAAAGTATTCATATTATGAAATTATTGAAATTATAAAAAAGTATCAGCCAACTTTAATTCCAAGTTAATGATAAAAAAACGTCAATGTAAAAAGGGGTAAAAGGAAAAGGTTAATCATAAAAATGGAAAGCAAGCGCCTAGAAAGGAAGAAGTGGAATTGGTCTTCATTCTCCTACCATAATAATCAACTCAATTAGTCTGTTAATTGCGGTTATTGACAAGCCTTTATTGGCAACTCCGTGACAAAAAGCAGGCGGTAAAAAGTGAAAAACGATGAATTTTACTAATACAGCCCCCTTATCGTGTGAATAGCCAGCGTGTCATAATCTGATTAGATAGGGAATTCACTCAAGTGGATCGTGCAAGAGAAGCCACGTTTCTGTGCTTTGACTGTACAAACACGACACAACACCCCCTCTTTTCTCTCTCCTCGTCTCTATATAACCCATCCCCCTCCTTGCCCCTTTCAAACCCGACCTTCTTTCGCTTTTTCTACCTGTAACAATTTCCTTTCCATCCAAACACGCTCTCAGAATCCAAAAACAGAAAATGGCTCCAAAAGAGAGATCTAACAGCACTGGCAATAACCTTAACCAGAACTCCAATACCGCCGAGATCCGCTACAGAGGCGTTAGGAAACGACCTTGGGGCCGATACGCCGCCGAGATCCGAGACCCTGGCAAGAAAACTAGGGTCTGGCTTGGTACTTTTGATACTGCTGAAGAGGCGGCGCGTGCTTACGACGCTGCTGCTCGTGAATTTCGTGGCTCTAAGGCTAAGACGAATTTTCCTACAGTTACGGAGCTGAACAACGCGGCTGCAGCCGCCGTTGCCGCGGGAGCAGTCACCGTCGCACGAAGTCCTAGCCAAAGTAGCACCGTTGAGTCTTCATCACCTACACCTCCACGCGCTGCTTCTCCTCCACCGCCTCTTGACCTTACTCTCAACATTCCTAGTCATCAACATCATCATCTCCGCCACGGCCATTTCCCTACCGGTGTTATTTTTCCTGGTGGCGCGTGGATTTCACTGGCGGCGGAGGCTCATCCAGTTTTCTTCTTCGATGCGTTCTCTGCTCAAGGAGAGAATAATAACAACAACAAAAATAATATTATCAACAATAATAAAATTCACTCTAAAAATATTAACTTGTGCAGATTGGATCGGACGGTGATGGTGAGCAGTGGGGTCCACAGTGATTCCGATTCATCATCTGTTGTGGTTGATTATGACCACGATCGTAGTCCTTGTAACAAGGGATTATCACTTGATCTTGATCTTAACTTTCCTCCGGCTGAAGTAGCCTGATTTTGAAGAGATCTGATTTCTATTTTTGGGAAGTCGTTTTTGGGTATAATGCTTGTCTTTTTTTTGTTTTTTTTTTTTTTTTTGTTTTTGGGTATAATTGGCTTGTCTTTTTTTTGTTTTTTTTTTTTTTGTCTTTTTTTTTTTTTTTTTTTTTTTTTTTTGTCTCAAATCTCAATTCGAAGACGAGCCAAGAAAAATTTAGAGGATAAGCAAGGAAGCTAACGTATTTTTTCTTTTTAATGTATATATAAAGAGAGCCAAGATAACCTCTTTCCTTTTTGCAAATGAGAAATTACCATGAATTTCTCAAATGTTGTTTCTACTGTTATTACTTCTCAAGTGATTATATATATAATCAGAGAATTTTACTGATTTTCCATATTTCTCTGTTATTTCTGCTTGGTTTTCAAGGAAAATTCATGTGAAGATCATGTGTTACTTGTTTCTCTATAATTTCTCATGCTTTGTTTGGGAAGAAGGAAAGTAAAATAGGTGTGGAAAACTTTCCTGTTGATTTTCCCCTCAAAATAAAGTGAAAATGAAATTAAAATGAGTGTAAATTTCTTGATATTTTATCTTAAATCAAACAAGAGATAACCCAACAAATTTTCACTCTTTGTTAAACATTAACCCAAATTTTACATCCATCCAGATAAAAGCTCAGTAACCAAACAAGCAGAAAGTTGTTTAAATTACAATTTCTCAGTAACCAAACAGTTTTGTTTCTTTACATATTTGGATTTTTGGCTGCGTATCTTCATTTATTAATTATTTGTATATGTAGCGTACAAGTGTCTAACAGACATGTTGCCGGCATTGTAGTTGAGTATTTTATTTTGATTTTGATAGGTTTCTTTTAGATGCGCAGTGTTAGCCAAATTGAGGTCGTATGTTTACACATAGACCCGTCCACGGTAAGGAACCCCACACCAAGTTTTATTTATTTACTTATTTATATTATTTATTCTTTTTGTTAATACACATAGTTAAATTTAAAGGTGCTGCCCAGCAACCGCTATAGTAAAAACATTATATTTATTTTGATTGAAAATTAATTTATCTTTTAAGGTTAATTTTGTCCAACATGGAAAATTTGTTTTATTTTTATCACAGCTATCAGGCAAAATTCAAAATTTGAAGTTCTTACTGACAGGAAGACACCAATTCGCGATCGAAACATCTTTATATCATTTCTGATTGAAACGTGGATTAATCTGATTGGCACACAGCAGAAGTCCAGATAATAAAAAAAAAAAAAAAAATAAAAGGCTGTTAAGACCAGAGGGCGGCCTCATGATGAGAAGCATGGGGTCTAGTCGTGGTCCCCCCTTGGTCTATTGTCTGTCAAAAATATCCTCGTGATTCGCGTACTTGCTTGTCCTTTTCTGGCTCAGATCTCTAAATTTCTTTTTTAATCGGACGGCTGGATAAGGAGCTGCACGTGGGGTCCGGTACGCGTTACGTGTATTTTTTTTTTTTATGTGGGAGGGTTAGATTATTACTGGCGGCACCGACGGCTATATTGCTATTTTAGTTTAGGGACGAGAGGAGAGAGACAGCGAATCAGTGCGGCACGAAAGTGAGTCCTACATATGTGGGCCCATAAGTAGTAGTAGTAATTCCGTGTTGACGAGGAACATGTCGGGATTCGGGTTGTCGTCACGTGCACATCGACCGTCCGATAATAAAGCTTTTATTAATCAGGGCTTCTGTTTTCGGTTACATCAAGAATATTTAATTTTCGGCCCTCCTAATTTGTAATGTTTTTAAATTGGCCCCTTATTTTTGATAATTTTTCTTCAATCAGATTTTGGTTGTATTTTGCACTGCAGCACAGAGGATAATGAATAGAAAGTACAATCTCTATTCCCAGGTACAATGTATGGAGAAGAAAAAATGAAAACCTGTTTTTTTTTTTAACGGTAGGAAAATCATATATTTTTTCATTATTGTTAATATTTAATTGGTGAGATCAACATTTTACAAATATTTTATAAATTTATAAATCAAATTTGACGATATAAGTTTGGACTAGTATAGAAGAGCATTTAGTTCTGTAAACTAATTTGAAGATATCACTACCAATTATAATTTTTAAAAAATATATTAAAAGAGTTCTATTTACATGTTAAATTCTTTAATAATTTAAAAAATAAATAAACTTTGAAATGATATTGTGTTAGAATGAATTGAATATTTTATTGAAGTTATAATAATTATTGAGAATCACTTATTTGACCTGCTGTGAAACATAAAACAGGTTTGTGAAGCAAATATAATTCAGAATATCTTTGTGGGAAAAACATTATAATATTTAAGAAGTGAAGGTCTAATTAGAAAATTGTTTACTTTATTGACAATTGACAATACCATATAAACTTTTATATTTATTTTTTTTAAGGAGACAAAAGTGGTCCACGTGTGAAACAGTCTTGAAAGATGAGGCGCGGCGGCCGCTTTTGGGTGGGCTCCACACTTTCCATTGTCCTATGGGAACCAATTTCAAAAAGTTTTTGCATTTCATTGTTCAGCTTACCTGATACTATGATATCGATGACCAAGCCAATGAAAATACGCCATGTTGAATATGTCACGTGGAGAGAATGTACGGGTGATGTGTGGAAGGAAAGCCTGTGTGCCTGTGTGGTGGTGCGTGGGTGATGTGTTGGAAGGTGACAGACAGTTAAAGCCGGCGCGTGGGAGAGGGATTTCCATAATGGGGCCCGAAGGCGTGGGAAAGAAAGTCCTGTTGGTTGACACGTGGGGTAGTGTGAAAGAAGGACAGTGAGGCTTCTTAAAGTAACCGCCAAAAGACTTGGACGGCTAGTTTGTTGTGGCTGCCTTTATAACCGTGGTTTGTTGGGGCGCAAGGCGACCGACCTTCCGTTAATGACACTTTTTTATATTTATAGAAAGAGAAAGAGAAAATAATTAATTATAGTACTAATAAGAGCATATCTCGTACTTACATTTTGTTTAGATTTATTCAATAATTTTGCATGAATAATATGTTAAATTCAATTAGTTTACATATAGTTATTATATTTCATAATATAGTAATTTTATAAATTTTTCAATTTGATGAGTATCATTAAAAGGTAAGTTTGTTTTAATCTTACTGTGCAACTTGCAATTAATGACGAACGGATAAATCAGAAGGTTAAAGAGTTTAAAAAAAATTTTCAAAAATTAAGAAATAAATAAAAAAATTATTATTTTCAAAAGTAAAATTAAAAGATTTCATTATTCCATAGAATAAAATTTTGAAAAAATTTTGGATTAGAGGGGTGGGGATTATGCTTAGCCCCTTCCCTTTACCATTGCTTACAATATTGCTTGCATACCGATCAAGTTATTTTGATTCTATAAAATTGACATTTCAAATTATCTTACACCGATTTACTAATTTCTAATATTATACTCTTGTAGTGGTATTCGATAAATAAATATGAAAGATAAAAATATAATAAATTTATTTTTGAATTTTAAAAATAACATTTAAAATAAAATAAAAAGTCTTTAAAACTAATGGTTTGAGAAAATTAATAAGTAATGGATACTAAGCATGACTATGGTTCTATAATAGCTAATTTCGGTTATAAAAAATATGGAACTGAAACTGAACTGTTTTTAAACGGTATCGTCGGTTTCGGTTTTATTTCGATTTTGAACTAAAATTAGATAATTCATTTCAAATTTTTTAAAATTCTTTTTTAGATTTTGTATTTTGAATAAATAATGTAAATATTACTATTGAAAAATATTAAATAAATTTAATAAAAAATTATCAAATTTAATTAAAAAATTATAAAAAAAAACTAAATGAGAAGTTTCTTTAAGAACCTGTTGTTCACGGTGTCAAATCGAAATTGCCAGTTTTAAATTAAAACTGTTGATTTCTACTTCAAAAATATAAAAATCGAAACCGACCCTTAAATAAACAGTATCGATTACGGTTTGAAACAAAAAAAAAACCATTAACCACGATTTAATACCGATTTTAATCTTTCAATTTCAATTTGATTTTAATTTAAAACCGAATGCGGGTCATATCATTAATTTGGCCTTCAATAAATCATAAAAAATTATCAAGTTTAAAGTTTTCGTTTTTGAAAAGAAAATATGCATCCAAAATTGATTATCGGTAGATGAGATGTCCACATCTATAGATCTACTCACCAATACATGTCTCCCACATATTAATTTAAACAAATAGATTGCATGATTAGCAATCTATCCATTATCACACGTAAATAATCCCTAATTGGCTACTTAGTTTCTTAACTACACACATAACTACCTAAAATAGCTGCCTCAATATAACAAACAATCATTTAATCAATAATGAATTTATTTCATTATTGTATGACCGAATAAGAATAAAATAATTACAGAGTGAAGGCCAAACCATTTCACGTATTGTTAATTGCTAGGAGTTTGTGGGCCAGGTTGGGTCCGGAACATGAAAAGCAAAAGATTTGGGCCAAAATTTAAGGCTTATGAGGTGTCAAGTCCAGACCCGACATATAGACTAATGGTAGATTGCATTGTTTCAAATAAAAAAAAGGAAAATTTTTCTTTTTCAATTTTTTTTTTTCTTTTTCTTTCTACTTACAAGGCTACAGCTGCATTTGCTTTGCTTCGGTTATAATTCCAAGTCAAGCAGAATGCCCACATGCATACTTAGAGGGTGCAAACTCTAATCATCGAACCCAATTGAATACCGAATCAACTCATTTCAATTCGGTTAACTAAATAAAGAGAGGTTTGATTATTGGTGTATTTGGTTTGAATCGAATTTATATTTCGATTCGATTTGGTTTCATAAAGTATGTGTTGGGCTTAAATCAAACCGTAAATAGCAAAACCGATCAAAATTAACCAAATTAACTGATTCGATTTAGTTTAGAAGGCAATTTCAATTCTATTGAAAAAGACTTCGATTTTTATTTTGTAGTTTTGTTTTCTGTTTAATTCGATTTGAAACAAATCGACCGTTTGCTCACCTCTGTACATACTTACTAACACTATAAATAATTCAAGCGGAGCTCACCAAAGTTTGAGTTTGGCTCAATAAAGATACTTCGATTTACTTAAAAATAGTCGAGCTCGATTTAAAAATAATCAAGCTCGTGCTCCACTAAATAATCATAAATAAGCAAAGTTCAAATTGAAGTTTGGCTCTCATAAATGAGCCAAATTCAAACTCGTAATCTATAAAATTAAAATGACTTCATTTAATGTAAGTTCAATTAATTTTAACTTATTGAATTAGCTCACACACTCAGGCTCGATAAAGCTCACAAATCAGCTTTATCGAGCCGAGTGTGTGAGCTAGCTCATGAGTTTAGTTCGATAATGTTGGCTCATGAGCTAATGACTTGAGCTCGATTTCAGCTCGTTTATTAAGTAAGCTCAGTAGCTCGGCTCAATAAGTTTATCGACCGAATTTGAGCGAGCTTTTATCAAGTCGAGTATTAAGCAGCTCAATTCATCCACGTATAATTTATAACAAAATTTTTAATAAAAATTGCATATATAAATTAAATTACATGTGCTTATTGTAAATGAGTTAAAAAACATCACATTCAAGAAAACTAATAAAATTTAAAATATAAACTTAAATAAAATTTTATTTATATCAAACATAAAAATAATTTATAAAAATTCATTTATAGAAATAACAAATTTTTTTTTTCCAAACAAAACCAAATCCTATCTTAAACTGCCTAACTTGTAATGGAAATGTTATAAACTGTAATCTGTTGGCAAGCCTAAATGGCAAGTGTCACCACGCCAGTGTTCCCCCTCTAATCTAATCCTGAAACCAAAAAATCCCACCACTCCTATTCTACTTTGTATGAAAAGCATAAATAAAAATAAAAACCAGCAAGAAAAACAATAAAAAGCTTCGATTTTCTTTTCCTTTCTTGTCCAATTTCCAGCAGAGCTCTCAACAATCAAGAACTGAGAACAAGAAGAAGATATGGGAAGAATCTTTGTGGTAGAATTAGAGGGAAGGTCTTACAGATGCAAATTTTGTGCAACCCATTTAGCCCTTCCCATTGATCTGGCTTCAAGAGTAAGCCTTTAACCCTTTAATTATCTCCTCTCTATATCTTTTTTTTTTTTTTTTTTTTTTTTTTTAACAGATGCAAATTTTTGGTGCAACCCATTTAGCCCTTCCCATTGATCTGGCTTCACAAGAGTAAGCCTTTAACACCTTTAATTAATCTCCCTCTCTATATCTTTTTTTTTTTTTTTTTTTTATTTCATAATTTTTGTTTCCTTTTTTTTTTTTTTTTTTTTTTATTTCATATTTTTGTTTCCCCTTTAATTCTTTAATTGTCAGGATGAGGAACGCATGCAAATTTTAGTATAAAGTTTGCATCTTTGCAAGTATTTGAAAAGGTTTAATGTAGTAATATTTTTGGTTTCTATAAATTGCTGATAAAAACCTATTAAAATTGTTTAGCTCCTTTTGGTCTAATTGTTCTTTCTTTTCGATTTTGTACAGTCTTTTCATTGCCGCAGAGGAAAGGCATATCTCTTCAATAAAGTGTGAGTTCTTTATGAATTTCTGCTGTCATAGTTGTTATGAAGCTTTCGTAATGGCTTAGCTAAATTTCAGTGATCAGATCAGAACAAATGATATTTGATATTTAGCATTAACAGCTGTAATTCATTTTGGAAATGATTTTCCTCCATATTTTTTTCTTACAATAGCTTCTTGCTTCTACTGTTCTGTTTTAAATATCATTTTTGTTCATTCCTCTACAATTCATGAAATGTGAAGATGGCATTGCTAAGCATTACAAGAATCGTGTAGACGTTAGAGTGAATATCATGCAGGTGTGGCATTGAAAAAGATGTGAAAAGAAAAGAAAATAAAAGAAGTCCTTATAAAAATGTTCAACATTTAGCAAAACCTCAAAATCATTTTGCATCATGTGTGATTATCCCATTTTATTTGGTATTATGTATGCAATGAAAATCATTTGATTTTAATGCTTGGGGGTATCGATTTTCTTTGCTTGGACGCTGATCACTGCTTTTAATGCTTGTGGGTATCGATTTTAATGCTTGGAATCCATGAGATAAGAAACTCAATTTCACAGACGGATGTGTACAAATGCACAAACACATTTTAGTATCTCACTTTAAAAGTGAAGAGATTGAAATCTGACCCCAGGGGTTTGTTCTCACCTTGAGCAATTTCATGTCTATCTATAATGCAATGAAGCTGCATCTGATGGTGTTTGTGATTTCAGGGTGAATATAACAGTTGGAGCCATGGAGGAGAGAATGATGCTTTCAGGAATGCATACTGTGGCGGATATATTTTGCTGCTGTTGTGGACAAATTGTTGGCTGGAAATATGTACTCATCTCCTCCCTGCCCCTCCACACAAATGCGCACGATGATCAATTTTACTTGGTCCCGGAAGTTACCGCTATATTTTATCACCATCCTTCAATTTTCAAAATCAAAATCAATAAACTTCATAAACCATTGCAATAAACATCACTCCTGCTAAAATCTGGCAAATCCGTTACTGGAAATGAGTGAAATTAACCCTAACACACAATTCGTGCATGCCCATCTGTATCTTTTTTTATCCCTCTTACTGTTCTTAGTGCAAGCTTGTACTGACTTTCAACTAAGAATATTTTGCTATTCCTTTTCAGGAAGCAGCACACGAGAAAAGCCAAAAGTACAAAGAAGGAAAGTTTGTTCTTGAAAGGTACAGCTTTTTATTTTGTGAACTTGGATCCATCATTCTCTCCATCCTCTTAACATGTATTTATCTGCATGCTTGACTATCAAACAGAGGGAGAATTGTTGATGAGATGGACTTGTCATCTGGAGTCTTTATTGACACCCATTCCGGTATGAGTGACGCTGAAGACTCGTAGGATATAACTTCATTTGTCTAAGTAATGATGTAAAATAATATGGAAGTAGGAAGAAAAGCTACTTCCTTTTGTACATACATGGATTGCTTTGTCATTTTAATATATATGAGCACCTACTGTTGCTACAAATGGAGTTTAGTAGTCTTTAATTCTCATGAATTTTCTAAAATATGAAGCTTTTATTTGGTCCAATGTTTATTTATCTTAATCAGCTTACATCGTTCCCCGATCGGAAATATACTTATTCAAATATTTGTTAATAAATAGTCCAAACCAAAAATATAATTGCCGAGCCAGTATAATAGGCTTCTAGCCAAGCGGGGCATCCCATCCGTCATGGTCGGGTAGTAACTATTACTCGTATGAAAATATGTATACATGTAATTGCAGCAACAGCAAGCACGCCTCGCAGATACTTCATCGGATCAGCTAGCTCTGGCCTTCCGGCCACCCCATCCTCCAGGGATGGGTAACAATTTTTTTGCTTAAAAACAAGCTTAATCGCTATAATTTGCACCTTCAGTGACAATATCTCGCAGCTACTGATCTGAGTTGATAGGAATATGAAGAAACAATAGCAACATGTTTGGAATCACCTTTTGCCTCACATTTACGTTTAATTTTTTTTTTCATAGATTTGCCAATTACTGTTGGACTTCCCGTTATGTTCCTTGTATATTAATGTATTGCATCCAAATCCTGCTATTTTTTCAAAAATATTTTAAAGAAGAGCGTTCTATTATTCCATGGTTCTGTATGAAGCTCTGATTAGGAACTTGTTGCATTGTTTCGTGTAGTTTCAGAGGGTCCTCCTGTGGTTCATGAGAAGAAGGGAAGTAAACCTTTTCTCGTAAAATACATAATAAATTCGAGTCAAGGTCCAAGTAAGAAATTAAACCTTCATTCTAGGGTATGCTATCCTGCGAACAACTGACAAAAAAAAAAAAAAGAAAAAAAAAAAAAAAAATGACACTGGTGCAACTGATCATATAGTGTATTCTCTTGACTATTATAGTCAACATGCATCTGTTCGTAATTGTTTTGTCAAACTTCCAAATGGTATGAAAGTAGAAGTTACTCACGTAGGGACCATACATTTAAGTTCAAAATTAGTCTTGATCAATGTCTTAATGGTTCCAAGTTTTTCTTTTAACCCCATTTCTGTCAGTCAATTGACACAAACTCACCAAATCTGTCTCCTATTTCTTTTAACTACTTGCTTTATCCAGGTCCTCTCATCATGGATGACGATTGGAATGGCAAAGATGCATTCTGGTTTGTACTTCCTCCAAAATAATTTTCTTTCCAAGACAGTTTTAGCCAACAATTGTATATGGAATGCTGTTTTTATCGTCGGTTCTATTTCAGCTGATGTCTGGCACACAGATTAGGTCACTTACTTTAGATAGAATAAAAGTTTGTGGTATTGATTGTCAATCTGTTCCAAATGACCCATGTAACGCTTGTTTCAAACCTAAACAGAAACGTATACCATTTCCTAAACATGTTTATTCTAGTTTCCAATTGTTTGAATTAGTTCATTGTGATATTTGGGGGCCTTATTCCCAACATGATCTTCAAGGACATCATTACTTTCTTTCTTTAGTTGATGAATTTTCTAAATGCACTTGTGTGTATCTTATGAAACATAAATCTGAAGTGCCACAATGGATTGAACATTTTTACAATATGGTTTCCAATCAATTTCATAAGTCCATCAAAATTTTAAGGTCTGATAATGGTTCAGAGTTTTCTCTTCTTTCTATGCCTCTAAAGGAATTTTACATCAAAACTCTTGTTCTTACACCCCTCAACAAAATGGAGTTGTTGATAGGAAACATCAACATATATTGAATGTGGCTAGATCCTTACTCTTTCATTCTCATTTGCCTCTTTATTTTTGGGGAGATGCAATTCTTACAGCTGTTTACATCATCAATAGGACTATTTTACAAAATCAGTCTCCTTATCAACTTTTGTTTGACAAAGTTCCTAGTTATACTCATTTTAAGTCATTTGGGTGCCTTTATTATGCTGTTAATCTTGTCAATCATAGAAAAAAATTTGACTCTAGGTCTAGGAGATGCATATTTCTAGGTTACTCTAATACTGTCAAGGGTTACAAGCTTTATGATTTGGACACTAACACAACTTTTCTTTCAAGAGATGTTCAATTTTTTGAGCATTCTTTTCCTTTTCACAAATGCATTTCATCTACATCAAGTCAAGTTGTTCCAACACTTTCTCATGATCTTGTTTCTTCTTTTGATTCCTTTCCTTCAATTGTTCCCACTTCTCCTACTCCTGAACCAGTAATTCCTACTGTTGATTCTCAATCTAATATTCCTTCTCTTGAACCCCCACAACCTGAAAATACTTCCCAATTCCTGATTCCAATTCTCATTCTTCTACCATACCTCTTAAGAGATCATCTCGGCTTACTAGACCACCAACATATCTTCATGATTACCATTTATCACTCTTACCTTAGAAACCATCTGCTTCTTTCATTTCCAACTCTTGTACCTCTTATCCCATTCAAAATCATCTTTCATACCATAAATTGTCTCCATCATACAAACATTTCATTCTTTCCATTCAAACTACACTAGAACCAAAATCTTTTCAACAAGCTATTCAATCTGTTCACTGGCAGCAAGCAATGCAAGTTGAACTTGATGCTTTGCAGGCTAATAATACTTGGAGTGTTGTGTCTTTACCTAAAGGGAAACTTCCTATAGGCTGTAAATGGGTGTATAAGGTGAAATTCAATTCTGATGGGACTATAGAGAGGTATAAGGCTAGGTTAGTAGCCAAAGGTTGTAATCAAAGGGAGGGTTTTGATTTTCAAGAAACCTTTAGTACGTTTGCAAAACATACCGCTGTTAGAGTATTTTTAGCTTTAGCAGCTATTAAGGGCTGGTTTCTTTCTCAACTTGACATAAATAATGCATTTCTTAACTAGGATTTAGAGGAAGAAGTCTATATGGACCTGTCTCAAGGTTACCATATTCAGGGGAGATTAAAGATGAATATGGTGATCAATTGAAGGGACATAAGGGCAGATTAGTTTGTAAGTTGCAAAAGTCCTTATTTGGGCTTAAGCAAGCCTCTAGACAGTGGAACCTGAAGTTTACGAGTGTCTTATGAAGTTGGGATTCAAACAGTCAAAAGCAGATTACTCTTTGTTTACAAAGAATTCATGTAATGGGTTCATTGCTTTACTTGTCTATGTAGATGATGTGGCAATAGCAAGTAATAGTGATCAATTGATTAGGGAATTTAAACAAGAATTGAATTTGCATTTTAAGTTGAAAGACCTTAGTAATTTGAAATATTTCTTGGGGTTAGAAGTTGCAAGACCTAAGGCTGTTATTTCAGTTTGCCAAAAGGAAATACACCCTAGAGTTGTTAGAGGAATATGGACAAAGGAGCTAAACCATGTAGAACTCCTATTGAAGTGAATCATAGAATGGTAAATATTGAAGAAGGTTTAATGGCAGATTCAACTGAATATAGGCAATTGGTAGGGAAACTTATGTAATTAACAATAACCAGACTTGATATATGCTATGCAATCCATGTACTTACACAGTTTATGGACAAGCCTGCTGACATTCATATGGCTGCAGCACATAGGGGTCTGAGATACCTGAGAATTGTCCTGGTCAAGGTATATTTATTTCTGCAGAATCAGATTTACAATTAGAAGCTTACACAGACAGTGATTGGGGAAGTTGTAATGAAACAAGGAGATTTTTGACTAGTTTCTGCATCTTTCTTGGAAAGATTATAATCATTTGGAAGTCAAAGAAACAAAATGTAGTTTCCAGAAGTTCAGCAGAGGCAGAATATAGAGCAATGGTTATAACTACTTGTGAAATAATGTGGGTTCTCTATCTTTTAGAAGATTTTGATTTAAGGCATAATGGACCTACAATTCTATATTGTGACAGTATTTCAGCTTTACATATATCGAAGAATCCTGCATCTCATGAAAGAACAAAGCACATTGAACTTGATTGCCATTTTATGAGAGAGAAGATTCAAGCACAAGTGATAAAGCCAGAGTACATCAAGTCACAACAACAAACAACAGACATTTTTACTAAGGCTTTGCAGCCTTATCAACATGAATTTCTGTTAACCAAGATGAACATACAAAATTTGTATGCACATTTTGAGGGGGAGTGTAAAGAGACTAAATAAATTTATTTATTGTATTTTTCTATTATTGTAAATAGTAAATGTAATTAGTTAGATAAAAAGTAAATATCCTTACCTAAAGGATATATATATGTACAGTTGTAAAGAGACAAAAGAGTTACGCAACATATTTTTCAATACAGAAGTAATTTGCTCCTTTCATCTTTTTCTCTCTCTCTCTCAAACTAACACTTTCCTTAAAGAACAACAAGCAACATTCATCAGACAAGAGGCTGAATAGCCCAGAAGGCAATTGCTCTAATCGCAGCAGGGCACGGGATTTTTCAATCACCTCCAGTCCACAAATGGTTGTCGCCTTAGAAACGGAAGCCACAAGTTGTTGACATTCTCTAATCTCAAGACTTGTTAAAGAAGATAGGTAACTCGGAAGGGCTTTTGTTAGGTTTGGACACATCCTTATGCAAAGCTGTTGGAGGAGAGGGAAAGCTTCACCTTCATTTTTGTCTAAATCAGAAATCCACTCACGCCATAACGCCATTTTTTGGAAAATTAAAGTTTCAAGCGACCTAAATGGATTTTTTATGGACCCATAGAACTCAGGACCAATAATCTCTATCCCATCAAATTCTTCGATAAGGAGGAATCTTAAAGAGGCTAACTGCCCTAGTGGTGGCAAGAAGGAACAGTTTTTGCATCCAGAAAGCATCAACTCCACCAGATCTGAGAATGAAGATTCTCCTACCCAATTTGGAAATCTTGTACCCCCATAGCCCGTAATTGAAAGGCCTTCTACTTTCTTGTGGGGCTGTAATTGCTCAAGTACGCCTCTTTCATGCAACGAATCTTTACAACTACCATTCCACGTCAACTTTAACTTTTTAAGCTGTTCTTTATCCTTCAAATTGGCTTCCAAAGCATCTTCATACACCACAACGTATTGGAGATTATAAATGTCAAGTGTTCCTTGAATGTGTTGAAGATTGCCTAACTCTTTAATCCTAGACCCACCATGTTCTCCCAAAACAAAGTTGGTCAATATTTGGAGATTTTTTAATTTACCCATTTGCGGTGGCATCTCTTTCAAATTTGTTTTTCTAATATCAAGATGACACATATTGAGCAATTTTCCTAAGGTTGATGGCAACTGAACAAAGTTTCTGCACCTATGCAAGATTAAAGTTTGCAAGTTATACAAACTGCCCAAACTTTCAGGTAATCTTTCTAGCGATGCTCCAGAGAGATTCAAATATCTTAGATGCTTCAAATCACCAATAGAATCAGTCAATCTAATTATGTTACCATACTGAGTTAAAGATAGCACTCGCAAGTACTCAAGTTTCGGTAATAAATCATGTACTACCTCATCACTTATTGTAGACGGCAGCCACCTCTTTGATAATGAGTGCTCCATTGGTAAAAAGGTACGCAGAAATCTAGCTTCACAAATATACCCAAATTTCCTAGAGGTGTCATTTCTTGTTCTTACATATGAAAAATGGCGAGTTTTTTTAGCTACAGTGCACGGATTCTCACCCTCTAACCAGAAGCAAAATTCTTTGCCAACAAATTTCGCTAAATCACTGATAAGGTCATGCATAACAAAGCATGATTGATGGCCATTTGATTCTTGAAAAAATGATCTTGAAACAAGATCATCAAAGTATGCACCACCGACTTCCATATCCTTATTTCTTCTTAAATTCATAATCCTTGGGAAATAATGAACAATAAGCAAAACATCGTTTCAGATGTGACGGAAGGTACTGATAACTTAATCTTAAAGCTGGAAGAATGTCACCTTTAGATAAAAACCACATTTTGCTCGTCAATATCTTCTTCCATTCATTGATGTCTCTGTTGGAGCGCAAGACACCACCCAATGTTTTTACAGCTAAGGGCAAACCTTTGCACATTTCTACTATTTTTCTACCAATTTCTTCTAATTGTGGATGTGAAACGGAATTTCCGCCATCAAATGCATGTCTTGCAAATAGAAACCAACAATCATCATTCATCAATTCTTTTAAATGATAACTTGGAAAAGTTTGCACAAGGGATGCCACGCTCTCATTGCGTGTTGTAACAATGATCTTACTTCCTTGAGCCCCAAATTTTAAAGGTCTTAACAAAATATCCCAATCAGCATGTTTTTCATTCCAAACATCATCTAGAACAAGAAAAAATCTATTCTCCTTTAATCTCTCTTTCAGATCAAGTTGAAGCTGATTTAGATTCCTTGAATCACAAATCTTTCCAGTAACTTCTTCAATAACATCTTTAGTTATCTTGGAAACGTTGAATTCTTCAGAAACAAAAACCCAAGCTTTGATATCGAACCACTGCTGCGCCCTGCTGTCATTATAAACAAGTTGAGCAAGTGTGGTTTTACCAATCCCGCCCATACCCACAATAGGAATTACACCTAACTCACTCCCATTTGACAAAACCAACTCCATTATAGCTTCCTTATCATCATCTCTACCATAAACACCAAATTCATTAACAAGACAAGTTGTGGGAGTTTTCTGCAATGATGGGTTTTCTCCAATACCCTCTTTAAGACCAAAGGCATCCTTTAGTTTAACTAAGTATTCAAGCCTATCAAGAATTTCAACCAATTTTTCTTCTAACTGCAAACCCTTCTTAAATGGATTAAAAGAAGAGATAAACCTGAACGCCTGATTAATACTCGTTTGAGAAGGATCTTCCAGTTCCAATCGCAGAGCTTCACAAGTAATTTCGTCGAACAAGTCATCTGCATCATAGACAGCATCTTTAAGCTCATCAAGCCATTTCTTTATAGCTGGATTAGAAATCTGCTTCTCCTCTGCATCATCAAGAAAGCCATTAACACAAATCATAGTTGCGTTTAGTTTCTTTAGTAGCCCATTGTTCAGTTTTTTAGCCTTAAAGAAGCCGACAAACTTGGGAGAAGTCATTCTATCAAACAAAACTTGAAGGAAAGCAGAGAGAAATGATCCTCCTACCAAAGCACCAGCCATGAAAAATACAGTGAAAAGAAAAAGAAAAGCAACCAAAGTAGAGAGAGGAGAGGAGGAGGAAAAAGCAATAAGTGAGAGAAATTTGACTTTGTATTTCTTTGTTGCCGTTGTTTGATTTGGAGATTACGTGTAAAGAAAAAAAAACGATTTTTAGTTTACTTTTGAAAAAGGAAAACTTTTTTTTAGTTCAGTCCACAAGAAGCTGGCAGAGCTTTAGCCATTGGACTACATCCATCTATCCTACCTAAACAGTAAGCCATTCCTGAAATTTGACCAAATTTACCATTTCATCAGGTCGTTTTCAAGCTTCGATTTAGTTTGGTTTTAATCAACTTAGGTTCTTTTAATTTTTCATACGAAAAATAAAACCTAATCAAAATGAGAAAAAGTTCCAAATTTACAAATCAAACTGAATTGAATTTTTAAATAATTTAATTCAATTCTTCAATTAAAATTGAAGAATACTATTAGCCCTATACCTTGTTAGATGGACTCACTCCGGAATCATAGCATTAACAGATGTTATCGTGGAGGAATAAACTTCGATCAATCAGGCGGATGATCAACGTTTTTACCATCAGGCCACCACCTTTGATGATCCCGAATATTTAAACTGCAAAAGTAATTATTTCATGCTTTTGCTTTTAAATTCAACTACGATAAACTACTGTTTTCAGGAAATTAAATGAAAATAAGAAAGAAGCTAGAGCTGAATTGCTTGGTACTATGACCATATCAAGAAGAAGTGTACCACTAAGCTACTAGGAGTATACATTAATTTCTATAATGGATAAAAATTAAGTCAAAAGATTATATAATTTGGTAAAAAATATGGATTTATTAAAATGATTATGTCAAGCAATCGCATGTAGACATTATATTTTTATGTATTATATGTTCTTTAATTAATTAAGGATTATTCATTTAAATACTGAATTAATGAAATTTGAATAAATATAAAATTGTTATGAGACTATATTGGCCTGTAAGGAAATTATATTTTTGTTATAATTATGAGATTCTTACTATTCCATAGAAATGTTGAGAGATATTCTATTCATGTTGGAAAATGATTAAATTTAGAGTTATTTACACTGCTACACATTATATCCATTCCTTTATAAAAGGTCAAATGCATATAAAGTCAAATGCATAAATATACTCTTATACTTTATAGAAAAAATCTCTGACATCCTAAACTTTGCGAGTGACCTATTATGTCTATGAAGTTATGAATTTTACTAATATTATATCCCTTTCCATACTAATAATAATTTTTTTTTTTGGTGTTTTTATTATTGATGTGCAAGATATTCACTTAATATGTGATTAGTATGAGATATTCACCCTTAAATATGGTTTTAAAAAATTGATGACTTAGTTTGATTTTGGAAAATTTAGGTGCCCTTTATTTTTGCTTAAATTTTTTGTTTTTTTAAAATAAAAAAATTTGTTTGTTTAAACTTTTTTAATTTTTTTCTTTACCTTTACTATTGTTAAAACAAAAAATAAATTTTATGAAATCACAAATAGTGGCTTACGTAATCGTGTTTTCTGTTTTTAATTCTACATTCTTTTATTTTTTATTTTTATAAGATTTATCCTTATTAAGGTATTATTATTTCTCTATCTATACAAATTTAATGTTATTTATTTATGCAAAAAATACAAGTAGATAGTTTTATTTTTTTATTAAAATTATATATTTTTTCTATCTCTTCTCTATTTAGTATTGTTTTTATATTTATTATTATTTTTTAATGTCATTTGGTATTATTTATTTATTATAATACTTGGATATTATATTTTTATTAAATTAATTGTATACATAATATCAATAGTTATTGTATTTGAAATTTAAAAATTAAATTGTGAAATATTTTTAATTATTTTGTTCCAAATTTTAAATTTTTAAAATTTTTATTATTAATTAATGCTTTAACATATTTGATAATTGAAAAAAATTTTCATGAATCAAAAGAAAAGAAATAATGATTTTAGAAAAAAAAAATCAATTTAAAAAAAATAATAATCAAAAATTAAAAATTGCTTCATATTTCTGATAAATAAAAAATTAAAAATAAACAATTATAACAAACGATGCCTTAAATGATCCTTTGGTGCGGTTGCTGTTTTGACAAAATCATCCAAACTGAACGAAACACACACACACATATGTATTTGAATTTTAAATGATAAATAATTCAAAGGTAAAGTAATATTTAGTCCATGAGCTATTGTGAAATTCACCATCCATCCTTAATCCAAAGTTTATTTATCTTATTCGTCCTACATTCAGATTCAAACTAATTAAATTATTTATTAATAAAAGGTGACAGTTAACAATATTATCGTGAAGTCTAATAGTCTGAGATTCTAATCAATCGAGACATCATTTTGCATGGTTAGATAGCAATCTTTACTCATATGAACAAATATACCGATATAAATATATTTGGATAATAACTTTTTGCTCGAAAACAAATCATATATTTTGTTCTATCTGTATGTTTTTAATCCCCTACAACTTGCTCCTTCTGAAGATGGTGAGCTCATTCACTATTCTTCTTCAATGAAATGTTTAAGAACATAACAGAAATACAAGAACATAACAGTAATTTGCCCTAATTAATGGTGCAAAACAATGTGAAAATTAGGAAGAGAATGTACTGCTTTTTGTACATAAGTGAATTGCCTTCTTTGTCATTTTAATATATTTGGCCACCTAATTTGCTGCAAATGGAGTTTTTAGAGTTTAGCTTGATAGTGGTATAAGCACAAGAAGTTCAGGTGTTTCAGTTAAAAACAAAGAATTGCAAACTGTCACCTGTAACCTGAGCAATTGAATTGGAGAGACAGGATCAACTCCACCACATGCAATTCTGGTTTTCAGAATTTCAAATTGTTGATTATAGTCATGTGTGATTTGCTATAGGACAAGGAATGGAATGTATATTTCTTGGAATATGATGTTATAGGTATCTTTGTGTTTGAATACCTTTTGATTTATACTAAAATGGTGTATATTTTGAAATATTATGTTTAATCTAACAAACATAGTTTATTTTATTGGTAACCAACGCATTTTATTTATTAATTACTGCTGAATATATTTTTCTTTTTGTTTTCAAGAGCCCGTTTGGACAAATGAATTTTCTACAAAAATATATGAAATTCATTTGGAAATCCAAAATTGTGTTTGGAATGAAAAAATAATTACAAATTTAAATTATACGAATTGAATTCTATAGAATTGGGTATGCCTAACTCAAATTCTACTAAAATTAATGGAATTTATAAATAAATTTTACAAAATTAACTATTGAAATGTTTATTGACAAAATTGCATTTCACTATAATCTCAACTATTTTTATTTTTTTCTTTTTTATTTATTTTCTTTGGAAAATTCCAAACTATAACTTTTTTAATTCACTAATAACGTTAGTTATATTTTACTTTTTTTTTTCATTTTCAATTATTTTTGAAAAATTACAGACTAGTAATAACATTTTTTTTGTTAAGTTTAGTAATAATGTTAGTTATTATTATTATTATGAAATTATAAAAATTTAGTATCAACAATTATTTTCAAATGCAATTAAAAACAATAGTAACATTCTTTAATATTTTTTTTTAGTTTTCAAATTAATTAATTAAATTAACAATATTTTTTACATCAATTAACAATAATTATTGTTATGAATGTTACTATTTATATAATTAATTAACGTGGAATATTAGTGTACTTATTTATATGAAATTTATTATTTATATTATTGTTTATGATGTTACTATTTATATAATTAAATTATAATTAATTAACGTGGAATATTAGTGTACTTATTTATATGAAATTTATTATTTATATTTTAATAAAAAATGACAAGTTATTATATTGTACATTATAAATTAATTGGTGTTTGTTATTTATTTTTATTAAATTATTATGTCAAGAGTGTTATAAGAAATAAAAACAAATAAATTTTTATTTAAGAATTTATCACAAACATAATTGTCTAGAATTCAATTGAATTCCTTATTTTAAATTGTAGCATACCAAACATGACAAATTCATTTGCAAATGAATTTTTCTTGGATTTATTTACAAATAATTTTTTACAATTATAATTCATTTGCTCCAAATTGACTGTAAACGTCCATTCCAATTTCCAAGGGAAATCAAACAATAATGTTTCCAAAATTTCAATTGTTGATGGAGGAATATTCAAAAAAAAAAAAAAAAAAAAAAAAAAAAAAAAGAAATTTTTGGAGAAATGAAACGTATACTTTGTTTGATGCATGCTTTAAATTCTTATACACAAATGAGTTTTGCTAAATCTTGTTTCATATTTTTTTTTTTCAAAAAAACTATATATATATATATATATATATATATATATATATCACAAAAATAGAAAAATTTCAACACCGTATATCCTTTTTCTTTCTTTTTTTTAAGAGAACGATGACATTCATTATTTCTAGAAAAAAATAATTAACAATGAGTTAGAGATATCATGCCACATTTGTAAGATTGTGTTTAATATTACGTTTGACTTGTCTCCTAATTTAATTTGAAATTTACATTATTGCTGGAGTTTAAAGATTAGATTTTTGCACATGCTGTATATCTTTGATTTGCATTTAGGCACTGAGGAGCACGTACAATGTATATATCACAAAAATAGAAAATTTGCACACCGTATATCTTTTTCTTTCTTTTTTTTAAGAGAACGATGACATTCATTATTTCTAGAAAAAATAATCTAACAATGAGTTAGAGATATCATGCCACATTTGTAAGATTGTGAATACTTACGTTTGACTTGTCTCCTAATTTATTTGAAATTTACATTATGCCTGGAGTTTAAGAATTAGATTATGCACACTGTATATCTTTGATTAGCATTTAGCACTGAGGAGCACGTACAATGTTCAATTATAAGTTGCTGTTTATATCTAATTAATTATTTTTTCAAATTCGTTTTAAGTAAATAATATTAAAAAATGTCCACATTCCAAATATATATTAAAAAAAAGTCTTGGAATTAAGGTAAAAAAAAATCATAGACAATAAAAGGAATATATGTATAATGACAGCAATTTGAAATTATTTAAAAGAGTTTGATTCTTTCTTGATACTTGCAATAGGTATCTAGACAGTTTACCTTGTAACAGTCCACAAATTTAATTAATTTCCGCTCACCCTTGAAGGCAAAGGAGGTTATCCAGAGGAAAACTTGCATCATAGAGGATTGAATCGATGACTTAAGCCATGATGATTAACCCCATAAGTGCTATTTTCCACTGAGTTACCCCATGTGAGTTAAAGAGTTTAATTCTTTATACTGAGGGAAAAAAAATGAAATACATTTAAAATTTATGGAGCTTATATTTATGGATAAAACATAAAATGCATGTATAATGGAATGAGTTGCTATTTAATCTCTTAGTTATAATCAAATACATTAATCATGATCATATTTTTAAATTTAATTGATAGACTCTTGGTTTAACTTTTATTACATTCCTTAATTAATTTTTTTATTTAATTTTTCTGTATTTTTTATTGAAGTAGGAAATTCGAAACTTGATCTAGCATTTAATTTTTATATTAATTATTAATTAAATGTCTTGATTATTTATACTAAATATATCCTGTTAATTACATGTCATGTAAAAAAGCACTTCAAAGATTTAGTCTATTAAGTTTATTTGGACCGAAATCTTCAATTATTAAATACCAGTGAAGCTTGCGGTGTAAACTTACAATGTTATCTAAAGCAAACTTGCAGGCGGAGACGAGATGAGAGTGCTTTCATCATATAGCATCTTCTACAATTTTGTCGAGTGAAGGGTCTAAAACTCTATTGCAGGTAGCAATTCTGCCCTCTTAAGGTTGGAGAAACAGATATGGTTACCTCGTTTAGTTTTGTAAAGAGATGTAGCGATGGATTTATAGGCAAATCTACATGCTTATTATTTCTCTGCTTCTTTCTCTATCTTTTTCTGAGAATAAAAATGGCAGATGGAAAAAAAGGATATGTCGTTTAATTAATTTATTAGAATTTAGAAAAAAAGTTCTAAAAACAAATTGCAATAAAATGATACTACAAATCTAGCATGTGGTGATGATGATGATTTGATTTTCGAGGCGGAGTCAGGAGGGTTTCTAGAAAATTTTCTCCTTTGATCCACCGATTGGAAAAAGGAGAGGGAGAAGGTGCCGCTGGGATAGAGGAAAAAATATTTTTGTCAATTCACTTTATTAGTGTTTTTAATCCACATGGCAGTCTACATGGCATCATATTTCGCGCACAATCAGCAATTAAAGAATAAAAAAATGGGACCCAGTCGTCCTGCAGTAATTTCCGGGCATGCAAATTTCACTCAGTTATTAAAAAATTAAAAATTTATTCACCAAAACCAAAATAAAAAATTTCGGAAATTCCACACACTAAAATCGCAATTATTCCGATGATAATTATATAAAAATTTTATTTGTGAATGAATTATAGATGGTATCTAAGTTCAAATGACAATTTTAGCCTTATTTCTTTTTCTTGTTTTCCATTTCTATTCAGCATTCAACTTCTAACTTGTATAGTGCTGATGACAAGTCGTTTTGGCACGAAAGGGCAACAGTTAATTAGTATTTATATCTCTGTAAGTTGCGTTTTAACCAGAAGCGACCGTAGCCTTATGCTTTTCCTTCTCTGAAAATTCAGTTTCTATTTCTCCGCTCGTTGTTTATATATTTATATCTCTACTTTTCTCCTCCTTCTGTTCTTCAATCTTCACCTGTTATTTCTTTTTCTTTTATAATTTTTTTCCAGTTTATTTTTATCTTGTTCTTTTCCTGTTTGATTTTTGCTTCTTGCAGGTCTTCAAAGATATTGACAAAGGAAAAAAAGGAAAACCCAAATGGGAAAATCCTCTTCTAGTAAAAAGAAACGATCAAAATATCCATCTCGGGTTAGTTCTTTCTCTCTCTCCCTCTGCTATTTGTTAATAGTCGTTTTAATTTTGGTTTTTGATTGTTGAGTTAATTTCATATTTGATCTATATATTTCAATGTAATACTCAATTTGACTTAGGGCTTTAATATGTATGGTTTTTATTTTTTAGGGTTAGAATTTTTGTAATCCATTACTCAATTGTACCTCTGATTGAATTTGAGCTATGAAGGACTGAACCTGTTGTTTGATTGGATGCGTTTTTATTAAAAAGGCTTTTTTTCTTTTGAGGCTTTGCCTGTGATCTTTTTTTCTTTTGAGGCTTTGCCTGTGATCTTAGTCTGAATTTTCTTTTCATGTATATGCACATTTCCGTTCTAATGCATAAGGGTAACAAGAAATTGCTGTAAGATATGAATCTTAAGATTCTGCCCATCGATGCTTCTCACTTTTTCGCATTTGTTTATTGAAAAAAAAATGGGGACAAGTGCTTATGATTTGAGTCAAAAGATCACATAAGTGTTTTAACTTCTGTTGAGAGATCCTATGGAACTTCCATTGTGGAACATAATTTACATAAAATGTAGATTGTGAATTTTTAGTAATCTTAATGTGATTTATTTATGTGCCCTAAACTGTATATTGCTTATTTAGGGTCGCACAAAGAAGAGAAGTAAGACCAAAAGTAGATCAAAAAAGCTCAGGCGCCGTAGTTATTCAGTTGGTTATTCTAGCGACAATTCAAGAAGTTCATTATCTGTTTCCTCCAGTTCTGAGGATAATAACAGAAGTAGAAGGTCTCGATCTCACACTCATAAGGATGTTAAGGGGACTAAAAGAAGGGCTTGTTCACCCTCCTCTAGCAGTGAGGAGTCTCATCGCGTGAGAAAGCAAAAAGGGTCAAGGAGGAATGATGATTACGAAGTGAGGAAGAAAAGTCTTAGGAAAAAGAGAAGGAAGAAGGCTCTGAAAGATGCAAGTATCAGTCCTAGGAGTAGTGGGTCATTGAGTTGTTCAACTTGTTGGAGTTCAAGTAGCAGTAGTGATGAGAGTGAACATGAAGGTCACAGGGGCAGGTCTCAAAGAAGAGATAACAATGTAAGAAAAATGAAGAATGTTAAAGTTGGAACTAAGAAGAGGAGATATAGGTCAAGAAGTTGTTCTTCTTGTAGTAGACAGAACGGAAGTAGGGATTGCCGGAGTGAGGAGAAAATAAGTAATGGGAACATTTCAAAGCGACTGAAATCAATTATTACTCTTAAGGAGGAGGATAAAGAGACAACAGAATTGGATAGGGATGAGCATAAAGAAGAGATGATATATGATCATGATGATTACCCATCTAGCAGAAGCAATGATAGTAATGAAGGGGGAAATAAGAATGTGTCAGCTCATCGATCACATGTTTCATTTGACAAGGAAAGGTCTATAGAGATTGAGAAAAGAGAAGATGCTTTTATTTGTGACACTAAAACCACCAAAGCCTCAGACAGTTGCAAGGACAGGGATGAAAAATATAGGAGAAGTGAAACTGCTTGTGATGGGGTTGGGACAAATTGTGTTATAGAGGAAAAGAATAATGAGATATCTGAGGCTGCCGGTGATGTGAATGATGATCATTTGGAGTCCATTTTACGACAAAAAGCTTTGGAAAATCTGAGAAGGTTCCGTGGAGGATTTCAGACAAATGCAAAATATGCTATTAATGACAAAGATCCAAATGATGGCACTTTGAAGTCATCATCCATCACGAGGGCTGAATTGAGACAAACGGAGTCCTCCAAGGATGATGGTGCTCAAGGAGTAAATGGAAATACTGCCCATTCTTGGCAAAAAAGCAAAAAGCTTCTTGATGGAAAGAATAGTGGCAATGGGTCTTTTTCTGCTAAGAACGTTGATCAGCTACCCAACCAAATTGCTGTTTCTGACAGGGAAAAGGTTAATCTGACTCTTGTCTCTGGTATCAACAAACCAAGGTTGGTTACGTCAGCGTTGAAGCAAGCATTATCAAATTCTGCAGCCACTCAGATGGAATTGCCTGCTTCACATGTATCTGTTAAGGCAAAACTTGTGACTGAGAATAGTGTGGACGAGCATAAGGCAATCTCTCTAAGTAGCGATAGCAATGGTGAAAAACTTAACAATACTTCTGGTTCTGTTTCTACTGATTTTTCATCAAGGGCCTCTGCGGGAGGAAATGGTAGCATGGATGGATTGGACGATGAAGGTAAGGAGGGTTCAAATTTTGAAAAGGACACCCCAAGGACAGTATGCTCCATGGCACCGCTGATCAGCAATACTGATGGTGACATAGCTACTGATGCCTCTGCTTCTACTTGTTCTGTGCCTTCTTCTAGACTCACATCAGTGGGAAGAGATTTGAGCTTGAATAAAGAGCATGATGACGGTAAGGAGAGTTCACAACTGGAACAGAAGACAATGTCTGTGATGCGGGGCGGGGAAATAGTGCAGGTAAGTTCTCTAGTCTTATATATTCTTAAATTAGTTTCGGAAACGCTTAGCTATGAACATTTTGCAAGTCATACACCAAGTCATTAACCATGTTTTTTCCTTCTCTTTCGCTCATTTTCCTTTCTTGGCCCAGGTGAGCTACAAGGTCTATATCCCTAAAAAGGCACCAGCTTTGGCTAGGAGGCAACTCAAGCGGTGATGTTTATGGTGATATATGGAAGATAAACTTTATTTGCGTTTTTTAAAGAACTACATAATACCTAACATAAGAAATGGGATATGAATTTCGATGGAAATGCTTTGGGAGTTTCATTTCATACAGCACCTGCACTAGTTAAAGGTGAAATGACATCGAAATGATTTGTTCCCGTGGCGCATTAACTTTATAAATTGTTATATTTTGTGTAGAGGACCTCTCCATAGCTACAAAAACCAATTAAGACGATCTTGTTTCCATTTTACCTATAATAGCAGTACGGAACGTTATGCAATGTGATGTGTATTAAACTATCCAAGCAGAAGGTGATAAATTGTATTCCTGCACTAAACACTAACCATAAATATGAAAAATATCATACAAAAAATTGGATGCGTTCCTTGCTCGAGTTGAATATACATCAAATATTGGATCTTAATATGTAGCATGAGCTTTGGAAAAACGAACATGAAAGTGTTATTTTTACAAAAAATATTCCAACAATAATACTTCTGAATCTCCTATCAGCTGTTGTCAAGATTACTTTTCTTTGTTCCAGTTACACAGCCCCAACCATCCATCTCTGACACTGTTATGTCTTCCAATAGCGCTGAATATCGATCCATGATATATGGAACCTGCATTTAAGACATAACAACACTCAATCAGGTTCAAGCACATAGTATGAACTCATATATCATGTTTGGTTTACTCATAAAACAAATTTTTATGTGTTAAATTTGGAAAAAAAAAAAATTACCTGTCTGATATGATAAAATAGCCATTCCCTTGTCTAAAATTTGTACCAAACTTGCGAATGGTCATTCTACATGGAACAGTCTTTTTATTCTTATCCTACTCTATGCTATTTTATGCTTCAAAAGGCCTAATATAAAAGATCTTGGGATAGCTACAAAGACTGAAACTGAGTCTATCTTAGCTATGCTTTATCATACCTGCTCAGATAGAATACCAGATACACCAACAACTGCACCAGGTTTAGCATAAGAAACTATATGAGCTGCCAATTCCAAAAGAGGATTCAGAAGTATATTAGCAATGACCACATCATATTTCTCTGTTTCAGAGATAGGTTCTGTTCCATAAGAGCTCTGCTCTTTGACAACTTCATCGGTCACTTCATCCATCAATGGAGAACAGGTCGTGTTAGGAACTAGGAGTAATTCCATTTTCTCAGGTTCTATATTGTTTAGAGCAGCATTATGACGTGCAGAGGAGATTGCTTGGGGATCTACATCAAGTCCAACTGACAGAGCAGCACCAAACTGCATTAACACTCAAATTGAAAATCAGAACTTGAGGATTAATTGGCATTGCAAAGAATCTTACTAGAATATGAAATCAGTATGTGTCATGGAAATTTATATAAATAACGCTAATAACTACAATTCCAAGAAGTCAGAATAACTCGTTGTCAATTTAATAGTCTCATTTTTTTTAGTATCATTAAAATTATATGCCCGTCATATAAGACAATCAGACTTGCATGCTAAAGCTAGATTGCTTTACTTATGCACCCATTACCATACTTTTCACCAAATCCCAGTAACAAAAATTACAGTAGCATGATCTTCAAAAACTACAAAATATGAACTAACAAAAACACAGCAAATATCTTTAAAGAACCTATAAGAAACTATCAACTTCCTGACACCCCATCTATTATGATCAATCACTTATGAAAAACCAACCTACTGTTCAATGTACATTGATAATAAACAAAAGAACAAGAGTTTTATGGATTTTGGATATAGTGATTCTAGTTCCACATACAACTATGGAGATTTAGTCAAGAAGAATAGGTCAACAATTTTACCATCAAAAGCTTATTCAATTGTCTCAATTACATGGATGTTTCCATGCAATTAGCTGCCTAGACAAAATTCTGAAGCAAATAATTATTTGCCTAATCATAGACAAGTTCATATCCCATAAGAATGCTCTGCATATCTGAAGTGTACAAGGCTAAGTAGACGCTTCCATATCCTCAATTACATATTAAATAATCAGCCTTCAGCTTTCAAAATTCTTACTTTCATTTCAAAAAATACAATTTTGAACTTCATCAACTGGAAGGATTTTCTTCAGGGCCTAAATCTCTTGAATAAATTTTATGGTATAAGTTCTTCTTTAAAAAAAAAAAATTCATAAGAGGGCATAGAGTTAAATGAAACAAGGCTACAAGAAAATTAATGAACAACAGCTTCATAAACTAACTGGTTACACATAAGCCAAATAAAATATATGCCACATTCAGAACTCAAAGGGCGAGTCTCTAATTTAGCTTCAAACCAAAGAATGAAATATTAAAGGAAAAAAAAAGTCGATACCTTAAGTGCTGCAATTGCAAGAATTCCAGAACCTGTGCCATAGTCCAAGAAAAGTTCTCCTCCTTTGATCAAACCTCGTAGAAGCAATAGGCACAACTTAGTAGTAGGGTGATCCCCAGTTCCAAATGCTAATCCAGGATTCAGAATTATATTCTTTGCTCTAACGTCCTGTGGGGATAAGCAAATATGAATAAACCAATCTATTGCTAGCCAATATAACTGTGTACACATTCCTTAACTAATGATTGCTCAGCTTATACCAATTGGAATTATATGTGCATCAAATATTCATGAGGTAACTTCAACTTTAATGTTTTGTCGTATGTTCATGTCCTTTGATGAGTCTCCGCTCATTCACAGACCTTTCAAGCAACAGGCAATTTAAAGCTCACCACTTTGTGCACAAACTCACAAGCAAATGCACATAAAAGCTTTATCTTTTGCTGAAGCAACAACGAATGCCTATATAAGTTGGCTAATGATTTTAATAGAATCTCTGAAGAGGAATTATTTTAGATAATCATACTGGGGGAGATCTCCACTCAGGCACAATCCACAGTCCTTCAGTGACTTCAACTGGATGAAATGATTCCTGTAGCAGATACAAAATTAATGTAAACTATATTAAATGAAAAGACAATAAATGTAATTAAAGCTTGTAATCATATTTCATTAGCAATTGCTTGCTGGAACAATGAGAGTGATCAATAATTTCTTGTAAATTCCTATGCTCATTCTGGCATGGGGAGTTCATAAAGGTAAGTTACACACTTGACATCCCAACAGCCCAAACAAGTATTTATTGCAAGGGCGCTTGAGGTCACAGGCTAATTCACAAGTCCTTCGACAGAAACTCCAACTTCCCTTGTTAGATGTGTTTAGAGACCCAAAAACAGGCACCCTTTATTAAGGCACAACAACATTGGAGAACAGTCCTCATCATGAGTGCCAATCAATGATAACAAGCTTAAATAAATTCAGATTAGTTCTTGCTAACCAAAATAGTTTGATATGAAGAATTATGCAGATATCTCAATCATGTACCATAATACCAGTTTATGCTTTTCTTTATACTTGCAGGCAAGAATGAACCAGGGAATATTGAGTTCAGTTGCTGGTTCGTTTAGTTTACAACCTTAATGAAGCTAATGAGAGGATATTAGAAAGACTTGTGTTGTCAAGAAAGATTTCAGCCGCGCATATACTTTATCTTTTTTTCCTTGTGGTACCTGCCTTGCAAAGAAATTAATGCTTTTCGCCCATGTCTTAAAAACCAAGGCAAGAGTATTGGTTAAAACCGGAGCTATTATGCTAGCTTAAGACCGCATTAACGCAGGTTCTAGAGTCTATGCAGGCAATTCATTGTTTCAAATTTCCGTTGCTGTTGTTTTATTCAGGAAAAAACTAGAAAGATACTAGCCAGCAAATAAATTGGGTACTAGTCTGCATAGGACAAATGTCTACGGGATTACCCACTTAATTGAACAAAGAATCAACAAAAATAAACTAATTAATTTTCATATTAGCCATTAACCAAAAATAATCAATAAGAAAGACGACAAATTAGAAGAAGCAAGATGATCATAACATCATCTATCACTGAATGAGCGCAAGAAAGAAAGAAAACCAACCTGAGTCTTTTGAATCCAATCACATTGCATCCCCTTTTTAACCTCATAATTAGGTATATCTTTCAAGCCTATGGAATCAGCAGCTTGTGAAAGGCTCACATCCACATCTTGGCATTCAGGAAATATAGATTCAATGCAAATCTACACCAAAAATTCCAGACAATTTATCCATTGCATCCAATTCCATACTTAAAAAAATAGTACATTAATAGTAATAAACAGAAAGTAGAAGGCACCTCATTAGACCTGTCACAGTCATCTTGTTCATCTATGCTAATAGAATTTGCACCAAAGCATAGAAGAGCTTCTGAAAGCATATCCTGGTAAGTTAAAAGACATTAAAGCCCTCAGACCAATTCTATCCAAATTTTCTTTCAAATATAACCAACAGAAAAAGAAAACGGACCAGAAAATTTAAAGAACTAAAAAAAAATCAATGCTCACAGCAACATCTTTTGGACAGCGAATGCGAACAGAAAGGTAAGCAGAGGAATCAGTAGCTGCAGAAGTGCAAGAACGAAGAAAAGAGTAAGAAGCTGTGGGATTAATCTTCGGAAAGAGCGAAGAATTGGATTTCGATTCATATCGACATGTGGGTTTAAATTTTGAGAGCGGAGATAGAGAGAATGAGCGATGAAGAAGGCCACGAGAGATAGTGTAGGATAGGTGTTTGAAGAAATGACTGTGTGACATTTCTTGCTTTGCTCTGATGTTGTCAGGACAAAGTGCCAAGGAGGGGACGGAAGAAACTGTTGGTTGGCGCGGAACAGTAAAATATGGCAATAGTTAATTTTAATTTTTAAAGTTAAGAAAATCAAAATAGTAAAAAAGAAAAAAAAATTAAATGATTTGTTATAAAATAAAGTCTTTTATTTTTCAAATTTGGTAATGCTTTCTTTCTAAGTTTTTTCTAACAAATTATTTCAAAATCTTGTTTATATATTCGGTAATATAAATATAACAAGAAGTGATAATTTTCTGACAAAAAAAAAAAAAACAGCAGAAATGATATGTGAATACTGTAAGGCTTTAGAAAATCTTAAATTGAATTTTCTTAACATGGATAACTAAAATTAACTTTAATTTTCCCAAATAAAATATGATTAAGAGAATTTAAGAAACTTTGATGGAAATTCTTTAAATTAATCATAATTAAACTAGTACTAACTTTAAACTATAAAATAAAAAAATAGTTTCAAATATTGAAATTAAACCATTATTTTTTTTCTTTAACAAATTTTTAAAAGTAATTATTTGACAAGTCACTTGGTGTGATTTAAATTTAACCAAATCAATGTGAATTAAATAAATTAAATTTTTTTAATATAAAAATTACACTAATATATTAGTGCTTGAATCAAATCAAACTAAATCGACTTTGTTTGATTAACGTGGTTCAACTTTTATAATTATTTTTTAGCAGATTTAAATTTATTTTAAGACTTAATGAAAATTGAAGAAATAAATTTTATTTTTTTATTTAAACTAAAATCAAATAAAATATACTAAAAATAAATTGAATTGGTCAATTTTATAACTATGCTTCACCCAAAAATTTCCAAAGCTTAATGGGGATAATTTATTTTTAATTGATTATTTGTTTTGATTTAGAAATTAAAAATGATATAACTTTAAATAATACTTGTATATTAAATTTTTTTTTAAAAAAAGAAGAAATTATCAAAATATTTTAAAATAAATATTATCTTGTCCATTAAAGAAAAAAAATTAAAAGGTTGGTGTGGCTAATGAAACCAACAGACAGAAGCAAGGCTTTAAGCGTTTCATTATTCCAATGGCATTTTCAGCAAATCCACTCTCTTTAAGCGTCCCCGACTCTACCTTCGAGTCATGGCTTCGAGACTCAGGCTACCTCGAAATTCTCGACGACCGTTCCTCCTCCACCACCGTCCCCGAGTCCGCTTCCACCTCTGACGTCACCACCTCCACAATAACTGGTGGCATTTTTGTTTCTCTGTTTTATCATATCCTAACCCTTCTCTCTCTTTTTACTCTCAAGCCTCTCTCTAAGCTAACCACTGATGATTTCTCGGGTCAAACCCCTTCCTGGACACGCGCGTTTATTGGGGACTCTGGGTCCTACTCCTTCCCTTCCGGGTCGGACCAGGCCCGGCTCCGAGTTCATGAGAATGTCAAGCGTTATGCAAGAAACTACGCTTCTCTTTTTATTCTCTTCTTTGCTTGCACTCTGTATGTTCTGTCTCTCTCTGCACTTGTGTTATTATTTTTGTATATTTTATTATTGTTCAAAGTACTCTGTTTGGCTGCCAAGAAAATCAAGAAAAATTAAATTTTGATTTTTGTATTTTCAGTTTCCCCTTTGATCTGTGGCAGTGCACTTTCCCCCACCCCTTTAATTCCTAATGGTACTAACTTATAACTTATATCTTTGGCAAAAGAGATAAGTTCCATGTGGCTTTGGTTTGCTTATTGAAATTTTGGCTTCTTTTTGGAGTTTCTGCCAGTCTCTTATTGTCCTTATAGTTAACTTTTAACAGTAAATAAATTAATATCAATCTTGTTTCAAGATAGGAGCTATCATCTCAAAACAGTTTGTTGTTTAGGCTAAATTGAGTAGAAAGTTTTAATCTTTGAATTTGACTAGAATAGAATGAGACACTTCAATAAGGATTAAAATAAAAATTGCATGGGATTGAATTGTAGTTCTTTATTTTTTCTCTAATATCTGAGGGTGGATTGGACAATTCTATTCATAACATGAAATTAGTGACCCAATACTCAGTAGGTAGGTAAGACAAACGATGAACCAATTTCTATGCACCTTTTTTGTTTACTTATCCTAAGTGAAGGTGATATATATATATATATATATATATATATATATATATAATCATTTCTCCCTTATTCCTTACTGGGTAAATTAAGTGTGTTTTGGCTTATATATATATATATATATATCATTCTCCCTTATTCTTACTGGTAAATAAGTTTTGTGTTTTGCTACTGGGTTTGAAGGTATCAAATGCCGCTTGCTCTCATTGGATTGATATCAAGTTTGGCGGTTTGGGATATTTTCAAGTTCTGTAGTAATAGATGGGGATGGGATCGATACCCATTTATTCGGCAGGTTTTGGTTCGCACTGCCCAATGTGGTGAGTTACCAACTTCTTTTCACTTTTGATGTATCTAGTATAATTATTTCTTTGGCAATAGGTTGTATCCTCTGGAGAAAAAACGATAAGTTTAAATTTTTTTGGTAGTTTCAAAGTTGTATCAGTAAACTATGCTAGAAATTAGGTATGCAAACGTGTTATGCAGGTTCACAGAAACTTCCATTTTTACCTCTGGTATAAGATGCTGATCTATAACTTGTGATGTCTATTTTTGTATCATTGATATTTTAGCTCAGTGTTGTGTTTGTTGAAAACACATAAGCATGCTCAATTAGAAAAGAAAATGATAGAGAGAGGTCCATGACAAGAGAGGAAAGCAAAAAGGCACAAAAAGATTATTAGAGAAAGGTGCTTTGGCACAATGAATTTTAGCATCCCATAGAAAAATGTGAGGAGTCAAGTTCTCACTTATTGAAGCGACAGTAATTCAAAGTTTAGTTGTTAGGAAAAGTGAAATGAAAATTGCAGGATGTCCTGTCCTGTGAGAATCTTATAGCCTTCATTAGAACCTTTTGGTTGCAATTGTTAAATTGAAGAAACAAGTGAGGCATGTTTCTATGACTGATGATTATAGACCAGCTGGCAAGGGAGGATCCTGAGATAAAACCCAATTGTTGTATGAAGAAAAAGGTGCAATGATGTTGTCCTCATAATTTTATTCTGTTTTGCCTCCTTTTTTCTTAAAATTTCCTACATTTTCTCTGAGCATATTTTATTTCTATATATATTGATGTAATATGAATAATTTTTACAAGTCGATTGATGATCACAAGTTATTTTCTGAACTTGCCTTTAATGTATTATCTATATCTATTGTTTACAGCAACTGCAATTATTCTTATTTGTTTAAATGTTCAAATGGCTCTCTTCTGTGCAATTGGCATCAGTTATACAGGTAATAATATAATTTATTGTTTTATTCTGTCTTGTTCCTCTTCTCCTTCATTTTGAACAATTTGGGAAGCTTAACTAATCCAGCACAAAATCCAGTTACTTCTCATTTGCTTCATTTGAGCAGTTATCTTCTGTGTTCTTTTGTAGTTATGATTTTGCATGCTGCATTTCGGAAGCTGACTCCCTCAAAGCAACCTTCACAGCGGAGATAAAATGGAAACTTTTGCAAATAAACAGAGATCAGCAATTTGTTAGTGGATTTCTCTTTTGCTGTACGCTTTAAGCAGGTTGTCTATGCTGACTGACATTGAAGGTGGAATCGGCGAGTGTAGCATAACACTTTCAGGTGGGATCAATGTATTATAGTTCCAAGCCTAGGTGTGTTGTGAAATATGAAATGCTATATCAATATTATTGACTAATTTTGATCTCTAACTCTCAATTTCTGCCAAAACTTGTAGTTGATTCATTATTGTAAGATAGCCATGTGAATTGCCTTCTTGCACTCTTGGTGCACTAATTTCACAAATTATGAAATTTATGATTAGAGGGAAATTCTGATCCTACGGAATACTGGAGTTTTCATTGCATGCAGGCATTGCATTTGAATGCTTATTCCCATTTTTCGTGCGTGCATACGCGATTGGTTGTACATTCAAAAGCTAGATGCATATCAGTTTTCAATTTGGAGGCAGTGATGTTGTAATGTTAATTGAGCCCACAACCCCCACCCCGTGCATACCCGCGATTTGGTTGTTTGTACATTCAAAAGCTTAGAGATGCATATCAGTTTTTTTCCAATTTGGAGGCAAGTGATGTTGTAATGTTAATTGAAGCCACAACCCCCACCCCCCCCCCCTCCCCACCCCCCCCCCCCCCCCCCCCCCCCCCCCCCCCCCAAAACAAAAAAAAATAATAAAAAGGATAAAGCCAATGCCATCATCCAATTTTGGTTTTACAAGTTCTCTGTATTTTAAAAAAAAAAAAAAATCTAGCTATGACGAATGGAGCCAAAAACTGTAGATTAAATTTGCAAAACAAAAAAATACATAAAAGGATAAAGCCAATGCCATCATCCAATGTGTTTTACAAGTCTGTATTTAAAAAAAAAAAAAATCTAGCTATGACGAATGGAGCTCAAAACTGTAGATTTAAATTGCTTGAGCCAAAAGCCTTACATTGCACCATGAGATTCTTGTCGACTTCTTACAAATTTGACAAAAACTTTGCATTTCCTACCAGATGACCTAATTAAAGGGGAAGAGAGGGTAAATGCGAAAATGAGGAGAAAATCACTGTATTAGCTAGGCAGACATGCTTCCCTTAAATCAATTTACCCAGTTGTAAATGAATTGGCTTTAGATCTGCTGTGAAAGATTGGTGAATGATGATCAAGTAAGCCAAGTTTGAATTGATGGACATAATTGTTTAAAGCCAATTTGCCAAATGTTATTTGCTTCAATTACTAAATTCTGGAGGTAGTAAGACAGCCTAATTGCATAAATTTGATCATGTACTTTCGGTAATTATTTTCGTGATCTCTGAACTTTAAGGAAACTTTTGACAATTATTCCTGTAATTCCTGAATTTTACTGGAAATCCATCATAATTCTGCAGTTTCACATTTCAATAATAGATGTCCCTCTGAAAAATAAAATACCGTTACAAAGTTGAAGAGATCATAAAAATAATCGGTCAAATTTCAAAGTCAAATTTACTCGTGGGGTCGTAACAGGGCATATGACTACATTCAAATTCTTCCGGCTAAATTCTATTATGAACTGACGCAGTTGCTAAAATCCTCAAACAGAACAAAACTACTTCCCCAGTGGTTATGCAAGATAAAGATACAAGAGTTTAATCATATTCACATCCAAATTAGCAGAAAAGTAGGGTATCCCAACCAACAGCATTCACTGATTATGAAATTTACTTGGAATATGCAGGCTGAAAAACTTTATTTCACGTGGAGCAAAGGAGCTATAAAATAATATCAATGCATTGAGACAAATATTAATAACAAAAATTTTTTTATCAAAATATATTAATAAATACAATTAATGTTGTTAATGAAATTACATTGTAAACAAACCCTAATTATACAGCAATTCGCCACTGCAAAATAAATACTATGAAAAGGAAAAATAACAATAATAGTAATGGTAAATATAGAATAGATATTAAATGCACAATTTCTTACAATGATATGTACATCAAATGTGAAAGAATGCATAAACAGTAACACACTACAAAACAAAGTTGTAATCAAGCTCCAACCTCTTCTTTTAAGTTGGATTGACATCCCGCGAAACTTGACCTTGCCATCTGCAACAAAAAGTTCCAATTTATATTTTATACATGAACTATCTCATGTTAAACTCTTTCCAGAGAGACGCACAAAGAGAGAGAAGAGGGTCATCTAACAAACCTTGAGAGTAGAAACCTTGCAAGAGGGCTTAAATTGGCAGTCGAATTTAGTTCCTTATTTTGTTGCTTCTTCTTGTTCTCAGCCTCAGCATTTGCATTTTGTGTTTCATCAGGAGCTCCCTTGCCCTTGAGGAACAGGCGAGCTGCTAGCTCCTGTAGATCTTTCATTGAAGATTCCTTTGAACTGCATAAATAAATTTTACTTGACTAATATGAACCACCATCAATAATTACTTTAATTAATTGCAGAAGAATAGACTGAAATATGAGAGCAGTTTTATGTTTTGGGTTTCAAGGGTAGCTTCTTAAACCTTGCCAATCGCTGAAGCAAACTTCTAAGGAGGACATCAGCAGATCCAGGCTTTGTTCGCTCCATATTTATAAGTGAATTTGTAACAGCACGCACAACTGATCCTTCTGGATCATCAGCTACTGCCTACATTATAAACCAAAGCCATTAGAAATGACATATGAAGCTGATAGCTTTTGAAAGTGTGGGGAACTAATGCTAAAGTTAAAGATTACAGCCATATATTCCTTATTTCTGGACAATTAAAGAATTTTGTATAAATGATTTTGCTCATTAATTTTGCTGAGGGTACTTTCTGATGTATTTGTACCCCTTTGTTGTAGTAAGATATAAAATATAGAATATTTCCTCGCAATTGTTTTGATCTCTCCAGTTTGGTTGTAAGGAGTTTTAAACTTCTTGCATACTTCAGCAATCAGCATTTGATGTAAAAACAGCAGAAGCTAAACCTCAGACCCCGACTAGTTGGGGTCAGCTATATGAATCCTTTGTGAATCCTTTGCTATCATTTATGCTCTGTTCAATGATAGAGAAACAAAGGATTTTGAAAAAGGGAATAATTTTGTTAAACTTTCGAAAATTTTAAAATTTTAAAATCATTTGCTGTATAAAGTAATAAATGAGCACAAGACAGACTAACAAAAAAGCCCTAAGCCTACACTAGTTGGGATCAGATACAAATTAAAATAAATAAATAAAATTAAATAAAACAACAAAGCAGAAAAAGGAGAGAGAAGGTGAACATTACAAGCAGAGGCAAACAGTAAAACTTGAAAAATGTACAAACACGAGCAGTCAGATTGTGGTGCAACTCACGTCCCCAGTCAAAACAGAGAAATTATATAACTCTTGTACATTAAGATATCATAAGAAAGTGCAATAAAGTGTCAGAGTCAGCTCCTGAACGACGGATAATTTTGTATTCACAAGGAAAATAACTGGTTTAAAGTTAGAAAAGAAAAGTCCCCAAGAGGGTGAGGGGGATTTGTTATTCACAAGGAAAAATAACTGGTTTAAAGTTAGAAAAGAAAAGTCCCAAGAGGGTAGGGGGATTTTTTTTTTTTTTTTTTTTTTTTTTTTGTGGGGGGGGTGGGGGGGTGGGGGGAGGGGGAGGGGGAGGGGGGTGTTATTTTAACATTTCAGTGTACAAAAAAAAAAATAGAGAGAGCAGAAAAAAAAAAATGTGCCCCAATGCAGAAAGGAAGAAGATGAATACACATTGATGGAAGACAACTAACCTATCACTGTGCTTGTGTTGGATTGGGTTTTGATAAATTATACAGGTAAGAAGAAATATCACACTTTCACATCCTCGGGAGTTGTGAAGTGGTTTTTCCCTGCTATTTTTATTTAATTCTTAATTTGATGATTAAGGTTTTCCATGCAAATTTCTGTTTAAGAGTAGGAAAAGGTACATTCAGAAGGGAATTTCTTTTTAATTCATAAACTTATTTGCCTTTTTTCTCTGGGAGAGAACTTATGATAATCTTAATAAGCGATTATTAAGGATAACTCCCACTTGGAAGTTGTTAGTTCTGATAGAAAAGTAAAAGTATAGAACTTGGTTATTTCGTTCATTTTCTCAAACTATTTATAGTAGAGTTAAGAGCATTCAATTTGGTGGTCCATTTGTAAGGTGACCTAGCTGGTGTCAAGATCCCCAAAATTGCCTTAGCATGAGATGTAACAGCAAGGAGAAACTATCCTTATCATACCAATGTGGGAAAAAGACATGGATAGTATTATCTAGTGGCTCACCTCCTTTAAGGATGGAATAAGCAAAACCGATAAAGATGCTGATGAAGAAGCTATTCTAGAACTATCGTCATCTTCACTTGCTTGGCGTGATCTAGGAAATGCTCTTGGTGCATCAAAGTAGTCGCGAGAACTTCTAAAGTAGAAGCATCATGCTTTAGAAATTTTAATAAACAACTGTTCTTTCAACAGAAATATTTACCTGCATATTGATAATATTTACCTGGAAGAATCAGAGCTGTTTGTCAATTGCTCTCTTCTTCTACCTTCCCTTGCATTTCCTTTCCGCAGCCCTGCTTGCATTGCAGCCTTTGCCTACATAGACATTAACCAAACAAGCCACTCAATGTAAGCATGTTAAAAGATTTCAGATTAACAAATGCAGCATTGATTTCGAATATGAAAAAGAAAAATAAAAACGTCCAACACTTTGTAAATCAATAATAAAGAGACGAAGTCACAAAATTTTCAGGAAATTCCAGTAATGTAATCCATAGAAATAGAATATGGGGCAGCAAATGAATTTCACAGGAAAGGAATTCCAAAGATACACCAGTGCAACCTCGAAGATTTAATCAAGAAAAACAATTCACAGTGCTTCAAGGCTTCTGATAATTAATGAACAATACTGGCCAGGTTACTAATAAAACAGCAATAGAAATCACCTCAGCAAGATTTACTGCACTGTCTTCCAGCGAGGCACTTGAAGTCCTCTCTTGTATGCCTAGTCTAGATTTTGGAGTCCGAGGAGAATCAGAATCATCGTGGCCACGAAAGACAACAGTTCCACTAGTAGAAGCATCTTCAAAAGAAGCAATGGTGCTGCTAGACTACATAGTACATTCAACTCTTGTCAAATAAAAGGCAGCAAAAGGAAAGGAAATAGATGTCTTCTTAATATCCTTTTCAAACCAACTGAAATGAGTCATGGATCATACCAGACTGCTTTGATCTCGAAACACGGGAGATGACTGAGATCCCCTGGGAGTTCTTATAACAACCGTTCCTGACACATTTACTGATAATTCATCCTGGAATTGAACAAACAAACAGATTATCCAGATGGGAAGTTTAATCTATTTCCAGTTTTTTTCTAGTTGCAGCAGACAAACAAATACTGGAGAAGATATAGGTTTTTATTTTTATCGCAAAATTATACTAATATCATGAACGGAATGGAGATACTACAGAAACTTGCCCTAGGCTTGTGAACTTTAAACAAGTCAATTTTCCAAACTTAATAAATGGGTCGCTAGAATCTCAATCCTTAGAATATGTTTACATTCTTTTCTTTTTTTTCTCTCTCTAACTCAAGTCCATAAATGTACAGGAAATAATTACATCCATGATACAATCCATAAAAAATAAATAAATCAGAATAGAGAAAACTGCATTTGAGATGCAATCCATAACAGATGTGAGAGAGAGAGAGAGAGAGGGGGGGGGGGGATCCATAACAGATGTGAGAGAGAGAGAGAGGGGGGGGGGGGGTGAGGAAACAGGCTTACAGGATCATGAGAATTATCATGATGTTCATCATGATGTGGATCCCTAGCATCTTTACCAAATGATATTTCTGGTGACTCCTGAAGGGTATTTCCAGATGGAGACAACAAATGGTTACCACTGTCGGAAGTTCGCCGGGAAACCTTATCGTATGATGTTTCTGTTTTCTTTTCTCTAACCTGAGGAGGTTTTACAGCACTTCTAACAGTTCCAGTACTCCTTGATCCACCAATACTGAAGTCCCACCCAGCATTTTTCAAAGGTTTTGCCTGACCACTGCAAATCAGTCAATCAAAATAATGCACCCTTCTTAGGTTGGAAGAAATCACATAAAACACAAGGCATTGTGATAAACATATTTAATGCACCTGGCTCGGACAGTTCCCTCAGCTGCTACATCTCTTGTCACCTTGACAGTATCAGATCCCTCCATTACTGTTCTTTGACCATTTCTGGGACTTTCTGCATCCTTTATTGGGTACTTTGGACGCTCTCTATTAAGATCACAATAGCACCATAAATACTATTCTCACCAATTACAAAAATATTTTTGATTTAAAACTTAAAGTTGTGGCAAAAAGACATATGTGGAAGCTTCCAGAAATTGATATTCGAGATAAAATTGGATGTTTTAAGTACTTCTGTGGCACCTCATATCATATATGTCAAAGGCATGCCAGAACTAGGGTGCACCAAGACCTCAGGTGGTCTCAGGTCATGCATCATGCCAAGGGCTTGCAGGATGTTAACTCATAAAATAGAATGTTTTAGCTTCAAGGCACTGGATTTTGTCCTAATATGGGATAGTACTGTACTTCTATTAATATGAATATCAATACGATAAGAATAAGTGCATGGGATCGACTATTAATTGCTCGGAATTCAATTGGGAATCCTAATCCCAATTTGAAGCTGCCTCTTCCTCTTCCAATTAACGTAAGGTTTTGGGGCAACACACACAAGTGCTTTCTAGGTTAGGGCCTTTCATTGGAATGTATTGAAAGAGATAGATAAAAGGGAATAAGAAACTGAGGTCCTTAACTCTAAAGAAAAAGAAAGAAGAAAATGGTTTCTTTCATGGTTATGAAGATTATATTAGTTTTTCTAGGAGTAGCTTGGAGAGTATAAAATGTAGAATTAGGAAGTTAGTATTTTCCCTCCTTTTTTTTTGTTCATTTACTTCAACGTACAAAACTGAAAACATCATTCACATTATCAAGCACGCCTTAATTAATGTGTGCCCAATATCCTTAGGTCAGGTGCCAGCAACTTGCAGCTAGGAGACTAGGTCCTATGTAGACACCATACACCATTTGACAACTATGCAAAAAGGTTAGGCCGTATGATGAATGTTAACTAAAGAAATTTGAAAATCATCTTTTCCAGAGTGGTAATACATAATAAACTACAGCAATATACTTCACCTTATTCTTTCCAGAAGCCTTGGGCTCTTCCTAGCATTTTTAATAAATCGATGCTTCAGAAGTTCCTTAGCACTTGGCCTCTGAAATTAAATTGATGAAAAGTAAATTACACTTGATTAGCTATTAATAGAATAAGGGAGTCACACAACCATCTCAGTCAATACACAAAAGTTAATATTTAAAATTGACAAAGAAAACAAGGTAAAAGGCATTTTATTTCCAATCAGTAGGTATAACATAACATGACTACTAATTGCAGAAAATTCAAGATATGCAACGTTCCACTGTCATGTCTCATTCTGGACACTTATCTTTGACCTCCTGATATGTTTTCATCAATAAGCAGACTGCAATATGCAACTATTTAATCAAACACATTATGAGAACCCCAGTGTTTTCAAATGCCGCTTCCGCTGTATTGAATAGAAACTCTGCATTCTCAAAATTTTGCTATACAACAGTCTGAAAGTAAAAGATTTGAAGTAACTGTACAGTTCAAGCATTCAACAGTTTCTTTAGGCGATAGATGTGATTTCTAGTCTAGTCCTACAGCACGGTTTTCATAGAATCGTTGAACCTAGAATTTATGAATGAACACCAAGGAAAAGCTGTCTGAATTAGCTTTAAAACATCCCATATTTGATGTATTGTTCAACTATCTGATTGATTAATGAGGATTTGATTGCACAGACCGTTAAAAATCTTTAAAGTTCAGGTTCCTACTTCCTAGCACATATAGAAAGATCACATATCCTTTACCAGTTTCCAAGCATTCTTGAAATGGTACAATAGAGAGAAAATACCACACAGTAAACAAAGTGATAAATATAAGAAACAGCTTCATATGCAATTTATTGGAAACAAAATAATTCTTCTAACTGAATGTAACTTTCAAGTAAGCTATCACATAATTTGATATATCATATATTGCACATGCACCCTTCCTCAATCACATGTGGAATCTGCTCTTCACATTTTCAAGTGGCTCTGGCATGTTTGTGAGAGCAAGGTTCACTATTTTCAGGTGTACTAGTGCACTCAATAATTTCTACAATACGATTGCATTTCTCACAAACTCAGGTTTTTTGTCCTCAAACATTCATCGATAGTCTTTTGCTAGAATCAATTGGTTAATCATACAAATAGTTACAACTAAAAAAACTGAAAAAGGATCTACCCCTACACAACGTACAGGGTCAAAACTCAAATATTCAATAAAGAATTGGATGACTTGACAATTACAATTGCAATACTCATTCTCAAGGACCAACTACACTAGTAGAAAAAGAGACAAGCTTTCTTTTTCTTCTTTAAAATTCTACCTTCCACTATATGGACAATAGATCTTACAATGATGAAAAATAGATTTTGCACGTTTTAATAAAAACTTGAACATAACAAGTTTACGGCTTCTCATTCATTTAACACCCAAAGCCAAATACTAACTCAATTCTCAAAAACCATTCACTTGGAAGTTGGGAGTGAAACAGCCCAATCGGTCATAGATTCAAAGATCTTGTGCAGCAAAAATGTATATTAGCAAACAGTTTGTGTTTAATATGTTTAGCCATATTTTAGTCGGCTTAGTTATATCATCCAACTGTGGCAATCAGCTAAGAGTGTGGCTTCTTCTTAGACAGGTCTGCACTTTGTACCACAGATTTGTGGCCATCATTTAAGGCATGTGGTCAACAATCTAAACATCTTCTAATTTCTCAATGGCAACCATATTTCAAAAGGCATATCAAACTCGATCTATGTCCATGATGTTGTTGGTGTGTCCATTGATGGATAGGAACAAAAGTCAAGGAAATTGACCATATGTCATAAGTTCATGCATCAGGTTGTACTCAGATTCATATTGATGCATGTCTTGTTGTTTCATATATCCTAGCTAACATGCTGAGTCCATTAATAGATGAAGAATATGCAATTCCATATGCAAATCATGACATCTCCATTAGCCACAGAATCCACAATATTCACGAGAGAAGAGACCATAATAATTGTACAAAGAGAATAAGGACTTTACCTCAGCAGGGATTTTCTTCAAACACAATGAAACAAACTCTTTCATAGGACGAGAAAAATGCTCATCCAGCTGTAAAAGAACACAGTGTTGATTCTCTTAAACTGTGAATAATGATAATTCCATCTGGAAAGAGATTGCATTCATAATCAACTAAAATAAGCAATTAACCACTTAAACGTCAGAATACTTAAAAAACCTGTGGAGGATTTTCTCGAGGTATGATAAAAAGGACCCTCATAGGGTGAAGATCTGCAAGTGGAGGCTCCCCCTTTGCCATCTCAATTGCAGTTATCCCCAGAGACCATATATCCGCCTGCATGAAGAAAAAAAAATGATATGCAATGTTCATGATCAACAAAGTTGAACAGAAATGGAATAGGCGTAAACAATTTTCTCTACAATGTGGGGAGGGGGAAAGGAAGGGGGGCAGGTTGATCATAACAGGAGCAATCCATAAGGAAGGCTCAAGACTACTTCAAAAAACAATACCTTCTCATTGTATCCGTCTGAATTTTGAATTACCTCTGGAGCCATCCAGAATGGTGTTCCTACAAAAGTCTGTAATTGTTAACCAAATTAGCACAATGCTGAGGAAGTTCTGGATCATGAGCTTAAATCCCATTAGCATTACAAATATTAAAATATGATGATTCCAATCATTAAATATAATCATCTTCAATTTGAAGAAAGAAACAATAAAAATACATCTTTGACCCAAAATGGCCATATGATTCTGGGAATATGTGACTGAAAAAGCAAAGGAATAGCTCTGTCAAGCTGGGACAACGGTCATGTCACCATCTCCTAAGTAGTTAAATTCACAACATCCTGCTGCTAAGTACTTACAAAATTTTATGAAGCTCCAAAATAATATATGAGCCATATTGCTTGGACAAAAACACTTCTGCAGTAATAATTATTTGATTAACCTTTAAGAGATTTTAACCGGTAAGCAACACATTTGAATAGACAAACAGTTTCAAGCGCGCTCAAATAAGAAGTAAGGATGAATGAAAAAGATGAAATACTAAACCGAGAAATAGCTTCAAAAGAACTCAATTAACCAGTCCATGCAGTTCAGTTTTGATTCAAACTTTACATACATAAAACTAACAGTTATCTGAACCTACTGATATAACATTTAAAAATATTATATATTCTGCAATACTAATAATACAATTCATGTGCGTATGAACAAGAATATTTCAATCAATGAACAGGCCTACTAAGGGCCATGAGAAATGGGTCCTCACAAGAGAGACTTAACTGTAATACTAAAAAATAAACAGGCAATTCATATATCATCCATTATTCAGCCGTCCACTTCTAATGAAGAACGACGCTTAGCCAAACAAGTTGTAATACCTTTCTCCTGGATATTGTTCTTGTTAATTGCGCAGAAACACCAAAATCTGCAACCTGTCACAAGGTCAAAACAATAACTGTCGAATACTAAAAGTGAAATCAAAAAATTCAATTTGCATATCCTTTTTAATCACTCTTCGAACAATTCAGGAGAATTTTTATAAGCCTCTGAGAGAAACAAGGATATACCTTAACATCACCATTCTCACTCAACAAGATGTTAGCCGCTGCCAAATTTTTAGCATAAGGTTACTATTGGATCAAGAAACTCAGAGCAAGGCAGGGAAAGAAATGAACATTAACAAGAAGGTGAAACCTCAAATCAAAATAAACAGAATATTCTTCAGGCAAACATATAACTAACAAGAGTCTGTTTAAAAATACTCAAAGCGACAACCTAGAATCTATACCATAACGAGATTCAAGTATTATGGATGTGTGAAAAACCTTTAATATCTCTGTGAATTTTTCCTTCATTGTGTAAATATTCAATTGCATGCAGCAAGTCACGTAAAATACAAGCAATTGACATTTCATCCAGCGGAGGACCCGCCTGGAGCTGCACAAAAAGAAGATGCATTAGCTTTTGTACGAATAAGTTGTTATTGAAGAAATCATTAGTATTCACTTGCAAATCCATAATTAAAGATTAAAACATCAACTCTGTGCATAAGCACAAGTTTTTGGGTATAAAAAACATATACATTAACACATGCAACTGTTAATAGGAAAATATACAAATAAGCAACTCAATTTCTTAAGAATCTTTCAAGACATTCAAAATTTCATGCACCATGAAGAAGCAAGTCAGTGAAGTAACCTACTAGATCAGCAACAGAGCCACCGGCCATGTATTCCATTATTATCCATAGTTTAGTCTGGTTAAGATATGAACCATAATACTCTGTAATATATTGACAACGGCATTGTGACAAAACAGAAATTTCCTGGCATAAAAAATTAGAAACATGAGCAATGCATGATTTATCTGTTCCATGGACAACAAACTGGACAGGTTTGAATGACAGGTGATACCTTTTGAATGTCCTCAATTTCATCCTCACTACAGAAAACAAATCATAAGTTTAAGTTTTTAGAAGTATCAAATAATAAGATATAATAGAGACTAAGAAGAAGTGAGAAGTGTGTCATACACTCTAAAAATGTTGCAATACTACTAAATAAAACGACAAACAGGAGAAGCAACACTATAATTTGCAAAATGAAAAGACTTCAAGCTCTTTCCTTTTTAATAAGAGCCAAAATCCAATATAATTTATTAAAAAGCTACTGTTTTATATGACTATTAGCATCAGCAAGGTGTATCATAGTGACAGTTCCAGACCACAGATGCTAGATTGTGAAATTGATTATTGTTTCACAAAAACATTGGACTTTCTCTGCAATGTTAATGTTATTGCCAATACCATTGCAGTTTCATGATACGTGAGAAATTAAAACAGTAATTAACATAATATTGCAGCCGCTGCTAGTTCACGTGAAAAATATAACTTTTCACTGCTCGACCTATAACTGATTTCAGTCATATCAGCATACGATCAACTGCTGTTTCATCGATATTATATCAACAATATTTGCACCTCATAAAAACTTGTAGAGAAACTTCATAGCCATTGCCAATTTCAACAGCATTTTTTGACTATCCTAAGCTGTAGATCTGACTATATACAGCTTGTAAACATAAGTAGGGAAACTGTAGAAGTTTTGATGCAAAACATATTTAGAAAACAATGTATTCTGTTTAATCCAGTTCCCTTAGTCTAGGGAATTATAAAGTGCAGAATGAAAGAAAGAGCAAGGGAGGAAGACTTAGAGCATATGTAATCACTTTACAGTAAATAACAGACTGTAGGAGATGAAACTCAGGACAAAAAAGAAAAAAAAAATGCTATGCACTCACGATTCTTCCAAATCAATGACTTTGATAGCAATTTCTTTGTTAAGCTCCTTATCAAACCTGCACATCAAGAAAGGCATCAGGAAAGAACAGCTTAGAATGCAAACAAACTTAAGATTGTCATGAAACAAGAAAGTAGGGGCACAACTAGGTAATAAACCAAAAAAAAAAAATGACCCTTGCAATCTTTTAAATTCTCAATGGTATCTTCACCTATAGTCTCCTTAAATCTAAAGTTTTCAAATAACACCAGAAAACTATACGCTTCTTCATTGTTATCATCACTTGAAACATCCTAAAATATTCATTTAACCTTTTAAACGTGATTTTCCATTCTCACTATTGCTATTGGCCCTCCAACCTTAAAGTTCTAGTTCAGCCTTTAATGACAACACTGCATTTTGGGAAGAAGAACAGGATATGAAATGGACTCTAATGAATCAAAATTCATACTGCCCTACCATAATCAACAAAATCATGGATGAAAAAAGCAGCAGTGTGTTTTTTGTTTCTAATAAATGCGGAATGGTTTGAGTTTTAAAAATGTCCATCCTAACTTTATAAATCTCAAACACGTAATCCAACCATATAATAACCACAATTAAGGACCCTGCAAATTCAGAAATCAAATATAACATTTATGGTAAAAATGTTTCAGACCCTTATAAAAAAAACGCTCAACCACATAAAATTTGACTTCTTCAGTATCAGGATCCTTTTGTTGATTTGATTCATCAAGAAACTCATAGATTCCTAGCATTTGGCACTGCTTATCAGTTTACATTCAAAGTTCTGATTTTCTCTAAAATGTGGAATAGTGTTACGTCAATGGGGAACAATTCATGAAATAAAAAGTTCTTTTCAACTATTATATGAGATATACAATTTTTCTTCTTTTACATGTAATATTATCATTGCTAGCTTTGCATCCTAGAAGTCATTATTCTGCAATAACTTGACAGTGTCAATTTATTGCAGAATAATAGTACAAAGTACAATAAACAATTAAATGATTGACAATTTAATTTGCTATGCAAAAGTTTAAACTAATGGTAAAGGTAGAGAAAAAAAAAAAGGAACAGAGATTCAAAATTTCAGCATATCATTACTAGGAAGAGAATGCAAAATTCATAAAGTTAAGTCTTAAACAAAGTAAAGAGCAGAATAAAACACTATTAGATTCACTAACATTATAAAAAAAAAAAAAGGAAAAAAAAAAGCATGAGCGACATTGTAAAGGATTTAATGAAAATGAAAAAATAGAAACTTACGCTTTATAGACATCGCCAAATGATCCTCTCCCAATCAACTCTAAGGAACTAAATCTAGCCCCAGCCGCTTCCATTAACCCTGCTGCATCAGCCATTTCTATGCCAATCCAAAAACTTGTCCTCAACACCTACTTTATACACTAGTTCAATCCAAATTGTCTCCACATTACCCACATTCTCCAAAAATCCCCTTCCAATTCACTGCTCCAAATCCGCATAACGCAAAAGGTCTCTTTCAATCCATATTTTGTCCTCAAAAACCAACTCTGTAACATGATTTATGACAACCCATCAAAAATCACAACAATATACTCAAATCAACTGCAACAGAGATCTAAAAAGAGGAGAGAATATATAAAAAAATGTAATTCAACAATGCAACAGAGAAATTTTACACTCAAAGCAAAAACAAATGGATGATAGATTAAGAAATGTAGAATCTTTCCCAGTTGTAAATGAATGATTTGATATTGTTAGGTGAAGGAGAGTGAGATATGCTAAAGTGACAGCCCAACAGAATGAATTCGAATGCAACAACAAACGAATTCCCAGTAATGATAGCGAAACCACAACACACACGTGTCTTCAAATTTGGGTTTTCATTTTTTAGCGTTTCTGTTGGATATAAGAGATTGAGAAATTGAGAGAGAGATTTCGAAATCTGTTTACCTGTTAATATCGAACGACCCAGTAGATCTTTCTATTTCTGTTTCGATTATCTCTCTGTATAAAGAAGGAAGGAAGGAGTTAGTTTTTCTCTCTCTATCTTTCTTTGTCTTTATTGTCTCTCTCTTTGGGCCTCGTCGCAGAGAGGCTATGAGTGCTACGAAGAGATCGAGAGAGAGAGAGAGTCTGTCTGTTCAATGGAGTTTTTTTAACTTTCTATTTATTTTCTTTTCAGTTTAACTCTTAATAATAATTATTAGAATTTAAGAATGACTATATATTATTTATTATATTCGGATCCGGGTTTCTAGTTGGGTCAATGGATCTTGAAACCCCGTGTTTTGTTTCGACCCAAAGAAAATTTATATTCTATTTTGAAAAGTTACTATTACATCCTTATATAATGGTTAAATATACTAATCGGTCCTTATTTTTAAAAAAAATATATGATTAATTCCTTAACTTTTGGCTTCATCAATCATTTGATCGTTACGCCTATTTTTTCTATATTTTTAGTGTTAATTTCTATCAAAAAGACAAAAACACTCTTAGTTAAAGTCTCACAACAGCAACTGCTTCTTATATGATAGTAATTTTTCTTTTATATTGAAAATAATTTTTAAAAAAAAATTTTTTTGAAGAGATTAAAAATCAACAAGTAAAAGAAATAAGAATATTTTCAAATCATCATTTTCTATAATAAAATTTAATATATTTAACAAAAATATCAAACAATTTTTTAAATAATCATGTAAAAATTTGCTTGTAATTTCAAATCATCATTTTCTATAATAAAATTTAATATATTTAACAAAAATATCAAACAATTTTTTAAATAATCATGTAAAAATTTGCTTTATAATAAAAATTTTTTAAATAATCATGTAAAAATTTGCTTGTAATTTCAAATCATCATTTTCTATAATAAAATTTAATATATTTAACAAAAATATCAAACAATTTTTTAAATAATCATGTAAAAATTTGCTTGTAATTTCAAATCATCATTTTCTATAATAAAATTTAATATATTTAACAAAAATATCAAACAATTTTTTAAATAATCATGTAAAAATTTGCTCGTAATATTTGACAATGTTAAAAAAATTTAAAAAGAATGAGAGGGAGTTGCAACTAAGATGGACAAGAAAATAAAGAAATTAATTCTTAAAAAAAAGAAATTAAAATGAAAAAAAATCAAATAAAAGAAAAAAATAATTACAATAAGGTTAAATTTATGAGGCATTTATCTAATGAATTGCAGCTCTCTTTTTCCACCACTTGATAATCAAAGAGTTTCCAAATTTTAGTTCCATATTTGAAAATTTACTGTAAATATTTGAGCTATTCTAATGTATTTTTAGAATTTTCAATCAAGATCTCAGCAAACTTAACAGCAATGTGGAAAGTGAGGCAATCAAACACTTGAGCACATTCATTTTTTATATGACCAAGATGGTTCATGACGATGACTTGAGAAGTGAAGCTAGTAACATTCTCGGCACGATGATCATTTTTCTTTTAACTGTAATATTAAGCGAATTCTAAGCATCTAAACAAAATTTCAAAAGTTTAAAAAACAAACCCATAATCTCTTGCACGTCAAGAATGAAAGACAGATCTGCATTCCAGAGCCAATTTGACAAATTAAAATTCCTCTTTGGTCATATATGTGTCGAGAATAACTAAGAAACCATATCAAGTTACCTCATGAGTTGATAGGTTTATTGGATTATTGGAATTGAGATGTGAAACATGATGGAGAGAGAAATTAAAAAAAAAAAAAAAGAAGGGGCCATATTTAGTCTGTTTGACAGATATTAACTGCAAAAACAATAATTAATAAACGGAAGGACTAAACAATTGGATATGATAAAAATTAAGGATATAATAATGTATTTTAGAAAAAGCGGGGACCGATTAGCATATTTAAGCATTATATAGGGATGTAATTGTAATTTTTCGTTCTATTTTCTTAAATAATTATTTTCTTTATTGCTACTAAATTTCATTTTTCGGAAAATGATAATAAATGCTTAAAATATCAATGTTTCAGTAATAAATGATAATAGCAAGTCTAAAATTATTAATTTTTGAAAATAATAAAACTTAATAAATCTTGCATTAATTAACAATATGAGTGTAAGTAAATTTTGATTTTATAGTTCTTAACTAATAATAGTAATTATATCAAATAACTAAATAAAATTAAATAAACTATATAACAGAATCAAATAGGCATATATTCACTGATATGTCAATCATGGGTAGGGGTGGATATAACTCAGGTCAAATCGAAAAATCAAATTGAACTTCCATTTGATTTGATTTTGGAAGTATTATAAAATTGTTTTGGTGTGCACTAATAGTTTTAGGGGCAGAGACTAATAGATTCTAGGGTAATCGGTGAAGTTGTCTATAAAGGAGTTGAGTGAGCTCCAATTCGTCAAACCTAAAATTTGGCTTAATAGAATTTTACTCAACTCAACCACGCTCGAGCTCAATAAGTTTCAAACTTATTGAACTTATTGAGCTCGAGACTCCAATTAAACTCGATCAAAACTTGTTTATTTGAACTTGTTTGATATTATTTAAATTCATTGTAGTTCAAAATACTTTATACAAAATTCAAGCAATATAGATCAACCCAAACTAAACCAACCCAATACAATATAATTCAACAAAAACATTTAAATATATCATTTGATGTGTGATATACATAAAGGAATAGGTAGATAGATCTTCTTAATTGTTTTTTTTTTTTTCTCTCTTTGATAATCTGCAAATTAAAACATAAATAAACTTTTCTGTAAAAAATAATTTAATGACTATCATTTAAAGTTTCAATAAAGAAAATATTAATAAATGAATTACTTTACTCTTCTTTTTAATCGCATCAACAACACGACATCAATCTCCACTACATAATAATATTTAGGGCAATTCTAGTAGATGTGATATTTTAAAACTTATGTTTAGTTTGACTTTTCAATTTAAATTGTTGTCAGTTTGGATTTGTTTTTACTTTTATGGCCTTTTTTATTTTGTTATGCGTTAATTTGTTAATAAATCAGCGTTTTAATTGCTTTGTGTTTCCTTTTCTATTAATTTCATATTTCAATTATCAATATTTTTAATTGCTTAGTGTTTCCTTTTGTATTAATCTCCTAGTTTAATGATCATTTTCTTTTGTTCAGTTTCTTCTCTTTTTTGCTGCCGTTTTTTTTAGCCAGCTCTCGTCTTCTATTTTTTATTTCTTCGTTTTCTTCCAGCATTCTTTTTTTAGTTTTTGCTCTTCTATTTTTTGTTTTTTCGTTTTCAGCTAGCTCTCGTCTTCTATTTTTGTATAAACAAAACTGTCACCGCTATGGATGTTGTTTATATTCTGTATGTTTGGATTGATACTGATACGATATATATATATACCGTATTTACTTAGTCTAATCTAATGTGTTAACTGGTGTGTGTGTATATATATATTAATTGATTTTACAGATACAGTATATATATAGTGTATATATTAATGCAGTATATGTAACGGCCCAGCCCATGTGTGATATTGTTCGCTCTGGGCCCTACGGCCCGCACGGTTTTGTTTTTGGGAGAAATGAGAAACTTCCTAGGAGGTCACCCATCCTAGGATTTCCGTTAAGCGAGCACGCTTAACCCTGGAGTTCTTCCAACTCTCCAGCCATGTGTGTGTATAATATATATTAAAATTGATTTTAACAGGATACAGTATTATATTATAAGTGTATTATTAATTGCGAGTATATGTAAAACGGCCCCAGCCCATGGTGTATAATTGTTCGGCTTGGGCCCTACGGGGCCCCGCCCACACGGTTTTGTTTTTGGGAAGGAAATGGAGGAAACTTCCCTAGAGGGTCTCACGCATCTTAGGGATTTCCGTTTTAAGCGAGGCACGGCTTAACCCCTGGAGTTTCTTCCAACTTCATTCCAAGAAACCCATTCCCACCACCAAAAGGCCTCACACATGTTTTAAAACCGGCCCACATTGAAGTTACAATCACTTCCCTGCTCGCAACTTTTCCCTCTCGCACTTAACCGATGTGGGATTCGCCTAAGGTGAGTGCACTGTGAGTGCACTGTCACTACAACCACCGCTCACAGCCACCGCTAATGTACTCAATATCTACCTCGGGTCTAAATAAAATATTATGTCCCTCTCTGTAGCACGATTCATGACCCGAGAAAATAATACCATATAAGATTCAAAAATTTTTGGGGCGTTATAGTATATACACCATATGTATCGTATTTACAGTCGTTGTTATCGTTGTTGCGGGTCGTCATCCTCATTATTATTTTTTTTTGAAAGAAAATGTTGGATTTTATTAGTCATCTAAACAAATTAACGAAGAAACAAAAGACGGGAAATTACAAAACCAATCTCCCACATTCGACAAGGAACGAGATGCTTGAGCTAGTCGGTGAGCAAACTCGTTGGACGAATGATAAACATGCTTAAACTTAAAAACACAACCAGATTGTGATGATAACTGCCGAATAGAAACGATAATATCACCCAAAATCGAGCCATACACAAGCCCACTTCCCTGTAGAGCATTAATTATTGATAAGTTGTCAGATTCCACAACAATTTGATGCCATCCTCTCCCCTTTAACCAGCTTAACGCTTCTTTGATGGCCATCCTCTAACCAGCTTAACGCTTCTTTGATGGCCATTGCTTCTGCTTCAATTGGCCTTAAACTGACCTCAAATTTGCCAATCTTAACACCCAACAAAACTGCATCACTATCCCATAAAACTGCCCTATAACCAGCACTAGTACCATCTGTATAAACAGCTGCATCCACGTTTAATTTGACCCAATTAAGTTCCGATTTTTGCCATTTAGACACAACAGATGGTGTTCTACTTGACCCAGCAGCGACCTTCAACCAATCAGACAGAAAACTCGAGGCTTTATGCCAAACAGCCATCGGTGAGGAGTGCTTCTGAGACCATATAATATCATTCCTCACTGACCAAATCTGTCAGCAAACAGTCATTGCCACAGCCACATCCTTATCATTAAAAATAGCAAAAATCTTCCCCATCCACTCTTGGAAGGAGGCAACCATAGGAGAATACCAGCCAAGGAAAGAAGCTCTCCAAACTTGCTTAGAAAACGGACAATGAACCAATAAACGAAAAATATTTTCATCAGATTGGCAACACAGAGGACATATGGAAGGAACATCCACACAACGCCTTCGCAACAGATCACGAGTTGGCAAAATATTATTGCTAGCTCTCCATGCAAAATTAATTACCTGTGATGGTGCTCTAATCTTCCATAAGCGAGTCCACAACCTCCTCATATCTGCATGGATCATTAATGGTTGTTTCTGCACAAGTGCTCTATAGGCAGTCTTCACCGAGTATGACCCATCAATCTCAAACCTCCAAATGATCTCATCAGCGACTCCAGTGATTATGGGTATTCTTAAAATGAAGGATACATCTCGATAATTAAATATTCTCCGTATCAACTGCTCATTCCACCTTCCATTTAACAATAAATCCTACACATAAAAGACTCCAACACCAGGGTCAAAATCTGTAGTAATAAACGGGTAAACCGCATCACGAAGCCATGGTTCTGACCATATAGCAATACTCCTTCTGCATCCAACTTTCCAGCACATCCCACTCTGAATAAGCTCCTAACTCTCCCGAAAACTTCTCCAAAGATAGCTGGGATTACCTCCCAAAGGTGCCGCAAGAAAATCGACATTCGCATAATATCTCACTTTTAGCAACTGTGCCACTAAGGATTCTGGCTCCTTAATCAATTTCCACCTAATCTTCCCAAGGAGAGCAATGTTGAATTCCCGTAATTGCTTAAAAGCAAGACCTCCAACATTTTTATCCCGGCATAAACATTCCCAACTCATCCAATGAATGCCTTTATGTGTAGCATCAGAACCCCACTAAAAGCGGCACATAATTTTCTCCAATTCATCACAAAGGGACTTTGGGAACAAAAGTAGCATCATAACATAATTAGGCACAGCTTGGAGCACTGTTTTCAAAAAAACTTCTTTACCTGCCTTTGATAACTTCTTAATCTTCCAAGAGTTGAGTTTTTTCCAAAATCGATCCTTAATGTACCCAAAGACTTCTTTCTTATTCCTCCTGATAGCCATAGGTAGCCCCAAATAAGTGCCAAGGTCATCGTGTTCCCCAACCTGCAGTAAAGAGCAAATGTCCCTCTTTGTACCAGTATCTGTGTTTGGGCTAAAATAGACCAAAGATTTTGAAAAATTAATGGCGTGTCCTGATGCAAGCGCATGCTCTGAAAGCAAAGACTGAATAGTTTGAGCCTCTGGAATAGTAGCCTTAAAAAATAAAACACTGTCGTCGGCAAAAAATAAGTGGGACACTGTTGGAGCACCTCTAATAATTTTTATCCCATGAATTGCTCCTGCATTCTCCTTTGCTTGAATAAGTCGTGAAAGGGCTTCGGTACAAATAATAAACAAATAAGGACTTAAAGGATCACCCTGCCGCAAACCCCTACTAGGTACAATAGGTCCGATAACCTGTCCTTGATGCAAGACTTTGTAAGAAACTGAAGAACTACAGTGTAGAATTTGGGCAATCCATTTCTCGCTAAAACCCATTTTCCTCATAACAACACTTAGGAAAATCCACTCAAGCCTATCATAGGCTTTGCTAATATCAATCTTCAATGCAGCATAGCCAACTCTTCCACATCTTCTAGCTTTCAAATAATGAACTGACTCAGAGGCAATAATTGAGTTATCCTGAATGTGCCTTCCCAGTACACAAGCACTTTGAGTCGGCGAAATAATTTTTGGAAGGATAGCCTTTAATCTATTCGCATACATCTTGGATATAATCTTGTAAAGGACTTGACATAAGGCAATAGGACGTAAGTCCATCATTGTGACAGGATTTTGCTTCTTGGGAATTAACACCAGAAGAGTTTCATTCAGAAGTGGCGGGAATGTACCTGCATCTGCACATTCAATACAAAATCTTGTAACATCAGGGCCGATGATACTCCAAAAGTGCTGGTAAAAGCCGGGATTTAGTCCACCAATTATAACATCCCTTCCCGGTCCACCCGTTAACCCGAATGAACTGAGCCGAGACGCTACAATCTGGTTAAACTTATATCCTGTCATGCTGATATCATCCACATATCCTGTATGCGAAATATGAATATAAAACACTCCCAATTAAAATTTCAGACTTCCAATATCTCCAACTAATCATCATAACACAACAACACTTTATACAGTCAGTCATAACTGTATAAATCCTCAATAGCATTTAATATCCAGCAAAATATTTGCATTCATGATCTCTATCAAGTCTTCATGACCTAATCATACCAACTATAGTAAAATATTTCATATTCAATCATTTCCTCCAACTACTTACACCATAATAATTACATGCTTCAATTATATTTCCAATCACATAAGCTCTAACAAATGTAATAATCATACATGCCATAAATCTTAATACATGCCGCCATAATTCTTAATCTTAATTATACAACTCTCAATCTACTATGACCAAATTAATCACTTCTGCTTTGATAGTACTCTTCGAGTCTTCAAGTAGCAACCACGATCTTCAACCTACGCGTGATAAAAATCGACGCGCTGAGTATAAAACTCAGTGTTGCTCATAATTCACATACTTAACAAAGTGTGGTGGCAACTCACTTAATATACAAATTTCATAAAGCATTGATCATCATAGGATTATTAAATTCAACATAAATGTCTCTTTATAGCAACGAATTAACTTCTAATTCATAAACATCAATAATTTAGTTCTAATTATCTCATAACTCCTTTACATGAACCTGTAATCACACATTATGATACTGATACTAGCATGATCTTACCTGCTGTTCATTGTGTTGTATGGATGAGATCAATAAACATGTAAGAATACATAACAGTGTATTTTCATTGTCTTACTTGTTGTTCAGTATGCTGTATGACTTATGCACTTTGGGTCACATCATATAAGTTATGATTAATAACATCTCATACCTGTATGACTCCTTAAGAATGAAATAAATAAACTTGTAAACATATATAACATTATACTTTCATGATCTTACCGGATGTTCTTTACGCTGTATGAATTCTGCAACTTTTATTAAAACTCAGTGAATATCACAATGAATAAAGAATAAAGAACATATAAGCACATACATATGTAGAAATAAACATGTACTCACATTATGGAATGTTAAGCACACATATCAATGATACTTTCATATTTACCTTGATGAGCTTTCTTGGCTTGTTTAGTATACTGTATGAATTCATGCAATGTTATGTCAAAGAATATCGTATGGCGCCAATAAGGTTATAGTGAAAACCGAAGTGATAAGAAAAAACTGTATGAAAACTGGATGAAACTGTATGCTTGGCTGCTATGGCCTATATAATCATTCCTCAACGGCCTGTAGCCGGAGTCCAAACTGTATGGGGCGCAGATCTGCTATTCTATGTAGAACGGCCTGTAGCCGGAGTACCAAACTGTATAGGGCACAAATCTGCTATCCTATGTTGCGACATAGCCTTATCTACGTGGTTTCTACCTAACCTCAATGGAGCATATTGTAAGTATATCAATAGGATAAAACAAAAGCCTATTAACTGCTTCATAAATGCATAAACCATATTGTTTACCTGTATGTTGATAGCCTCACAAAGCGGGCAACTTGTGTTATGTTAGTTTCACATCATTTGCATGATTGCATGTCATTTTACATTTGTTCTTATTGTCTTTTTGTTTTAAAGTGATTGTAGGCATACAAGTTAAGCAAAGGAATGCAATTTCATAGAAAAAGAGGTCCAAAAGGCATCAAAACACAAGTCGCGAGCGCGACATTAAAATTCGCGAGCGCGAGAAGCACATAAGAGGTGTTTACCTCTTCACAATCATTTTGCAATGCTTGCATGTTGTTTTGGATGCATGTTCTATGTTTGTCCTTTTTGTTTTAAAATGATTGGAGGCATATAAGTTTGAGCAAAGGAATACAATTGCCATAGAATTCATAAACTTCATACACCATTTAAATTCATGAATACACTTTACAAGTTGTGGTTTACCTCATTTCCAACATCATTTGATGCTTGCATGTTGTTTTGGAATGCATGTTCTAATGTTTGGTCTTTTTGTTTTAAAATGGATTGGACGGGAGATGTGCCAAATGAGAGTCAGAGAGTTTGCGAGCACAAGTCGCGACCGTGTACTTGAAAGTCGTGAGCGCAAGATGTGCTAAATAAGAGTCAGAGAGTTTCAGGTGAAAGAGCACCAAAAGAGAGTCAGTGAGTTTACAGGCCAAGTCGCGAGCGCGCAAATGAAATTCGCGAGCGCGCGCGAGCGCACGTCGTGTTTTCCAGCCTGCGCAGTCTATACTATTTTGGTCATATCTCTCAATCTATAACTCCGATTTGGGTGATTAAAAAACCCATTTAAATCTAACACATAGAGGAACAAATAACTCTTCTATGCCAGTTCCTAATTCCATCATTAAATAGGGTCAAAATCATGGTGAAGTTATTGGTTACTTTTCCAGCAAAACCTGTTTCAGTAAAAACTCAATATCTACTTCATTTATTCATTTCATGTCATGCTTTTTCACCATTTTCAGTCTTCTCACTCAACATTAAGCAAAATATCATCTCATTTTCAACACATCACACAAATTATCATGTAAGGAAATGAATTATTAAACTAAAAGAGAAATAAGCACACCTTGGACTCCAAAAAGCTTTAAGCCTCTTTCTTTTTTAGCTTCCCTTTTTCTTCTACTTTGAGCTTCACCTCTCTATACATGAGAATTCTTATGAATACTGCTAAAAATATCACTCAAATGATTCAAGTATGGCAATTCAAGAACGGTTTACTTACTTGGATAGAAATACGAAGTTGAATTAAGTTTGAATCCGCATTAACAATCTTTCACTTACCAATTAAAAGTGATGGAGAAAGGAAAGTGGAAGAGGAAAGTAGAGGAAGAAGATGAAGATTAGGATGAAGAAATGATAAGGAAATGGAACTCACGGGTACATGCTCCAAATATCATGGATTTTTTATGTGAAAATTCCAAATGGTACCCAAGTGTAACATGGTACAACTTAATACCTTCAACTTTATATTAGTGCAAGCAGAGTCCTAATCCTTATACTTTGATCTTTTTGTTTCCTCAAGTAAGTCACTTCTTCTCCTTATTTCATTTCTAGCCCACTCTATAGACTCTAATGGCTCGAACCGGGTTTTGGAGCAGCCCGACTCGACTCTAAGCAACGACTCGATTCAATAGAAAAATGGGACGTTACATCAATACTAGGAGACTTATCGCTCCCCATGGCAAAAACTGCCTGCCTCACTTCCTCGGCTGTAAACGCTTCCTCAAGATCCTGATTATCCAACCAAGAACTGCCTGCCTCACTTCCTCGGCTGTAAACGCTTCCTCAAGATCCTGATTATCCAACCAAGACACACACCTGGGAATCGTGTTAAGGATACTCTCTGGTGAGCAAGCCTGTGCCGCATAAAGGTCACCAAAATAGTTTGATATAACACCACTTAGACCCGTGTCCCAAGTCTTCCACTCGCCATTAGAATCCTGTAACCGTTCAATTCTATTCTTCTTCTGCCTCGCAGTAGCCTTTGAGTGAAAATAGCGAGTATTCCGATTACCACACTGTAGCCAAAGCTCCTTAGCCCTTTGTTTCCAGAACAACTCCCGCTGCACATAAATTTCAGCCAGTCTCTCCCTTGCCTGCAAATAGTTTCATCTATCTGACTGTGATCTCCTACCTCGAAGCAATTTCAGCTTCTGTCTACAATCATTCAAGTCTTTCTTAAAACTGTGTCGATAATTTTCCCCCCATTCATTAAGTGCTTTACTACAAATCACCACTTTATCCAAGAAATTAGCTTCATTGTGATTCGTCCAGCATTTTTCTACCACTTGTCTACATTCCGGCTTCCTCGACCAGTGGTTATCAAAATGAAATAAATGCACCATATTCCTCGGCACATAAATCTGCATCTGTACAAAAAATAGGTAAATGATCATATGTGGATAAATCAAGAATCATCCCCTTGGACAGACGGAAGAGACATCGCCAACTCTCCAAAACTAAGACACGGTCCAACTTTGCCTCCGTGTGATCCTCTCCAATCCTTCCATTGTCCCACGTGAATGGATACCCTTCAAGTTTGAAATCAGATAAACCAGCATCACTTACGGCATTTTGGAAACCATGCAATAAGTTAATAGGCTGCGGTAGTCCCCCTCGCTTCTCAGAACTAAAAAGGATATCGTTAAATTCACCCATGCAGACCCAAGGAAGAGATGAAAGCGAACCCAATTGAGTCAACAGTCTCCATGATTCGTGCCTCCTGCTTCTATTTGGTTGTCCATAAAATCCAGTCAACCGCCATAGTCCAACTCCCAACAAGTCTACTTCCACATCAATAAAATAAAAGGAGGAGCCCAACAACTGAACATTACTAGCCCCTTTCCATAACAATGCCAAACCCTCACTATGACCATTATTATCAACAGAAAAGAAATCATCATAGCAATAAAGACTTTATTTCATTAATTTTATTTGCATTACAAATTGTTTCAATAAGGAAAATAAAATTCGGCCGCTTTTCCCGAGCAATTTGTAACAAATTCTGAACTGCCTTGGTATTGCCCAACCCACGACAGTTCCAGCTTAACAGACTCATTTTTGTCGGCGGGTCTGTGTGCCAGAACCCACCACTGCCCCGATTTTTGTCGGCGGGTCATCCTCATTATTGAATCACATAAGTTGTATAAGTATTTGCTCTTACAAATTTCGTGTTTCCTTGTATTTTCTTTTTCTTAGGATTTCATTTTTTTCAG